GGGGAGGGGATAAAAACAGGGTAGATGTCAGGATAACTATATATGGAGGGATTTTAGACTGAAGGTAAATATACCACAGTTAATATGCAACTCGTTTAGTAGCTGTAAACAAAACTTGCATTCTCTTACGGAAATTTAAAAAATGTCCTCAGTAGCTCCAATATGTTCTCCCTTGCTGTAGAAGGCTGAGAGAAGTGGTTAAAAGCTCCCAAAATAAGATATGATACGATAATATGAAATACGATACAATACTACGAAATGTGATACAATATAATACGATGCAATAAGATGCAATAATACTTTATCGTCAGATCAAGTCTAACATTTTTGTTTTGCAACATCAACAAGGACAAATATTTAAGACAAGATACACTGAAACATACATTTAACAAATTAGTAGCCCTTGAGGTACTTTTTATTGTCTTCTGTCAAACTAACTTTTCCAAGGTCTGAAAATGATTCTGGTTCCCTTTACCTACTTATGCCCCGGCCACACGAGAACGAAAACGGCTAAACGCATAGGATTAACGCAAACGCAATCGCAAAAAACCTTCCGTCCACACGCAATAGTCATCCGGATAGTGTCTGTCCACACGAGACAGCTCCGTTTAGCTCCAACCGCTGGATAAGCTGCAGTACATATGCCGAGCCTGTACGTGGCGCTGTAACTTCCTCCGCAAAAGCAGCGAAGAAGCATGGTTGTCATGGTTGCCCTTCTGTTTATTCTCCACGGTGGGGGCCGAGGGAACCGAGCAGAGTTTTTCGCCAGTCAACGTGTATTAAAGTTTAAATCTTCCGACAAAATTATAAAAGTGCCGGTCAAAGGTCTTCTTTGTTATTTATTGAGCTTTAAAACAAATGAATAACGACTCTATATAATATAATAATAAAATACACGGAGCCTCTCGGAGCCTCTCTTCGGACAGCGCCAGTGTCTGTTTCATGCAGCAGCTGATCCAGTAATGAGTCACCCGGCCGACAGTAAAAATAAACATATTTATAACTAGTTTAGGTAGTTTGAGAGGTGTCTCCGTCCTGTCAGATTAGACTTCACTCGCGTTTATGTCCATATCGAGAGAAAGATAAATAATCTGAATTCAGTTTGCAGTTTACTTTGACGCGGGGGTGAGCAGCAGAGGTGGGGAGAGGCGGGGCTATTGCCTCATCATTATCAGAAAATGATCGTATAGGGCGTACACACGGAGCCGTTGGACCCCCCCAGAGCGTTGCGTATGCCGTTCTATCCACCTTGGGACCCGTTATCGTTTCCGCAGTCGTTTAGTGCCGTATTCGGTCGTCCTCGTGTGGCCGAACGGTCTATATGACACTAAACAGTAAAGCAAACGACCGTTTTCGTCCTCGTGTGGCCGGGGCATAAGAAATAGTCTGCTTGATTCCACTCATTTTGGGATCTCACAATCAGTAACAGTCTGTTCACCATTTTCTATTGGATTTTTTAAGAGAGAAATACTCTCTATTAAGTCCTGTTTATACAGCAGAAGAGGCAACGCTATAGAGCACTTTATAAGATAATCTAACTTCAGTAGTTGTGTGCACTAATTTGCTACCATTCTAGTATCATCCACTTTTTCACGTGGGAAAAAAAAGTGCATTTTACTGAAAAAGTTGCAGAACCTCATCATTGTCTGTCTTTGTGTCTCTTCAAGCCAAAAAGTCTGTTTTTGTAACAGATGATATATGGATTAATATTTGGACTCATGAACAATAACATGCAAATGGGTAAAAAAATAGCTTTTGGCAATGTGTGCCGGCCCTCCTAACTCAAAAGACAGGTGCACTTACTGTGAGGTTTCCAGACACTGCAAACAAAATCTATACTCATATTGAAGGGGCTTTAAAACTTTGTAGCTTTAATATGCAATCGGCTGTTTGTAGACTTATGCCACTTGAAGATTGTTTAAGTGTCCTTTTGCGAGTTTAATTAAACAATTGTGTGGATGTTGATGTCAAATATAATTTACGTATTTTATCTTGATGCACTCGCTCTTTATTTAAGAGATCATTAAGAAAGAAAGTGACCACTCTAGGCAGCTGTTGTTGTTCCACCCCTTTTAAATGCTGCCCCTTCTTTTCCCCCAGACCCCACTATTTTTGTCAGACTCAATTTGCAAACAGAGGCCTGGCTCTAGAATGGAGATGGAGATGGAGGAGGCCGCTGGCAGTTATGGCAGGGGCCCCGAAGGGGCAAAAACGGTTCCTAAAGAGTGGGAGGCAGGAATTCCACAATCCTAGCCTGCCTGACTGAGAGGGATCTGCCTGCTAAACATTCAGCTTTTTCTGCTGGCCAAGTGCCCTTTGAAATCCAGCTGCAACTGTGTTAGAAGAAGAAAAAAAACGAAACAAGAGAAAAAGGAGGGGTGGGTTTTAGAGAAAGCAACAAAAAAGGGAGGGAAAAGGAGGATGAAGAGAAAGAGAAGAAGAGAGCGATGTGTGTGTGAGTGTGTGTGTGTGTGGTGTGGAGTGTGTGTGTCTGAGAGAGACTCTGAATGAGCGTGCTCCACCGGGGCCTCACCCCCCGCTGTAAGAGACCTCCACAGATTATCCCTCATCTGAGCTTGTCGGTCTTGACCCCACCGAACCTGAGGCCCGCTCTCTGTTTCACACACACGTTTTCCCCACTCACTCAATCACACACACACACACACACACACACACACACACACACACACACACACACACACACACACACACACACACACACACACACACACACACACACACACACACACACACACACACACACACACACACACTCTTTCCTCCACACACCATCATTATTTTCTAAGTGTCACTCACTCTTTCTCTTTTTTTACATCTCTGCCACTCGCTAACCTCCCGACGCACCAACATTGCCGTCCATCCACCACAACCACCACACACACACACACATTCCCCAAACACACGCGCGCGCACACACACACACACACACACACACACACACACACACAACCTGGTACCTCATGCAAAAGAGGGGGGGAAATCCAGGCTGATGTGCAGGACAAATGAGGAGGGGAATAAAGACGGAAAGAAAGACGGAAAGCTTTTCACCACCACTGGTATAAAATAGAAAGGGGAGAGGGCTTGAGGGGGACAAATGCAACACGATGTACATACAGTACTGCAGGTGTTTGGCTCAAAGGGTCTTATTCAGAGTCCGTTGTTGCATGGGGAAATTCAGGTGTTCAAATCATAAGCTATTACTGATATTTCTGTCCGACTTTATAGACACTTATTATTATTTTTTTATTTTAAATCTTACCAATCAATCTGCATTGTGTTATCCTTCTTAAACAGTTTGTTATCCTTTATACGGAAAGATCATTTAAAAAAATAAAGTATGGTGGACAACGTTCTTAGATCTTTTAGGCTACTTAAGTAGCAATACAAGTCCTGCATTCAAATAATACTTAATTATAGCTTCAAAAGTATCAGTATCAACATACAAGAAGTAAAAGTACTTATTCACGACAACAGACTATTGCAGATGCATACATATTATATTGGATTATAAATATGAATGGATTGTTTCGTTTATTGTTCTTCCACCAATGGATCAATAAGGTAATGTTTTAACTTGAAAAAAGGTTTGATAATTTGTATTATAGTTATATTTTGAATCGTAAATATAAATCTTCAAAGTCATTTAAGGTATCGAATTAATGAAAGACACAACATCATTTTCAAATGAATTAGGATGAAGTAGAAGTGGAAAAGTGCAGAACATTGAAATACTAAAGAAAAGTACAATTGTACTTAAATTGAGTACGTTTACTTTCCAGCACAAAAAAAACATTTCCCAAATTACAGTGTATAGCTTTTTTTGAAGTATATGATTTTATTGTAATGTATTTAATCCAATAAGACCAAAATCTGCTCAAATATAGAGTATACAAGTATACTTATTTTATATTGACCAACACAGAGAAAATCATCCTACTGTACATGGTGGTCCTTTTTCGGAAAATTAATCTACTTTTCAATGTATCCAGTAATTTTCCCCTTGCTAAAAAACCTTATACACATCCTAACTGAGCTTCATAAACTCCTTCTGCAAACAAAAACATGGGAAAATCCATGTTGTGCGTGCCTACATGGAGGACCCCTTATTTGTCCACGTGGAGGTAAAATTGGAAAAGCAAGTAGCAGGCTGGATAAACTGTGAGTGTGAATAAGTTAGGGCTCCTTAGGTTTTATTTGCGGAGCTGCAGGTGGATACTTGGATGACACTACACTGTTTTTCTTGGCTTGGTTGCTGGCTGCACTTTATGGAAGTGACCTACCTGCTTGTTTTTGATGTAACTGCAAAATCATCACTCTGAAGTATGACATTAATTCCAATAAAGCTACAGACTTGTAAAGCTCAAGCTCAATATTCTGGTGTTTTTCTGTTGATCTTTTCAGTTTGCTGATATATTGGCCTTTTGTGAACATGCAACATAATTAAAGTAGGATACATTTTTGATCAAATAACAAATAAGTACAGCTCTTTACAGTTTCTTTATGCCATTTTCTTTTCCATTCTGGTTTTCAGCTGAGAATTACAGTTGAATGACTATCCGTTACTGTGCATAGCCAACACCATAGAAACTGTACATAATTTGTTTTCAATCCAAAACTATTTTTGCTAATCATGTCAATGCTTCCCTACTTTAAATTATTTTGTAGATAGGCTACTACTTTTTTTTAAATGTTTGTTTGTGTAGGCCTATACTCAATATTAGGGAAGGCTATTTCTCATCTCTGAATCGGATGCAGATGTTAATGAAAGACCAAGAGAGTCCATTACTGCTCAATATTCAATTATTCAGTTTTGTTGCATCAATAAGTATGAAAAAATATACCAAAGAACCACAAACTACTGCATCACAAAACTATGGTGTTCATTAAGGCCTACGCTATTGATTTCCAACATCGCAGTTCAACTCCCTGTCGCTAGAGGGAGGTAGTTGAAAGCCGGGAGCTCACCGGGTACCTGGGGAAATAATCGAGGAAACTCAAGAGATTCTTCCCCGTAGCTAACTCTAGCTAGCAGACTAATCTCCTGAACAACGCAGTTGGGTTGTTTTTTGGCCGTTTCAATGCCTATGTCTTCTGTCTTTTATATTTCAGTGTGTTTCTAATAGGCCGTCAGTGTCAAAAGTGAGGCACACACGGAGGGACAAGTTTAAAATACGCTGGATGTTTGGCCACTGTTGCTTTCTCCCAGGATGCTAGCACATAAGCAAGCCAACTAGCTAGCCAACCTGCTAAGGTAGCCAAATAGCAGCACTGTCCGGATGCTTTGAAGAGCAACGCAGCGGATTTTGGGGAGTTTCTAGTCGGCCTCGCATGATGTCAGGCAACCGGCCACAGCAGAGCCCCGGTGGAGCGAGCTCAGTGCCCAGCACGAGCAGCAGCAGTAGCACGGGTAACTCAAACAGTAGCGGTGGGAGCAACGCCGTCACAAGTAATGGGAACAATTCTGCAAATGTTGTGCCCTCCCGGACCCTACCAGCAGCCACCGAGGGCGGCTTGGCGGTGCCAACTTTGGCCGCCGTACCCTCGTCTCGGGGCGGCTTTGCTTCCCTGAGCAGACCCTCTGCGTCTTCAGGCAGCCGAAAGAAATCCCACCACCAAGCACCCCTCTACAACGGCCTCTTGAATTCATACGAAGATAAAAGCAACGATTTTGTCTGGTTAGTTTTCGCAACGACTTTTTTCAGAACGTGTTCTTTTTCAGTATATGCATTTGTGTTTTTAATTGTCACCGTAAGTGTTTAAATAGTTTGAAAGCTAAACTTTGACATACACTTAACTTTTTCTGTACTTTTTTTCCAGCCCAATTTGCTTCGAGATGATAGAAGAGGCACACATGACAAAATGTGGGCACAGTTTTTGGTAAGTTGTCAGGTGTAGATGAGGCAGTGTGTGATACAGGTGTCGCAGTTTGTTCTAGAATAATGACACACCCGTTGGGCTGTTAAAACGCACAGCAGAGCAACATGTAAACAAATAACAAATGTGTTATTCTTCGTCCCCTGTCCACCAGTTTAGTCAACACCTAAAAAACTTCAACCTCATAAATATGTTTGGTTTATAGTTTCTAACTTCAACAAACCAAGAGCAATCTGCATCATTGGGAGAAGACACTTGCTTTTACTTTTGTAATGTTCTTAGCAAGATTCTGAAAAAAAACACTTTGGCAGACTGAGTGACAATCAATCAGGACTTTAAACATAAAAGTCTAACAATACAAAAAAAAACATGGACAAAAGCAACATGAGAATAGAGAAGCCGAACTTATTGGCATGGCACAGTTTTATACTGGCATTTCAACACTTGTATATCTGAATTGTATACAACTCATACCTTTGCATGGTATTCCCACATATCATCATTTTGTTATTTCTCCCTTCTGCAGTTTCAAGTGTATCCGCCAGAGTCTGGAGGACAGCAATAGATGTCCCAAGTGTAATTATATTGTCGATAACGTTGATCAGCTTTACCCAAACTTTCTTGGTAGGTATTTTGAGTAAGAAAGTGGATGTTTGTTTGTGTCTTAACACGGTATTGCTTGGGTTCATCCTGCTTTCATTGATCAGTAAACAATTCAATAATGCAAGAGCTGTTATAGAGTGTTCACATTTACATGTCAAGTCACACTGAGCATATGCATTATAGAATAAAAGATAAAGTCATTATTTTTTATTTGACGTTTTGCGTAGTTTACAATACATTTAGGAAACATTCATATATATACAGCTGTTTTTGAGTAACTCTTTCCTTCCCCCCCCATCCCAACCACCTGCTCCACCCCATGTCCACTTCTTTCAGTAAATGAACTGATTCTTAAACAGAAACAGAGGTCGGAAGAGAAGAGACTAAAACTAGATCATCCTGTAAGTACAAAACACGCACACCGCTTAGTTTTTTTGTCTACCTGTGAAACCCGTTAAACTCCTGCACACTATTTGACTTTTAGTTTAGTTTTTTTAGAAAGCATGTAACTGATCGGTGTGTCTGACTACAGAATGGGTCTCGGTGGCAGGTGTTCCAGGATGTTTTGAGTCCTGACCAGGAGAACTTGGACCTGGCAAACGTCAACCTGATGCTGGAGCTCCTAGTCCAGAAAAAGAAGCAGCTGGAGGCGGTGAGTAAAAGTTTAACAGGCATCAGAAATGTTGTTTATTTTTCTTTGGTGCCAACTTTTTCTTTCATTCTGAATCTGTTTTTGGCTGCTAATAATAAATGTAGTACTGGAAAATACTTCCCAGTAGGATGTGTAACTTCAAGGGAGTAGGATACAAAGTCACTTGCCAAATGCAGTATCCACACAGAGTTGCGGTAGTTAACGATGCATGACAGATACGTCTGACTACGATGAAGGGACCACATGATTCTGTCAAATCGATGCTAATTGATTACACTGACAAATGGGCAGCACAATGAACCCAGGGTATCTGCAAGTGAAAGTCTGAAAAAGCATTGATCTCAGTTCTCTCCTTCCTGCCTTCGAGGCAATTCAAACCAGAGACTGTATATAAGACCATTGTTTTGTGGATTAAGATTTGAAAGCCTTGAGTTTGGCATTTTTGTCAGTCGCCATCTTGGTTTTTTAAGCCCAAAGTGACCGTGGCCGTTTCTCAATGTCGAGTACACATGCTGCAGAGCAACTATTTCAAGTATACTACGTCATAGAGTGGCGCAGAATGCTGGGCATTTAACATGCATTTAAACAGTCGGCGCCACTCGATGATGTAGTGTACTTGAAATAGTTGCTCTGCAGCATGTGTACTCGACATTGAGAAACGGCCCACATTTGGACGAGATGGGGCTGGGTACTGTTAGCACAGCTAGCCTGCTTGGCATCTGTAATTAATGTTAACTGTGATAATTATTCAAATAAACAATAAGAGCAGGAGATACCTATATTTGAGACACTGACAACAGCATGCTTGCATGAAATTACTTTAACAAACATGGATAACAATTGCGACTTTCAAAATAGTCTGTGATTATAATTTTGTATCAATCACGTATTGATTAGTCAACTAAGCATTGCAGTATAAATAAACATTATACAAGTAAAAACAATAAACATGTCTGGGGAACAACTGTATTGGTCAATTGTCTGGAAACCGAAATAGTTTTTAAAACTCTATTTTCTGCAGCTTTGCTTGTTTTACTATCACTTTTTTTACTATGCGATATCATGTATGCTCTCCGTCTCTTCACTAGGAATCCCAAGCCGCTCAGAGACAGATCCTTATGGAGTTCCTCAAAGAAGCCAGGAGAAACAAGAGAGAAGTACTTTAGTTTTAATATACTTATAATATTATAATTATGTCATGAAATGATCCTGAAAGCTCGTCATATTTATCTGTGTTTCTGGCTCTGTCAACAGCAACTTGAGCAACTGCAGAAAGAGCTCAACTTTCTCGAGGAGGACATTAAACGTGTTGAGGTAAACAGAGAATCTATAACTGTCATTCATAGTAAATGGAAAGGTAGAGATTGTGCACATGTGTTTATGAAATCATATTATATTAGGAAATGGCAACAACGGGGGCTGAAAAATGTTTTTGTGTCACTTCCCCAGGAAATGAGCGGCCTGTACTGTCCAATGATGGAGGCGGAGTGTACGGTGCCTAATGTGGAGGCTCCATCACCAGCACCCAGGTACAGCTGGATTTATTTACAAATGCTATCGGTACAAAGGATTCGTCATCACAAACAAACACATTCAGCTTTTTGTTCAGTACAATAGAAAACCCAATGTCAGCCCACATGGTTCTTTTTGATGAGGCTGTTTTGTCTGTTTTATTTTAATCATTGGAGACTATCCAATGTTTTTTGGTATTACTTTTTTTAACTTTTGGTTAGTATCTATGTTTATATTTTCAAGCAGTTGGTTAGAATCTAATGTGTATATATTTTTAAAAATGTGGTTAAAGGTGGGGTAGGTAAGTTTGAGAAACCGGCTCGAGATACACTTTTTGTTATATTCCATGGAATGCTCTCAACATCCGATAGCAATGAATATCTTAAGTGCTTTGACAACAAATCCATAAAAACGTCATCCATGGAAGCCGTAGTACTGTAAAAAGCACGACCAATCATTTGAGCCGGCCCGGCTAAAGTAACTGGATGGCCTACCTGCCTGTCAGCCTTCCATCTGTGCACAAACTTATCTCGTGCCCTCATTGGTCAAGTGTGCGTTCGTGTGTGTTGGAGGAGGGGCTCTGTAAGGAAGTAGCAGATTTTCTCCGGCTGTGTATTTTCAAATTCGAGCGCACTCGAGCTGGTTTCTCCAAAATTACCTACCCCACCTTTAATGTCCATTTGTATATGTTTTTGGGCAGTTGCTTAGTATATTTGTTTATATTTTTTCGCCTTTGCTAAGTATCATTTTATAATTTTTTTAGCTGTTGGTTAAGACTCCCTTTTTTTATTTTGTAGCAGTTGGTTGATATTCAATGTTTGTTTTTTGGTCGTCTGTTATAGTGTATTCTAACTTACACCCACAGTATATTACAACATATTTTATAGTGTTTTTTACAGATACTCTATGTATATCTTTCTATTGTTAAACACATCTAATTGAATCTATTTATCTAATTCCTGTATAACCCTACAGAGCCTTATACGCCTGTTTATGCTTTTGTTTGTTTCTCGAGTAGCTGCAGCAGTATTATTGAGGCACCAGACTACAGCCAGCCTCCAGGATTTGGTGGAACAACCCAGGTGAGTGAGAGAAACACACATGCTGTTTGGATAGTGGCTTTTAAATCCATTAGAAACCCTCGTTTGATATTTATGTCTGTTATCATCATTATTTTTTTGTTGGATTTAGACTCGCTTGGAATCTGTTAAGGCAACTACGAGGACCTTTTTATTACGCGTTGATTTTGACGGCCCCTTGACAAAATGCTTCTGTTTTTACCGGAATGAAGACTGCATTTCCCATGAGCACCACCGCCTCTTTAAGCAATGATTTCATCTGCATGGCCAATACCTTTGTTTGTTTTGGAAGCAAATGAAAAGAAAACACAACTCTCTTTTATTCCAAAAGCTGTCAGTTGCCTGATTTATGTTGCTTGTAATCAGATAAAGCTTTGCTGTGGTTATTTTTCTTGACAAACAAAGCTTCACTTAACTAGCGACAGCCAAGACGTTAGCTAGCTTTGTTCTAGCCACCAACGTAACTGTATATCTTGATGTAAAACCCTGTCTCAAAAAGTATATTTTGAATTACATTACATGTTACATTACAAAGTCATATCACACCACAGTCTATGTGGAAAAGTGACAATTCAGGATTGTCTTTTTATATTCTTTTAAATCCCACAATCCTTCCCATCTGCTGAAAGACCGAACAAGGTTGATACTTGTTTGGGCCTTCTTTGTTCCTTCTGTCAATTATTTAGTCATTGTATTTGCTGATCCTGCCCCTGTATTAGCCATAACCACTAAATATAATATAACAAACTTAATCATTTGAGGAGAAATCTCCTCTGGCTAACGTATGACTAACTACCACATGTAACCGGACAAAATGCATTCGTAGGCTCATCTCGTAAATGCTCAGTCAAATGATGGATGAGTTTCAACAGAATGACTTTGACTCGACTGTACTCTTTAACACTTGAAATTGTTTTTACCAGGGCAAGAGACAGACCTGGTACAACAGCACCCTGGCGTCACGGAGGAAGAGGCTGACTGCTCATTTTGAGGATCTGGAACAGTGCTACTTCTCCAACAAGATGTCACGCATCACCGGTAAATGTCCGTTAGTAGAAACATCGCTAGAAATGTATCTAATGTCTTGATTCTGCACAAACTGGACTATATTTGCATGAAGGAAGAACCAGAGTGAAGCTCCAGTTCTTAAAGGATGAGTGGCAGTGCCTTAAGTAGCTTTTTGCTAAATTGAAGACCACATTTGCCACAGACATGTCTTCTGGCTGTCACAGAGTGAGTGTTTGTAACGTAAACAAATTACGAAATGCAGTCACACAATACAAAAATTACATTCTGTTTGGTCAATATATCTCACATGTGACAATTCAGATTTAGTTATATTTAACCTCTTTTTTCTATAGCATAGAGTATTTAGGTCATGTAGCCATTGCTCTTATTGAACAGTTTTTTAATAATGTGTGTTCAGATGAAGGCAGGAACCTGAACCAGCTGGATGACTTCATGGAGTGCCTGTCAAAGTTCACCCGCTACAACTCTGTGCGGCCGCTCGCCACCCTCTCGTACGCCAGCGACCTGTACAACGGCTCCAGTATTGTCTCCAGGTACAAAAAATACATAAAATGACCTTGAATACGAGTCCGACGCACTTTGTGGCCTTGATCTTTGAAGGCTCAATGTGTGATATTAGAGTTGTTATGCTGTTTTTTGTATCCATCCTGACAAGTATTCTATCCTGTGTTTCAGTATTGAGTTTGACCGTGACTGTGACTACTTTGCCATCGCCGGTGTGACCAAGAAGATCAAGGTGTTTGAGTACGGCACAGTGATCCAGGACGCCGTGGACATCCATTACCCTGTTAATGAAATGACCTGCAATTCCAAAATCAGGTAGGGGAAATAAATGTCCTACAATGTTTTAGATGTTCTGGTTGTAAACACATATTGCAAATATGGTGTTATTTTCTATTCGACGATGTCAAAGAGTTGTATTTCAATAATAACCCATAGAAGGAAAAGAATGTCCCTATATTTTTGTCTAATATTGTGACACAATCACATCAGTTTAAGTATTTTCTATTTATAGATAATGTTCATTTACTCCGACAGAACAACTGAAACCATTATCTGGTTAATCCGACAACACAATCAGGCTCTCAAATGTACTGTTTTTCAATATGTCATATTTAAATTTTACGGTGGGCTTTAAGGGGATAAGATTAATGTTGTTTTACTTCATTGACAGACTGATGCAAGTCCACTTAAAATATCCAAATCCCCGTTGTTCTAAAAACCAAAGCCCTAGTGTAAAGAAATATGAAATGGAGCACTTATTAAGAAGGTGACAAGTTGTGAGCTTAAAGTGAAAGTAATCCCGACCTTGTTTGGTTGTAGCTGTATCAGCTGGAGCAGCTATCACAAGAACCTTCTGGCCAGCAGTGACTATGAGGGGACTGTGATCCTGTGGGACGGGTTCACAGGCCAGAGGTCCAAAGTCTACCAGGTATGATAATTATATCCTATAGATTTATTTTGTTTGTGATCCGTTTCCAATCTGTCATGTCCCATGTATAAGGTTTATTTTCTCTTGTTCTCCAGGAACATGAAAAAAGGTGTTGGAGTGTCGACTTTAATCTGATGGACCCAAAGCTGTTAGCCTCCGGTTCAGATGATGCTAAAGGTAACCGAGAAATGCTTTTTTCTGACAGTTTTCAAGACTTAAATCTTCCAGGTCACGGTGAATTGTTTTTGTTTGTTCTTGTGTTTCAGTGAAGTTATGGTCGACCAATCTTGACAACTCTGTGGCCAGCATCGAGGCCAAGGCCAACGTCTGCTGTGTGAAGTTCAGTCCGACCTCCAGGTATCATCTGGCCTTCGGCTGCGCAGGTCAGATCAGGATCCATTTCTCTAGAACTGCATTTGAACAGCATTGAGCAGAATTGACCCTAGATGGTTTAAACAAAAAGTGTCTTCTTCTTGTTTTTTGTTTTTCTTCTTGTTTCTGTTCTTCTTGTTCTTCTTTTTGTTCGTGATCTTTTTCCTCATCTTTTTTTTGTATTCTTCTTCTTGATCTTGTTTTTCTTCTTATTGTTCCTTTTCTTGTGAATTATTGTAATAACTATCTGTCTAACATAGACATCACAGACATGTTTTCGTAAATATTCCCTTTAAAAGCCTGCAGCATATTTTATAAGCAGGTTACAGTATCTGGTCAGACTCCAATGAGTGCAGTTTATCTGTTTATTTCACACCTTCAAAGTCCATAGGGGGGAACAAGAAGATGAGAACTCCCCGTGCTTAAGATCCCAGGCAAAAACATTCTCATAGATCATTGTGATTTATTATTATCGTTGCACTCTGACAGGGTGCACACAGTCAGCAGTCCGTCCTCGTGGACCACGATATTTATGTTGTGGTTTCACACACACAGGTGGTCCAGTCTAACAACTTGATCTGCTGTTTCTCCCAAGGGAGTAATAAGAATCTGAACAATTATTTTGTGCACCAAAACAACCTTTCAAGTACCTAACATTGGATAAAATAGCAAACTGCGTTTTATCGAGCGGTGAATTGCCCTGGCTTATATACTCCATTCCCTTTGTCTCCAAGGTCCAAGTCTACCGAGCCCCTCCTTGACCTTGAAGGTGTTGGTTGAGCGCCTGGAGTAAAAGCCAGTAGGCATAGTGTTTCTTTTTTAAAACAGAGCTTGTAGGAAACACAAAACTGTCAGTCTTTTACAACATCGTTTCACCTTGGCTGCCTGTCTTGGTTGTTATGGGATATGAATGACGTGTAGTCTCGCACCTCACAAAACAACCAGAGATAAAAGTAAAGTGCTGCATTCTAAATCCTATTTAAGAAGAGGACTTACTTTATTAATCCCCAAATAGAAGATTCAGTTTGTCCACTGTTTTTGTTATACAGCTGCAATTGAAGTACTCAGTATTCTTCAAGCACCACAAGAACAGTACAACTTATAGCAGTTATGTGGCACATTTCAAAATCACTTATATGAAATTACTGAATTATGATTAGCGATGAATTAATGTGTCCAATCTCCAATCCACTTTATTTCTATAGCACATATTAAAAACAGAGGGTTTACCAAAGTGCTTCACAGCAAACATAACATTATAATAAAATATAATATTATAATAATAGATAAAAGGCACACATCACAATTAATACAAGGTACACAAAGGCTATGGACAGAAAATAAAAGCATAACATCGATAAAACACATAGCTCAGACTGACTCGAAAGCGAGGGAAGAGAGGTGGGTCTTTAGGCGGGACTTAAAAGTTTGGAGGGTGGGCGACAATTTGACATGGGGGGGGGGGGGCAGGTCATTCCAGAGCCTGGGGGCTACCGCTGAGAAGGCTCGGTCTCCCCTGGTCTTTTTCTTGGTTTTAGGGACTACCAGCAGCAGCTGATCAGCCGAGGGGCCAGCCCATTAACGATTTAAAAACAAACCATAAAATCTTAAAATGAACTCTAAAATGGACAGGAAGCCAGTGGAGGGAAGCCAGAATTGGTGTCATGTGCTCATGCTTGCGTGTTCCTGTAAGCAGCCGAGCCGCAGCGTTTTGTACCAGCTGCAGGCGTGCCAGCGAGGTCTTGTTTAGGCCGGCATAAAGTGCATTACACTAATCTAGACGCGTAGAAACAAAGGCATGAATTACACGCTCAAAGTCTAAAAAGGATAAAACCGGTTTAATTTTAGACAGGAGCCTCGGGTGATAAAAACTGGACTAAACCACAGAGTTTATCTGTTTATCTCATTAAAAGCACTGTCGATTTTGACGCCCAGATTTGTGACCATGGGTTTTCTGCTGGTAATGGTGGATTTGATTTTACTTCCTTTGTAAATTGCTGCCGGATGAATTAACCTATAATTATGTCACTCAGTTTTTATCTTGTATTGGCTAAAAATCTGTATTGTAACTTAAGCTGTCAAGTCAATGTAGTTCAGTTAAAAGTATGATATTGACGTCCAAAACGAAGTGGAGTAGAAAATAATGTTTGTACAAAAAGAAAATACTTACTGAATGCACCCCTTTTTGTTTTTCCACTCGCAGACCACTGTGTCCACTACTACGATCTACGCAACACTAAGCAGCCAATCATGGTGTTCAAAGGCCACAGGAAGGCGGTGTCTTACGCTAAGTTCGTCAACGGAGAGGAAATTGTTTCTGCGTAAGTCACTCTAGCCTATTTGTAGTAGTATTGTGCTAAAAGCCTATGTGTGTATGTATAAAACGGCTAGTATTTATTTATTTTTCATTCCAATGTATTTTTCTTCTGCAAAGATACTCTTGTGCCATCTAGTATTTATATATATATATATATATACTGTAGTTTATGTACCCACCAGTGTTGTTAAACTATACCTGTGTCCTTGACATAACTGAGACAAAGGCGAGACTTCGACCACGTCATTAAACCCTGACTGTCGAGAAAAGTCGAGTCAAATTTACCTTGGAATATAAAAACGAATTTCTTTATGGCCATTGACGAATAAGGAGACAAGATATTACTGTTGTCTATAATGGACTGTTTTTGTTAATCAATATAATGAATACAGACACAGCAGACAGGAGTAACTTACATAATTAATTAAAGTTATTAAAACTGAACAAAGCCTAGTGCTAAACCGAGTCTATTTCTGCTGCTGCCGTGCATTATGAGTGCTAAAATGAATGACAACAGCATGGCTTAGGAAAAACAAGGTGATATTTGGCTAGTTTCCTTGACTGAAATGATATAAAATGGTTTACTTCGACTAATATAAGATTAGAGAAGCCAAGACTAAACAAATACTTCATAAAAGATTAGCTGACAAAATGAACCCTTCTACCAACCACATTACATGCATTGTTGACACAAATCTAAATCAGAACCACAATACTTCATTCATCCTCAGGAAAATGTGGGTTTGGGACTGTTGCTCCATTTAAGAATAAAATACAAAGCCCAAATCAATAAAAGTGATTATGTGCAAAAAGAAGTGAAGCAAAAATGTGCACATTGTACTACAATATATAAGACCAAGAAATGTGTGAAAACCTCTGTAACTAAACTAGGGCTGTCAAGTTAACGCGTTAATAATAAATAAAAAATAACACCACTAATTATTTTAACGCGATTAACGCATGTGCATTTTTTGTCCTCGGCCGCCCCCTAGTTTCAGAGCGCATTGAGTTTAAAATACCATCTATACAATCCAAGCACACTGCTGATGCCGACAGCCCCGCTCCTGTCGCCTGCTTGCGGCAGAACACACTTGAATGTGTGCGGGGGAGACGCCTGGACACGTCTACGAGCAGCAAACTTTCAACAAAGATCGCTAAATGGGTGCAATTAACATTGTGGAGGACGAGGGGCTGCGTGATATAATTCGGGTTGCATCCAACGGCTGCACTTATGAATTGCCTTCTAGAGCCACCACTGTGTTGAAAATACACAACTTGTATGAAGTCCAAAAAGCTAAAGTAGAGGAGGATTTAAGAAAGACTTGCAAAGTTGCCCTCACCGGAGACTATTGGACTTCACTCAGTAATGACAGTTACCTCGGGGTCACAGCGCATTATTTTGACCCACAGTGGGAGCATGAGACTCAGTCTCATGCTTGACAGTTATGAAAACAGAGGAGCAGCATTTTGCCCACACACACACACATACCATGTATACATCACTTCAGGGGACATTACATTGACTTACATGCATTTCCTGGAGACTTATCATAACCTTAACCATAACCAACACATGCCTAACCCTAACCTTACCCTAAACCTAACCAAGTCTTCACCCTAAAATGAATGATTCCCCTCATGGGGACCTCCATTTTGTCCCCATAAGGGAGGCGAGTCCCCACACGTGACTATGTAAACAGATTTAGGTCCCCACAAGTATCGTAATGCTAGGCCACACACACATACATACACACACACACACACACACACACTTTGTATTGTATGAGAGAGGTTCCAGGTTGAATTGAGGCGAATATTTGTAATGTTCAGAGGTTGTTGTGTTTAATATTCATGAGAATATTTGTCATTGTTCAAATTATAATAAACAAACATTTGCATAAAGCATATTTGTCCACTCATATGTTGATAAGAGTATTCAAAACTTGAAAAATATCTCTAACTAAGGTACATTTAGAACACATAAAAAATGTGCGATTAATTTGCGATTAACTATGGACAATCATGCGATTAATCGCGATTAAATATTTTAATCGACTGACGGCCCTAAACTAAACATATACAGTGGTTCTTACCTTTGACAAAAATACATATGCTTACACTGATTTATGGCTCGTTTTGTTGTTGTCTTTGTGTCTGAACATTGATAATATTATCCCTCCTAAAGCAGTTTTATCAGGTCATGTTACAAAGTGCCCTACATTTGCATTGAGTCATTGTGTATTTACACTCAATCAACAGTTCAACAGACAGTCAGCTGAAGCTGTGGAACGTCAACAAACCTCACTGCCTGCGCTCCTTCAAGGGTCACATCAACGAGAAGAACTTCGTAGGCCTGGCCTCCAACGGAGACTATGTTGCCTGTGGTAAGAAAAACTTGTATTTATATTAGGGATGCGCATCTCCATCATTGAGGCCAATGCAATGCGCATCTCAATAGGTTGCCAACGATACGATACATTAACGATACATTTGAAGCACCAGGCGATATGATATGATTCACCCCTGTTGCGATTACATTGCATTTAGCTGACGCTTTTATCCAAAGCGACTTACAAGAAGTGCATTCGACCAAGAAGATACAAACAGAATCATATGTACATCAGGTTTCATAGAGCAAAAACATTTCAAGTGCTACTCAACTGACTTTAGATAAGCCAGTCCTTTGTTAGTATATAAGTGCTTCTATCGCTCGAAGTGGAGTCGAAAGAGATGAGTTTTCAGTCTGCACCGGAAGATGTGTAGGCTTTCTGCTGTCCTGATGTCCATGGGGAGCTCATTCCACCATTTTGGAGCCAGGATACCAAACCCACGTGTTGTTGCTAATTGGAACTTGGGTCCCCCTCGCAGCGAGGGTGCAGCGAGTCGTTTGGCATTCTGGATGAGCTGCAGAGGTCAGATGGCACATGCAGGTAGACCAGCCAGGAGGGAGTTGCAGTAGTCTAGGCGTGAGATGACGAGAGCCTGGACCAGAGGCTGCGTCACTTTCCGGGTCAGGAGGGGACGTATCCTCCTGATGTTGTAAAGAGTGTATCTGCAGCAGCGATGTTTGCAGTGAAGGACAGTTTGTTATCTAGGGTCACACCCAGATTCCTTGCAGTCTGAGTCGGGGAAACAACTGAGGGGCCGATGTTGATTGTCAGGTCAAGAGTGGGACAGTCTTTTCCCGGAAGAAAAAGCAGTTCTGTCTTGTCAAGGTTGAGCTTGAGGTGGTGAGCAGACATCCACTGAGAGATGTCTGCTAGACAAGCAGAGATGCGTGCGACGACCTGGGTCTCTGAGCGGGGAAAAGACAGAATGAATTGGGTGTCGTCAGTGTAATAATAATAATAATGTAATATATAATATTTTTATAGCGCCTTTCAGGAAACCCAAGGTCGCTTTACAAGTCGAGTAGGGGAAAAAAGGCAGACAGGTTAAGGGGGTGGGGGGGGAAGTAGCGGAAAAATAAACCTATTAAACTAACTATACAGTGGCGAAAGCCTTGGTAAAAAGGTGCGTTTTGAGGGCTTTTTTGAAAAAGTCCAGGGTTGGGGCGCTGCGGATTTCGGGGGGGGAGAGAGTTCCAGAGGGTGGGGGATGCCACACTGAAGGCTCTGTCACCAAAAGTCCGCAACCTGGTGCGGGGGGTGGAGAGGAGATCCTGTCCAGATGATCTTAGCTTCCGGGATGGAGTGTTGTAGCGGAGAAGGTCAGACAGGTATTGGGGGGCGAGGGCATGCAGGGATTTGTAAGTCAGAAGAAGGAGTTTATAGGTGATACGGTGCTTGACTGGGAGCCAGTGGAGGTGGATCAGGGTGGGGGGTGATGTGCTGCCAGGGCTTGGTGTGAGTGAGCACCCTGGCAGCCGAGTTCTGCACATACTGGAGCCTGTCCAGGGCTTTACTGGGAACCCCGAACAGGACTCCGTTGCAGTAATCCAACCGGGAGGAGACGAATGCATGAATGAGGGTCTCGGCCACGGAATCAGAGAGTGATGGTCGTCGACGGGAGATGTTCCTGAGGTGATAGAAGGCAGACTTAGTGACGGATTTGATGTGTGACTGAAATGAGAGAGTGGAGTCAAGGATGACACCCAGGTTACGGACTTCAGGAGACGGGGAGATGGAACAGCCGTCAATGTGGAGGAGGAGATCCCCAACCTTCCGGAGCAGTGCTTTGGGGGCCACAACCATGAGCTCAGTCTTCTTACTGTTGAGTTTGAGTAGATTTGCTGTCATCCAGGTTTTTATGGCATGGAGACAGTTGACCAAAGACTGTGGAGGGAGCTGGGCGGATGGTGAGGTGCTGAGATATAGCTGAGTGTCGTCAGCGTAGCAGTGGAAATTGAGACCGAATTGACGTATGATCTGGCCATGGGGGAGCATGTAAATGGTGAAAAGTAGGGGACCAAGCACGGAGCCTTGGGGGACACCATGGTTGACTGGGGCCGAGGGGGAGGATGAGCCGCTGATGCTAACAAACTGAGACCTGGTTGATAGATAGGACTGAAACCATGATAGAGCTGTGCCAGTGATGCCAAGGTTGTCAGAGAGGCATTTCAGGAGGACTGTATGAGAAACAGTGTCAAAAGCAGCAGAGAGGTCGAGGAGGATGAGAATACTGATTTGTCCGGAGTCAGCAGCGAGAAGGAGGTCATTAGTGATCTTGAGGAGGGAGGTCTCTGTGCTGTGATGTGCTCTGTAGGCTGACTGTAGGGGTTCGTAGAGCTCATGGTTGGACAGATGTTGATGAAGCTGGGCGGCGACTGCTCTTTCCAAGGTTTTGCTAAGGAAAGGAAGGTTGGAGATCAGTCGGTAGTTGTTCAGCTCCTCAGGGTCCAAACCAGGCTTCTTGAGGATGGGAGTGATGGAGGCGGTTTTGAAGCAGGAGGGAACTATTCCAGATGACAGGGAGGAGTTGATGATGTCTGTTATGATGGGGCAGAGGGTGGGAAGGCAGGCCTTGACCAGCACCGTGGGCATGGGGTCAAGGGAGCAGGTGGAGGCCTTAGCATTGGTCACCAGCTTCGAGACCAGTGGAACATCCACTGGGGAGAAGGAGGAGAGAGAGCATTGGGGATTGAGGGGTTGAGCTGAGAGTGTGCATTTCTGTGTCAGGGGCCAGTGCAGAGAGGGGGAGGGGGCGGGCACCAGTAGTTGTTGATGAATGGAGATCACCTTAGCCTGAAAAAAGTTGAGGAATTTGGAGCAGAGGTCAGGAGCTTCAGCAGTGTGCGTGGCAGGGAGGGGGCGGAGCAGTCGGTTGATGGTGGAGAACAAGGATCTGGGGTGATTTTGTTGTGAGGTGATGAGGGAGGAGTAGTAGGCGGTCTTGGTCTTGGAGAGAGCCTCCTTGTAGGACCTTACATGGTCCATCAGGGCCATACGGTGGACGGTGAGGCCAGTTCGTCTGGAAAGCCGCTCCAACCGACGACCAGTTTGCTTCATTGTGCGAAGATCAGAGGTGAACCATGGTGCCGGGCGGAGAAAAGACACCGTCCGGCTTCTGAGGGGAGCCAGAGAGTCCAGGCTGAGAGAGAGGGCAGTGTTGTAGCGGGCCACCAACACGTCCGGCGAGGTGTCGGAGAGAGCCGGGGCAATGTGGGTTATGAGGAGGTCTGATAGGGCTGATGCACTCACTGATTTGGTGTCTCTGAAGGTGATTGTGCGCCTGGGGCGCTGCTTGGGCAGGGGGATGGGGATGGTGAAGATGATGGCATGGTGGTCTGATACTGCCAGGTCTAGGCGCTGCAGATGAGAGGGGGGGGCACCAGTGGAGCAGACTAGATCCAGCGTGTGACCTTTGGAGTGGGTGGGGCCCTGGACATGCTGTGTTATGTTGAGGCAGTCCAGAAGTGACAGAAATTCTGTGGCAAAGCTACAGCTGGTGGAGTCGACGTGGATGTTAAAATCTCCCAGCAGATAGGTGGAAGGTGATTTAGAGCAGAGAGAGGACAGAAGCTCACTCAGCTCGGACATGAAGGTGGTGGAAGCTTTGGGGGGGGCGGTAAATCAGGGCAACCTGGAGTAGAGGTGATCCGGAGAGCGAGAATGTAATACACTCAAATGATGTGATATTGGGAGAGGGAATCTCCCTGACCCGGATACCTGCTCGGTGGATCACAGCCAGCCCGCCGCCGCGGCCCGTGGAGCGAGATTTATGGAGGTAAACATAGCCTGGGGGAGTAGCTTGGTTGAGAGCGAAGAAATCCTGCTGGTTCTGCCATGTCTCCGTTAAACATAAGAAATCAAGTTTCTTATCAATGATGATGTCATGGATGAGTAATGCTTTATTATTGAGGGAGCGGGTATTGAGCAGCATGAAGGTGGCTGCAGAGGAGACAGGAGGAGTGCTACTGTCAGAGCAGGCCAGGGGCTTCAAACAGCTGGTGCGCACGTGACGTGTGTTTAGATGACGTCGACAAGCAACACGGAAGTGCAGAGCCGATTGTACCACAGGAATACTAGAATTTGTGTGAATAAATTTGTAGCGGGATGATCTGTGTATGTAGCGGGGGCGCTGCAAGAGTCCTGATGATCTGATGGCATCCAGGCAGACTGGTGCAGCAGAGCTGAAAAAACTCCGAAGTTGGAGAGCGGAGTATTGAAGCACCATATCCACAGCAGCTAACCGGCTAGCTACCGAGCCTCGGGCAACAGCACTCCGCGGTGCAATGATCGGAGCTAACTCACGGACAGTTCGGCCCTCGAGGCAACAGTCAATCTGGTTTAGTGATAATCCAGGTGGCGAGAGAGGTGGAAGTCCGAGCCAAAAACCCAGGGGAAAACGGGATTCGGCGGCTGTCGATGCTAACAGTAGTAGTATTCGTTTATTAGTCCCCAAGGGGAAAATGGGTTGCAGCACATCACAGAGGCATTTAAAAAAGTTAAGACAATACATCACTGACAACAACATAGACACAGATAAAAACAAACAGACATAAGAAAACCAGATATCGGCAGACATGACAAGGGGCCTATAGGCCCTCATTTGCGAAATAGGGGGGACAGGGCCAGACCAGCTGGGTAAACAGTGCGTCCTAGCCATCATTTGTTCAGGAGTTTGATGGCTTGTGGGACGAAAGACAGCCTAGATCTGTTCTTTTTTAAATAAGGGGCACGATATCTCCGCCCGGATGGCAACAATTCAAAGTAAGAGGTAAGAGGGTGCCTCAGGTCACTCACAATATTGTGTGCCAGTTTTAAAACTCTGTCCTTATATAAGCATTCTATATTAGCCAATGAGATTCCTGTCAATTTACTGGACAATGTTATGGCCCTCCTGACTAACTTTTTCTGTGCCTCAGTTGCGTTGCCGAACCAGCATATAATGCCGAATGAGAGCACACTTTCGATAAAAGCATGATAAAACATCTTCACCATTCTGTTGCCGACATTAAAAGACAATAATTTACGTAAAAAAAACATTCTTTGTTGAGACTTAGCATTTATTTAACAGCTGACAGGTAGCTAGCCCCAGACAACTGATCCACAGGAATGGTGAGTAGCCGGATGAAAAACTGAACAACGCGATCATCACACAGTTATGACAGAACAGTAGGCTATATATGATCCAGCAGTCAAAACGAACACTTTTTTCAAGGCAAGAGAAGTTAAAACGCAGACGGAGAAGCGGCGAACAAGCAACGCCAGCGTCCTCTCACGTCACATGACTTGCGTAGCGGGCTAATGACCGATCCGAGCGAGTTTGTGTACAGAGAGAAGAGGAGGGGACCAAGGACAGAGCCCTGAGGGACCCCTGTAGTTAATTCACAAGGGTCGGACTCTGACCCTCTCCAAGTTACCCTGTAGGTACGGTCTTTCAGGTATGAGGTGAGGAGGGAAAGTGCAGAGCCTGAAACTCCAAGTTCTTGGAGAGTGCGAAGGAGGATCTGATGGTTCACCGTGTCAAATGCAGCAGACGGGTCCAAAAGGATGATGACAGAGGAGAGGGAGGCTGCTTTAGCAGTGTGCAGTTCCTCAGAGACAGCCAGGAGAGGAGTTTCTGTGGAGTGACCTGCCTTGAAACCAGACTGGTGCAGATCCAGAAGGTTGTTCTGATGGAGATAACAGGAGAGTTGGTTAAAGCGCGTTCAAGTGTTTTAGACAGGAATGGAAGGAGAGAGACAGGCCTGTAGTTTATAATATCGGACGGGTTGAGAGTGGGTTTCTTTAGGAGAGGGTTTACTCTTGCCTCCTTGAGACTGTTTGGAAAGTGACCAGAAGTTAGAGAAGTGTTGATGAAATGGGTGAGGAACGGTAGAATATCAGGAGCGATAGTCTGAAGGAGGTTCGCAAATCGGTGAATCTTAATGTCTCTAATTTATATGGCACATTTTGACAGTAAGTGCTTTACATATAAAGGCCGCTACACACCAACCTGAGACCAAAGAACGCGTACCGAAGGCGTCCCGACTTTTACGTCCGCTACGTCGCCTGCGTCCGCTACCCCGCCCGCCTACGAACACACCGCAAAGACTTCAGTTGACAAGTGGCAATAACTATCCTTACCAGCAGGCAGCAGTAGTGTGTATTCGTCATTCAAAAGAGGCTACAACCGGAAGACAGACTATACACAGAGAGAAGAAGAACAGGCTGCGTGATATAAACAAACAACAAATAGCGTCTGGGTTCCATTTTCACTCTCTCTCTTCGATCGAAAACATGTAAACATAAAAAAGAAACTCTTGCGTCCGGGTGAGATGAAAATGAAAAGATTAACTGTCTGTGTGTGCCTTCTTAATCGTTTGTTTTGGTCCCTCACTTCCGCTTCGCTTCTCATGCACTGACTCGCTAAGCTGAACAGCCAATCAGAGTGATTTATTTGTCCCGACTTTCTTTGGCCCCCCGCGGCCTATTCAACTTGTTGAATCGGCCGCGGGAGGTATGAAAATGTGCCGTAAAGAGACGACGGTGCGGGACACACCAACCTGAGTAGGGCGCCGCGAATGCCCGACTGCCTCTGACTCCCAAAATCGGGTAGGTGTGTCAGGGCCTTAACATTGAGACAGTGCAAAAGAAACACATTATATAATATTTAAAAAGCTAAAATTATACATGTTAGAACAAGCTTAAATACAGTAAGAAAATACAATAAATACAAGAATCAAACTTGCAATGTAAGATATTAATAGTAATTTGCTTTAAAAAAAATAATAAAAAGGCATCGATAACAAAGAGATGAATAAATAAATGTATTTGTGATGCAGCATTTCCTTGATATTTGCTCAGCCATGAAGTGGCATTACTGCAAGAAATACACAACTCTAGGACCAAATCTGAAATGTTTGAATATTTATTACTCTTGGCCATGTTAGCAACCTGTAACAAAACTAAAAATGATATAATAATCACAATATAACCTTTTTATTTATTTGTGTGTACAGGCAGTGAAAACAACTCCCTGTACCTGTACTACAAAGGCCTTTCCAAGACACTGTTAACGTTCAAGTTTGACACGGTGAAGAGCGTTCTGGACAAAGACAAGAAGGAAGACGACACCAATGAGTTTGTCAGTGCTGTCTGCTGGAGAGCTCTGCCCGACGGAGTGAGTTCACCTCATTACTCTCTGTTGTTTTTACATATTCTGTTCTAGAAGAAAGATTGCTGTCAGCTCTTCCTGAACAGATCACGTTAATGCAAATCTCTTGTGGTGTCAACACATTTTGTTTGTTTTTGTTTGATGTTGTCCTGTAAGTGAATACATATCCATGAGTAACTGATAAGGTTTTAACAATGATGCTTTCTTTTTTAGGAGTCAAATGTACTGATTGCTGCAAACAGTCAAGGAACCATCAAGGTTTGTGTTGTGAAATATACATAAGTCATGCTTTTAACTACAGTCCAACTTTATCGTCGGGCGATTTTAATCAAAAACTCATGCCTAGTTTGAGACCCATCAGTAAATTCACAGAAAACTAGCTACTTTTTTGATAATAATAACTGATCTGCATGACTGAAACAAATACCACAAGGAAGGTGTTAGAAAAATATGTATTAGGGTCCTTGCCTTGATTGTTTTTCTTTCAAATCACAGAGCCGAGATTAACATTAAGACAAACAATTAGAAAACGTCTATTTTTTTTCCTGTTCAGTTTTTTCCCCCCATGTAATTCTGTAACTCAAATCATCCTGAAATTCTGATTATTTTTCTAAATGTGCAACTTTAAATATTTCAGTTTTTTCTCACACATTTGCCATTGTAGTACTGGTGTTTCTCTGATTATAACCTCTCCTCCACTGGTTCTGTATTTCATATTATTAATTTATTTGACCTATAATGGTCGTAAATTGCAGTGGAAAATAATGTATTTTAAAGTAATGTATTCAAGTTTCACCGTGTGCTGGGTAGGGATGGGTATCGTTTGAAATTTATCGATTCCGATTTCGATTCCGGTTCTGCTTATCGATTCCGGTTCTTATCGATTCCCCGTTTCGATTCCAAAATTGTAAAATAAAGAGGTCAAACGTTTAGATAACAAAAATATATTTATTCTTAAAAGCTTTAACTGAAATTGTTACTAAAAAATATACATGCAATACAAATGTATTGCACAATAGCTGTGCTTTATTTTAACTGAGCTATGCCTGTGGCAAGCTATTAACAGGCATTACACTTTGCCTTTTCTTTTTCTTTTTTAGTGTAGTGGAGCCTCACTTCAGAGCGTTTACCGCGACCTATCTTTGGTGTTATGAAGTGACTGAGCTCGTGAAATGTCTACGGAAGGGCGGGGGAGCATCGCTGCGGGGCAACTGTGGACCTCTGTCGCCTGTCAGCGCAATTTATATGATGCCGTTTTAAAAAATGAAGGGCGGTGCCGGCCGTCAGCGTACCGAGCCGGCCGTCAACGGCCCGCTGACGACCGGCCGTTCTGTGATTCTCCAGGTCCGCCCTGTATTCCACCGGGTCACCGCAGCACCGCGGTGCAGACGGACCCGCTGGAATACAGGGTCTACCGCGTTTAGGAACCGTTAAGCAGAACCGAAATTGTGTATTTTGTATGGGTACCCGGCATTTTCTTATCGGTTCTCATCTGGAACCGAGTTTCGGTTCCCAACCCTAGTGCTGGGGTTACATGTCCAGTAGTGTTAATTTTCGTTGACTAAAACTATGACGAAATATGTTCGTCAACGACCTTTTTTTCCATGACTAAAACGAGACGATGACGAGACGGCACCGACAGTGCAGTAAACAATAACTCTAACGAAATCAACATGCAATATCGTTGACGAAAAGTGACGAGACGAAAATGTAATTGACTAAATAAAAACTATGCCAAAATCTGTCTTTACTTTCGTTGATGAAAAAGGAGGAGACGAAATATTATCAAAGATAACGTTACATCTCTGATAGTCAGTTTTTCTCCCAGCAGTTCGGCAGCAGCTGTGTGTCTGTGCTGCGCACGGCGGTACATTTGAATTACACCGGGCAGCGGCAGAATATGAACGGTCAGGAAGACTCGGGTCTAACTAACCTATTTAACAGAAAATAAAATGGCAACAACAGGGCTTGGGAGCATTGGTTGCGTTAACCGAATACCCGGTCAGCGCGAGTGAGTGACGAGTTGTGTACAGACTCAACGGGTAATAATGGATTATGACGGAAATGTTACGATCCTGTCCGTCAAAAGGACTGACAACGAGAAAGTCTAACGCCACCACTGCTTGGGAGAAAGAAACGATGTGATATTTGGGCCCATTTTCGCTACAATGAGGCGGAGAAAAAAAGCTAATGCATTGTTTTATCAGAAGGGAAGCAATGTGGCCAAAACACAGCTGGTAAAAACAACACAAACCTGACCAGATACTCTCTGCAAAGCTGCATTCTTAATCATTCAACCTTTCATCAAATAAGGACAAGATATAATCTTATTGTGAAATACGTTTGACTAAAATGACAAATTATTGGTTTTAGCTAGACTAGTTTGACTTAAATGTTCTATATAATCTGATGACTCAACAGTTTTCATTGACAAAAAGTTGACTAAAATAATTAGTTTTCTTTGACTAAAATAAGACTAAAATGCTCAGACTTTTAGTCGACTATAACTTCAACAGGATGAAGGTGACTAAATATGACTAAAACTAAAAAGGAAATTTAACACAGGACTAAGACTAAATTAAAAAAATAGCTGACGAAATTAACACTAATGTCCAGTCTATGTAGTATACGGATAAGACATCTTTCAGCAGTGTGTCTTATCCTAGTCTGTGTATAAATGGACTTCCATATGGCACAAAAGCAAGGACTGCGTTCATCTTGCTTTCCAGTAACAGTGAGCTGCAGATAACAAAACGGCTATATCTTCTCTCCTCACAGGTGCTGGAGCTCGTCTGAAGGCCCACCATGTCTCCAGTGTGATAGAACTCCCATGAGCCTCTCTTCGTTGGGCAGTGGATCAGTCTGATGCAGGGCAGACTAAGGCTGCCTCGGAGAGCAGAAATAAATTGAACCCGTCTTATTTTAATGAGCTACAGCAGAAAGACTTTGGACGGATACATCGGTATAGCATGTGCTGTCATTTCACAGCCCAGAGACGAGGACCCGGCCGAGGCACGCAACGAAACAAGAGACTTCAGAAAGCATTTTTGTTTCTTTTCAGTAAAGTTATATCGACTAAAATACAACGCCTCCTTATGGTTTTAGGTCAATTTAAAACGTGTACCTTTTAATCAAGCTATTGCTCTCAAGGGTACATCCAGCCAAATGCTACTAGTGTGATGCATTTCCCCTTTTAAAGGCCAAAGCACAAGACAAGAGGACATGCAAGAATGATGTCTACACATGAAGCTTTTAAACCCTCTCCCGCCCTCATTGTTTGTCAACCGCCTGTTTTCTTTCCCCTTTATGTGTAGTTTTTCAGATTGGAAGAAACCAGTTTTAATAAATATAACTTGAATTTCATTCTGTCAAGCGTAACGTCAGTTCCTTTTCTGGCATTGGAGTGCAGAATGTGAGGTAGTGTACAGAAGTCAAGGAAGACCAATGTTTTATGTTGCTATTGACACAACCTGTTTGTGATCACAGTGAAACTCGTATAACTTAAGGCATTGACCTGCAGTGCTACATCAAACTGGATTATTTTCCACGTATGTCAGCTGTTTGTTGCTTGTTGAAAATGAAAACCTCACAGTATCTGATTTTGTTCTATTTTTAATGTAGCAATGGAATTACTGTTCGCGTACTGTAGGGTTGAAACATCTGCATTTTAATGCAAACTGCTGTCAGTTTCTGTTAATGGGTGATCCATGTTGACAACATTGACACAGAGAGGATTTGGTAAACCGCCAATACCTACCTATTTTATGATAATTAAGTGAGAGGTGTTTTGTATTTGTATAACTGAATAAATTATTTCAAAACAATACTGTTGCGTTTGGTCATTTTTATTTGGCTTTAAAGCATTCTTGAGATGGGATGTTTTGATGTTGTGTGTACAAATAATACATTACATCTTCTTTCTCCATCTCTAAAAAAAACTGTTTTGGCAAGACGCTTTCTATTCCAGCTCTCTTAATCCGGAAAAGTCTGGCTTTAAAATCAAGTTAAACGATGAAAACAAAGGAATAGGTGTACTGACAGAAACAGGGAGACTTAGCAAAGTTAAATTCAATACTCTCATCATCCTCCATCCTGTGTGTGTCGGCGTCGGCTGGACACTGGCAAGCTAATTTTTCCCAGATTATAATTGTATTGATATTAAAAGATACCACCAGATAGAACCATCTTCCATCAGTATTTGTAGTAATGTGTGTCGTGACAATGAAAACAAACCAGACATGAAGACTAGTTTTCAGTTTGCCTTCACTTGGTTGCACACCCTGCGCACCACCTTTTAGTAGAAGTACGCATGGTGCGCAATACCTGCCTAACAAGCCCTGACAATTATGGACCATTACAGTCACCGAACTAATTGGCAATTGCAAAATGTCCTGCAATTCAATAAGAAAAAAACAAACAATTATTTTTGGGGGCCGGGCCGCCCGGTTTTGTATGAATCCTCCCAAATAGACAAGGGGAAAGGCGTTTGTGACAGTAGGTGTCATAAATGTGTTTTGCACGTATTTACCTTATACTTTGCTGGCTTTAGGGCACTTTCCCATTTAATTATGATTGCTATTGATTTGATTAGGTTTATAAGCTTTTGAATAAAATATTTTGATTACCGATATGTGATCATTTAAAAAACAAACAACATATATTTGACAATCTACAACAATGTTTGGAGCTGTGAGGAGCTGTTGGCTGTATGAGAGGGCCCAGTATCATACAAAACATGACGCCTACCCCAAGTATGACTTCTGGGTTTGCTAATTAAGATGAAGGTTAAGAAGATTCATTTGTCCACTCTGTTTATATGTTTTTGTATACATAGTAAACACACAGTACAAATACCCAGTCTGTCAAGCGTCAGGAGGCAATTGGGGTTCCGGTGCCTTGCTCAAGGGCACCTTGGCAGTGCCCAGGACTTGAACCGGTGACCCTCCAGTTACACACTGAGCTACTGCGGCTCTGATTTTAGGTTCATAGGTTTTATTGTCATAATGTACAATAGCTACAGTGTGTTTACGGCAACATCATAAGTCCCATTAATGCTCCATCATCAATGCAACATATATGACAAATAGAAACAGAACAGAAATAAAATAGAAATGTGAGAATGAGATTGTTGCAAGTGACTAATGTGTAGGTAAATGCGTATTCATGTGAAATTAAATTAGCTGAACCAAAAACAGAATGTACATTTAAATATTATTATTTTTAAATGTGTTTATGTATCTATTTTATGGCGGGAATGGGCTCTTCAAACAAATACAACTGAAAACAAAACGGAACTACTGTTTTCACAGTAGCGGCGGAATGTTTTAACAGACGGACTACGGACAACTAGCTAGTTAGCGGCCGTTGGAAACAAAACCAGACTCCACTCAAAGCAAGTTCTCATGTTATCGAGTGAAGCCTTGGCTGTATTCAGTTAAATACCTAGCTAAACCACATTTCAGATTGAACTGTTTTCCTCCAGGGGATTTAGACTTTCGTGGTGAAGATGGGAGTACCGAAATTTTACCGATGGATTTCAGAGCGATATCCCTGCCTCAGTGAAGTTGTCAAGGAACATCAGGTAGGAAACATCGTTAGCTTCGCAAGCCACTGTTGCTCATAGCCGCAGCGTTAGCTTAGCTAGCTGTTTGCTATCAGCAAAGTACACCGTCAGTGGGCCGTGGAACTTTTATTCCACTTACGTTAGCTCACCAATGTGTTTGCCCGGCCACTTCTGACTGACTCTTACATTTGATACCATACAACATATTGCTAGTCAAATTGGCCTCTTACCAAATTCCAACACTTACTCGCTTACCATTGTATATGTTCTACGTGTACACATTTACCAGTGCAAAATACATCTTAGTCATAAACATGTTACCACCGACTTGTTTAGGTCTTTGTTGAGATTTTGAAAAACAATAAACCCCTCACAGTCAGATAGGCTAACCAACTTTATGCTAACTAAATGTAGCTAGTTATTTGGTTTACATACACTTTGTTTCACGTTGTCTAGAAGGGGTTTAAAATGCAATACATATATGGCCACGTTTTATATGATATGAATTCAAGTTATTTAGTCTACTTTAGCGGCACTGGAATTGACTTTAGTGACCTAGTTCCTTGTGTCGTAGGGCAGATAGGGTTTCATCAGCTGGATGTTGCTCAGTGTCACTCTCATTGCGTAAGCCAGCTCTGAAATGTGTGTTAAAACAATATAAAGGAAGATTAATGCTAGCCTCTTTATATTGGATGACAATGGATAGGAAACATACGTTGTATTTATTTTCTGGGAATGGTCTGTTAATGATTTCAAAAAACATAAAATACATGTTCTCCTTTTGATTGTATTTCATTAGATCAATTGTACTTTATTGATCCAAAATGTACCTTTTTTTTGTAACGGCATAAGAATTTTTACAAGGCATTGCACATGGACAACAATACAATAAAAATAAACTGTAAATACAGACGTAACAGACAGCAGTAGAAACATTTTGCGTTATCCCTTATCATTATGCTTAACCATTCCTACTTTTCCAAATTAAATGTACCTGAAAATTAAACCAAACAAACTACAATATCTTTGTTGCCAACAGATGTTTTCCAGGATTCAAGAAATATACAAATATTTTGAATATTGGTCACTTTATAGGAATATATTTGTATAATATCAAAAGTTTATGCTCAGTTTTGTTTCTTTCTCCTCAGATTCCAGAGTTTGACAATCTCTATCTGGATATGAATGGGATTATCCACCAATGTTCCCACCCGAACGATGAGGACGTCCACTTTCGCATTTCCGAGGAGAAGATTTTTGCCGACATCTTCCATTACCTGGAGGTGCTGTTCAGGATCATCAAGCCCCGCAAGGTGTTCTTCATGGCGGTGGACGGCGTGGCACCAAGGGCGAAGATGAACCAGCAAAGAGGACGGAGGTTCAGGTAGAGATGGATGAGAAGAAACATGGAGTCTCCTTTTCTCCTGTGGTTGGGTTTAGGCTGACACGCAGGATGGGCTGCACGTCCTGAAATCAATGCAGCTGACTTTGTTATGCTATCTGGAAAACATTCTCCTGTTATAACTACAGAATTTAATTACTTTTATAATGTTTTGGCATGGGATGTTTTTCCCTTAGTATTAACACACTTATTTTCAGTTCATCTTATCTTATTTTTTATTATATATAATTTTTTTGACTGAGTGTGTAAGGGTGTGGATACCATTTTGTTCAACATTTAAAGATACTATGTACAAAATAAAAAGAGAGTAAAGAAAGAGAATCCTACGCCTGCACCTTGATTTTTGTGTAAATAACTGCACGGTTTTTTTTATGTTATCTGATCAAGGCGCACAGTATTTGTATACATTCACTGTTATAGTTGTTTGTCTGATGTACTGCAGAATGAAGCTCAAACAGAACTGAAATGCAACATTGGCTTAGTAAACATTTCAGTTTGACCTTCTCTCTTTTATCTGTGTGTCTGTGTGTCTAGGTCTGCCAAAGAAGCAGAGGACAAGATAAAAAAAGCTCTGGAAAAGGGAGAGGTGCTTCCCACAGAGGCTCGCTTCGACTCCAACTGTATCACTCCTGGTAGGCATGCATGCGTCACACAGTTAAATTGAGCTGTAGCAGAACATGTAAAGATACCTCTTCATTTCAGAGTAGGGAGATATTTGAGTACGTATCGATCTCATATTTAAATTGAAAAGTGAAAGGGTTTCTTCATATTTTCATGGTCAATCTGACAATTAGCCAGAAATAACAAGATTGCTTAAAAAAAATTGTTGATGCCACATGACAATTTCTATGTTCTGAGAGTTCTGATCATTTCCCCTGGAGAAATCTTTGGCGCCTTCAAAACTTTGGCTAAATAATAATAGATAATACCACAACAAGAAAATGCAATGCAACCACTGGCACAATTAATCAATTATTCATATATATTTTGGACAACGCTAACATGTCAGAGGTATCTGTTCTGAGTAGGGATGGGAACGATTAATCGAATATTTGAAATTATTCAGGTATTCCAATATGAGAATATTAGTTATGAATATTTTTATTGTAATGTTTTTCTTTTTAAATAATTTGTTTTTGGGAGGGGTGCCTAAGTTGATTACATATTATAAAATGGAATAATTCAATGTATACGACAGTGTCATAGCTAAGTGTGTTAGGTCTAAAGGTGTGTTTTGCCCCCCTCACCGGTCCCTCACAGCGGGCAGAGCTGCAGGTGCTGATCTCTCTCTCTCGCGTCCGGTTATACTTCACTCGCGTTTATGTCCAAATCCATCAGAAAACCAAGTTATGTTTTAAGCATGAAAGCTGTAGGCCTATAGCTGTCAACTGTTCAAACTGTGATCACCAGTTCAATACATTTGACAAATTCGACTTGGTTTCTATACTTATTTGAACATATATTTATTTATTTTTCAAAATAAAAAAATGTCTTTTGTAAAAATGTTTCCCACATTTTTTTTATAGGATATGTACATTTCGATTAATCGGTTGGGGGGTCGAATATTCGAATATACATTTGCCTTCAAATTCCCATCCCTAGTTCTGAGAGGTTGTCAGCTGCTCTCTTTAACCACGCACCCTTCTTCCAGGCACTGACTTCATGGCCAGACTCCAGGAGCAGCTCAAGTATTTTGTCCACAACAAGCTGTCCACCGACAAGCTGTGGCAGAACGTCAACGTCTACCTGTCGGGTCACGAGGTACGGCAACAGCTGTTTCCACACTTTTCAGACTCTGATTCGACCACTGCTTCAATAAGTGATTGTCTACATACTTTACCACCTGCAGCCATAGTACCTTAAACTGTAATTCAGCATCAGTATCTTATACACTCATACACCAGTGATTTTACAGGTTTTATACCTTAATACAATGTAAAAATGTGTACTCTCATTTATTATGTAATATTAATATCTTAAGGCTATTTATGTGATCTTTTATTGGACATGTTCACTTTAACTTTTAATGTTTATATAGGTTTTAATTTTTACTTGAACTTATGTTTACAAACACATTTTAATTCTATTTAATCTTTTATTTGACAGTTTTACTTTAACTTCCTATGATGATTGTCATATATTTCATTTAAATTGTTTTACTTTGTTATTGCACATTCTTACTTTTATTTTAATTGTATTTAATTGTATACAAACATCAAGCAACTCACAAAACAACATTTTCCCTGGAATAAATAAAGTTTTTTTGATTCTAATATTTAGCTTTCTCCCCCTTACAGACTCCAGGCGAGGGCGAGCATAAGATCATGGAGTTTATTCGCTCTGAGAACAGAAAGCCAAGTCACAACCCCAACACCCGACACTGCCTGTACGGCCTGGATGCTGACCTGGTACGGTTTCTGTGCCCTTGGATGAAGATATTGTCCCTCCTCTTACCATTTGTTTGATACTCACACTGTCCTGCTCTTCTGTGTTTTAGATCATGTTGGGTTTGACCAGCCACGAGCCCAACTTCTCCCTGCTCAGAGAAGAGGTCCGCTTTGGAGGAAAGAAAAACCAGAAAAGGTTCACTTCCTTCCTAATTTTTGAATAGTATTTGTTTACATATTTTTACATTAACTTCTAATCTCTATACGAGTATTCTATATATTTATTTTATTTATACATATTTTAAATGTAACTCTAAAATGCTGCACCGTCACCAAAACCCAATTTCCCCCGGGATAAATAAAGTACTCACAATTTTATTCCATGTTTTTTCTAGTGGTGTGTTATCTACATGTCAGTTCTGTCACACTCTGAACGCTTCTCTCTTCATCTCCTGTAGGATAACGGCTCCAGAGGAGACTACCTTTCATTTGCTTCACTTGTCTCTGATGAGGGAATACATCGATTATGAGTTTTCTGGGCTCAGGGTGAGACACACACACACACACACACACACACACACACACACACTGGCAGTCTGGCAGACACACAGTTTCCCTCATGGAAAATCCCACTCTAATTCTGCAAACAAATGTACAGGGCAGGTTTTAAAATACATTTTAGTGTGGCTTTATCATATTATCTGTGCTCTATATTCTGATGAAGTTTCTGTGTGTTTTCTTACAGAGTCACCTCGGTTCTAAGTATGACCTGGAGCGAATAATAGACGACTGGATTCTAATGGGCTTCCTAGTGGGGAACGATTTCATCCCCCACCTCCCAAATCTTCACATCAGTCATGATGCTTTGCCGCTGCTATACAGGACCTACATCTGTGCTCTGCCCACCATAGGGGGTGAGACACACACACACACACACACACACACACACACACACACACACACACACACACACACACACACACACACACACACACACACAAATAGTCATAACACCGTTTGCTTTTCTTGGAAAGATTTGATGTTGGATGTAAATATCGAGCAATATCAGAAGTTTCTCGTGCTCTAGATGTGTTTTTTTTTTTTGTGTGGGTAGTTACTTTACTTTACTAGAATATATAATATTTATGCGAATGTGATGTATATCATAGATACAAATATCCTGTTTTCTACCTCAGGCTATCTCAACGAGAACGGCCACCTGAACCTCCGAAACTTTGAGAAATACTTGGAGAAGCTCGCTGAGGTGAGACAACAAAAGCTGATTCACTTATGATACTTGGTTTTCGACAATACTTTATTTATTGTACTGTTATTATGCTATTATCGTTGTTTTATTTTACATTTAAAACTTCTATGAAGGTTTGCAAAATGAGCTTTGAATATCTGATGCCATCCCCCTAAAAAACGTGTAAAATATATCTATTTGTTGATATTTATATGTATGGTGTTCCGGACTGCACTGTGGGCGGTGTGTGACAAGCTTGAGAGCCGTTTTTTGACCAACACTTTAAAACACTCAATTCAAATTCAAAATGCTTGGATCACACACGTCTTGAGCAATCCACCGCAGAATACAGTTCTACAAATAGCATGATATGATATGTATGATAATTATCTTATGTATAGCTGTAGCCTCATCTTTATCTGCAACTGTACCGGAATATTGGGTTAAACACAACGAGTAGGCATGCAACACAAAGAGTAGAAACTATTTGGTATATGATTGCATTTATTTGAGAAAACACACACAAATATAGTTTAAATATGTAGCTAACTTTCTCTCCTTCTTTTTCCTCTAGTTCGATCGAGAGCATTTCAATGAGGTCTTCGTGGACTTGAAGTGGTTTGAGAGTAAAGTTGCTAACAAGTATCTGAACGAGGCGGCCGGTAAGGCAGCAGAAGAGGAAGCCGCCAGCAGAGACAACGACAAGAATCAGGTCTGCTTATGTCCAAATATTTTTCGTTATATATATCTATAAACACTCTGGCATTAAACCCATTATTTTCTTAATTGCAAAGTGTTTATATTCTTGTAATTAATAACGTGGGTTTTTTGTTCAGGATTCTGTCTCATCCGGAAGGCTGATCGGAGAAGGAAAGGGAGGCGACGATGAGGAAGAGGAGGATGATATGTTTGAAACAGAGTTCAGACAGTACAAGCGCACGTACTATATGACCAAGATGGAAGTGGATGTGGTGTCAGAGTGAGTGCACACAAATACAGGGCATAGAACAGCAATCAATGCTGTTTCCTGTCATGGTTTGCACACTACCTGATTTAATAAACTAAAAGTTATTTGAAATTGGTATCGTGACACTCTCTCAGTTTTAGTAATGTTGAAAACATATTTTTGGCAGGTAGTTTTTTTTTGTTTTTTCCTCCGTAGCTGGTCAGCTTTTACATATTTCATGCCCTACATCAATCTTTAATTCTTATGTCACCCTAACATCTGTTTGTATTCTCATCGGCAGTGATTTTCTGGCCAACCAGGCTAAGTGTTATGTGGAAGGTATCCAGTGGATTCTTCACTACTATTACCACGGGGTTCAGTCCTGGAGCTGGTGAGCTTCTTCTCTTAAGTCTCTGTTTCCCCTTCCTGTGGTCTGAGGAGAAGTCTGATAATGTATTTAAGGATCTTGAAAAATGTGGAATTATCGTATAATATCTCAGAAACTAAATCTACACTTTCACAACCATGCCTTTTAATAAGATACACAAATAAGAAAAAACGAATGTCTACAAATGTTGCCGACATGATATAATACACACAAAATAATGGCAACATATTTCCCTGACTCGCCTTCCTTACATCTCTTTAAATTATCTTTATTGAAATCAGTGTTTTAATACGATGTGCATGTCCCTTCAGGTACTATCCCTTCCACTACGCTCCCTTCCTGTCGGACATCAGGAAGATAGCTGGGTTGAAGTTGACCTTTGACTTTGGGAGACCATTCATGCCCTTCCAGCAGCTGCTGGCCGTCCTGCCTGCTGCCAGCATGGAGCTGCTGCCTGAGAGTTACAGGGTAACACACTCCTGTCCAAGCACACACTCTCACACACATACAACAGTTAGTATGCACAGAATATTTACAGTGAGTTAATCTGATTGGTTTTCACTTTGTACAAGTATACTAAAACTTAGTATTAAGTACCATTTTAGAAGACCAATCTGACTTCAGAACAAATTGTTTAATTGTTTAATGTTTAAATTGAACATTTGTGTTATTTTAGAGAAAATATCAAGATCTATTTAAAATATTCTGATACATAGCATTTAAATATTGTGGTGATATTTGTAAAGCATATTGCTCAGCTCTAAGGGGTAAAAATACACAGTATATCTTTTTGTCTTTTTAAATATTTATGTTTCTATCTTTCTTTCTCTTCTTCCCACTGTAAATATATAAACATTGTAGGGATTCTATATCATATGTACAATAAAATTAAGTCTGCACTCGGAATAACTTAAACACATATACAATGGGGAAAAAAAGTATTTAGTCAGCCACCAATTGCGCAAGTTCTCCCACTTAAAAAGATGAGAGGCCTGTAATTTTCATCTATAGGTATACCTCAACTATGAGAGACAAAATGAGAAAGAAAAATCCAGAAAAACACATTGTCTGATTTTTAAAGAATTTATTTGCAAATTATGGTGGAAAATAAGTATTTGGTCAATAACAAAAGTTTATCTCAATACTTTGTTATATACCCTTTGTTGGCAATGACAGAGGTCAAACGTTTTCTGTAAGTCTTCACAAGGTTTTCACACACTGTTGCTGGTATTTTGGCCCATTCCTCCATGCAGATATCTTCTAGAGCAGTGATGTTTTGGGGCTGTCGCTGGGCAACACGGACTTTCAACTCCCTCCAAAGATTTTCTATGGGGTTGAGATCTAGAGACTGGCTAGGCCACTCCAGGACCTTGAAATGCTTCTTACGAAGCCACTCCTTCGTTGCCCGGGTGGTGTGTTTGGGATTATTGTCATGCTGAAAGACCCAGCCACGTTTCATCTTCAATGCCCTTGCTGATGGAAGGAGGTTGTCACTCAAAATCTCACGATACATAGCCCCATTCATTCTTTCCTTTACACGGATCAGTCGTCCTGGTCCCTTTGCAGAAAAACAGCCCCAAAGCATGATGTTTCCACCCCCATGTTTCACAGTAGGTATGGTGTTCTTTGGATGCAACTCAGCATTCTTTCTCCTCCAAACACGTCTAGTTGAGTTTTTACCAAAAAGTTCTATTTTGGTTTCATCTGACCATATGACATTCTCCCGATCATCTAAATGCTCTCTAGCTGGTTCTGGGATTTTTGCTCACCGTTCTTGTGATCATTTTGACCCCACGGGGTGAGATCTTGCGTGGAGCCCCAGATCGAGGGAGATTATCAGTGGTCTTGTATGTCTTCCATTTTCTAATAATTGCTCCCACAGTTGATTTCTTCACACCAAGCTGCTTACCTATTGCAGATTCAGTCTTCCCAGCCTGGTGCAGGTCTACAATTTTGTTTCTGGTGTCCTTTGACAGCTCTTTGGTCTTGGCCATAGTGGAGTTTGGAGTGTGACTGTTTGAGGTTGTGGACAGGTGTCTTTTATACTGATAAGGAGTTCAAACAGGTGCCATTAATACAGTTAACGCTTGGAGGACAGAGGAGGCTCTTAAAGAAGAAGTTACAGGTCTGTGAGAGTCAGAAATGTTGTTTGTTTGTAGGTGACCAAATACTTATTTTACAGAGGAATTTACCAATTACTGAATTAAAAATCCTACAATGTGATTTCCTGGATTCTTTCCCCCATTCTGTCTCTCATAGTTGAAGTGTACCTAGGATGAAAATTACAGGCCTCTCTCATCTTTCTAAGTGGGAGAACTTGCACAATTGGTGGCTGACTAAATACTTTTTTGCCCCACTGTATATGCAAGATCAAACGTAAAATATATAAAAGATAATGAATTGTTTTTGATGTTTCAGCACCTGATGAGGAGTGAAAACTCACCCATCATTGAGTACTACCCTGTTGACTTCAAAACAGATCTCAACGGCAAGCAGCAGGAGTGGGAGGCTGTGGTTCTGATCCCCTTCATAGATGAGGTACACACACACACACACACACACACACACACACATACACACACACACAGAGGGAGGAAAAACTCCTACATTTATTAAAAAGCGTACTCGTATGTGTTTTTATTGAACAGAGGTGCTTACTGGGCGCCATGGAGCCCTATAACGACAAGATGACCAAAGCGGAGAAGGACAGGAACTGTCACACAGATTGTGCCGTTTACTCGTACGACTCTGAGGTCGACTTCCCCTTAAACTCCAGCCTGCCGCAGCTCTTCCCCGACATCATGCACTGCAAAGTCAGGTGGGTACACACACACACACACTCACACACATGAAATACAGTTGTCTTTCTCTAACAATCTTTCATAGTCCGCTACAAAAAGGAGAAAGTAGTATAAATAATAATAATGTCATATATATAATACCTTTTTCTTATGTCTATATAAATATTTTTATTTTATTGCATGTTCAATGTGCACATTGAACACATTTTTTTTGTTTATGCTGCGACTGTCACAAAAGCTTAATAAAGAATTATCTTTCAGAATAATGAAAAATAATACTAGAGATTCAGGTCCTTTTTATAAATACAATTGCCCCTCACTTGAACAAGAGTAAACGGATAATGAAATGAAACAAATAGGTTATCAAATGTTGTTTAAAGTGTCCAGAGAGACTCCATTCCTATGACATTTACTTAAAGATTGATAGCATTGTTTTTTTGTTTGTTACAGGAAATCAAACATCCCTATGGATGCTTGGTATGTTCCTCTGGACCACGTCAGCAGACGCCTCGACCGCTCAGCTCTGTACTTCTGCGGCTTCCCCACCCTGCAACACATCAAACACAAGGTGTGTGTGTGTGTGTGTGTGTGTGTGTGTGTGTGTGTGTGTGTGTGTGTGTGTGTGTGTGTGTGTGTGTGTGTGTGTGTGTGTGTGTGTGTGTGTGTGTGTGTGTGTGTGTGTGTGTGTGTGTGTGTGTGTGTGTGTGTGTGTGTGTGTGTGTGTGTGTGTGTGTGTGTGTGTGGGGACTCTCTCACCCCTCTAACTGTTGTGTGCCTGTCCCTCTTGTCCACGGCTCACTTTTAGTTTTTCAAGAAGAAGAGTGGAGTGATGGTGTTCCAGCAGAGCAGCCGAGGGGAGAACATGATACTGGAGATCCTTCACACAGAGGAAAGCGAGGCGGTAAGCTACTTACTCATCTCATTTCATAAAGACACTGCTGAAAATACAGACTTTAGCATTAAAAAAACAAAATGGTAGAATAGAATTAGTAGAATACTAGGCACACAAATGTCTAATAGGTTAAAAATAATGAAGTGATGTTTTTTTGGACAGACGTGGCTTTATAATAGAATACATGTATTGCTAGTTATTGCCATAGGTGCATGACTAAGAAATGCAATGAAGCCGGTTTCCTCTGGTCGAAGAATGGGATACAAAAAGTGTTTTGTATTGTTATCATGACCTTCTCGTGTCTGCACTGTGCAGGTGTAATATGTAGGAGAACAGGGTTCTGATTTAGGCATTTTTCATAAATACTAAAACATCCGATATAATATTTAGTTTTTCTGCTAGTTACTTTTGCTCTTACTCTTTTAAACACTGTGTATATAAACGTTCCACTGAAACCTACTGACCCCTGTTTCTTTTCGGTTTGTTCCTCTTTAGTTATGTGATGCTGTATCTGCAAAGGTTCTTGGGAAGTCTGTGTTTGTCAACTGGCCGCATCTAGAGGAAGCCCGCATCATCGCAGTGTCAGATGGAGACGTCAAGTAAGATTTAGTACAGGGCTGAATGTCTCAAATATGTATATATTTATTTAATTTTCACACTCTGGCTAATTCTTCACATGGATACATTATTAAAACCATAGAGTAGAATGTAGGTATGGCTGTGTTTTTAGGAGAATCTGTGTGATTTTGAAGGAAAGCCTTTATCAGCCAATAACAACTTAAATCAAATGATTATGTTGATGGAGAAGACACATCCTGTGCTAACGAGACACATCCTGTGCTAACGAGACACATCCTGTGCTAACGAGACACATGCTGAATTACCTAATGTAGCATGCATGTGACTTTTCTCAAAGGGAGTTTGAATAATGACAGCAACAACACACATTTCAGCCATTTTGAAGAAGCACACCTACAAATAAGTACTATATTTTTAAGTGCATGCTCTTGACTTGAACAGATATGTTTTAGTTGGGCCTAGTTATCTGGTTAGAATATGCTTTAGTGCTCCACAGTATTACATTGCTAAGTTTCTGTTTCTCGTAACTGGGTGTGTTTCCTCCCCGTTAGCATGCTGAGAGTTCTGTCTGTAAGAAGAGTCAAGCTCTGACACGTGAAATCTCTCCCTCTGCTTTGCAGGTTCTGTCTAGAGGAACCGCCTGGTGTCCAGAGACTGTACGACAGGCCCTCCACCCCCCCCCCCCTCTAAAGTCAACTGCATGTCTGACAAGGAGCAGAAGGACTGGGTGAAGGACGTGCAGGGACTCACTGAATAGTAAGGCACAGTGAACAACAGACACTTTAGAATGAATAGACAAAGCACAACCGTTTTAATAGTACTCATATCTTTGTATTTATCCTGTTGCCGCATTTTAGAATGAAATAAATAAAAGCTAAACAAATATATAAACAATAGCAAGAGTGTGCAATGAAAAGAAACAATTACATAAAGATATTATGGAAACTAACAATGTATACCAGCCTGATTTGCACCATGACTCGACACTGCAAGGATTATTCTTCCACACTGCAAAGCCACGTCACCTTTGTAGCCATGTAGCTTCCAGGACAGCCCATACAGATGCGTTGAATATGTCTTGGCACTCAAATTCAATCTGATCACTTGAAAATATGACTAAATCACCTTAAAGATCTTATTTGAGAAACACGATGGATCTGGACGTTGCCAAGGTGGTTAAGATATTTCTAAACGTCTCCTACGGGTTAAAGCAAACAGCATCATAGACCGTCAAAGACCTATCCATCCCTAAATTATGATAAAGTGTGGCCTCTCCTCTCTTATTGTCCAAATCCTCTCTTAAAATGTGTTTTCTTTGTCCCAGTTTCAATAAGAGGAAAGGCATCATAGTGAACGAGACATCGGTGGTTTTGTACGGCCAGACGCTGGCGGGAAGGAAATACGTCCCCAAAGCCAACGGGGTGGTGGAGCTGGAGAAGCAGTGGGCCAAGCAGGTCCTCCCCTTCGCCTTCCAGACCGTGGTTAAGGTACATGCCCAAACATGCAAGAAAAGAATACACAGGTCATATTTGAAAGATAGCCAGGGTGAGATGTTAAGCTGAGATGTGATGTTTCCCAGCAGGGAGACGAGACTGCAGAAAGATCTGCCTGAGCTGGGGAGTGCAGACAAGCACATTTCACTTTCAAATAAATAAAATGAGAACAAGTGTGTGTTATGTGAGCAGTGATTTGCACAAGCATATTTAATGTAGGGACGTGGTAGAAGAATTTAGATTGACATTCATCATCTTATTAAGTGATAATACTCTTGCTTTCTCACTCATATTCCTCACTTCTCTCCTCAGGACATCGAGGCCTTTTGCTCGTCTGAGAGCTGCTTCAGGAGCCTAGACGAGCTTTTCCCTCCAGCAACAAATGTCTTCATGGTGGGGAACCCTTACTACGGAGCCATGGGCGAGGTATGTGATCACTTCTCTGCTTCAGTCAGTAGAGAAAGTCCTCTCTCTGATAATGATGTGATACTCCAATCGTATAGCTTTTTAATTTTAATGTTCTTTTGGTAACGTCAATTATTTTTGGAAGGAAACATGTTGACAATGTCTCCTCCTGAATCACACCATCTCTTTTATTACTTTTTAAACATTTTTTATTTAATTGTATTTATTTTATTTGTATTCAAAAAAGGAAAGAAAAATACATTTTGATACTTCAGATAAAATATTTTTTAAATATCAAATTAGTTTTCATTGCCTTCTTATTCCTAATGTTTTTAATAGTGCTAATATATTGTTTAAATTCTTGATAGAAATGTGTAAAATGTGGTTTGGAGTCAGCACATTTCTTTTTGTGGATAATATGAAATGTCCCTAAAAATCCAATCAACTGCACAGAAAAGGCAAAATCTGCATCCATACTATCATCCCTGAAGTACATAAGAATGTCTTTGTCCTGGAGTTGAACCTTTTGTCCCGTCTTTCTTCTAATACAACATTCCACATCATACCACAATATCAATAGTTTCTTCTTGTGGATTACAAAATGTACAGGAATATTCAATATCAAGTCCCAAATCTCTTTTATTACTATCCAACAGGTGCAGGACTCTAGTGATGTAATCAACGAAGGCCGTGTACGAGTGGTCTTCAACGTGCCGCACGAACCGCAGCTGGAGCCCTTAATACAGAATCAGCATGTAAGAAACACATTCACTCCTGCAAAGCCAAAGAAATGAGATGTAGTGTCAAGAATACTTTCCTCACGCGTGTACTGTTGTATTCTGTAGAAGTACTGTGTGAAGTACAGTCCCGGATACATTCTGGCTTCTCGTCTCGGCATCACCAGCTACCTCGTCTCCCGCTTCTCGGGAAGCATCTTCATTGGCCGAGGCTCTAAGAGGAAGTAAGTGGAGAAATGGACCATACACGGTAGTTCTCACAAGTTTCGCTATTCTGATATTTCAATGTTCTTTCTTGAAAATATGTTTCAAATCAAGTTTTATTTATATAGCACATTTAAAGGTGGGGTAGGTAAGTTTGAGAAACCGGCTCGAGATACACTTTTTGTTATATTCCATGGAATGCTCTTAACGTCCCGATAGCAATGAATATCTTAAGGGCTTTGACAAAAAATCCATAAAAACATTTCATCTGTGGAAGCCGTAGTACTGTAAAAAGCACGACCAATCATCTGAGCCGGCCCGGCTAAAGTAACTGGATGGCCTACCTGCCTGTCAGCCTTCCATCTGTGCACAAACTTATCTCGTGCCCTCATTGGTCATGTGCGCGTTCGTGTGTGTTGGAGGAGGGGCTCTGTAAGGAAGTGTCAGATTTTTTCCGGCTGTGTATTTTCAAATTCGAGCGCACTCGAGCTGGTTTCTCCAAAATTACCTACCCCACCTTTAAAAGTGATTTTTGGTCGAGCCAAAGTGCTGTACATGTAATAAAAACACATTACTTCAATCACAATAAAAGACAATAATTTACAACAGAAATATAAAAAACTAAAACACAGGGAATAGTCATGAGTCGTGCTCCGCTCTGACTAGAAGGCCAGGGAGAAGAAGTGAGTCTTTAGTGAGGATTTAAAAACCCCTAGTGTCTGGGCCGACCTCACATGGAGGGGCAGAGTGTTCCAGAGCCTGGGGCCAGCTGCTGCGAAGGCTCGGTGCCCTCAGGTTTTGAGCCTGTTCTTGGGCACTACCAGCAGCAGCTGGTCAGCAGACCTTAAAGCTCTGGCTGATGTTTAGAATTGAAACTCCAATGGCCTTCTTATTTCTGAAATCCCAGCAGCCCATTCCACATCGCCCACTCCTGCTGTTAACTTCTTTAAACTCTGTATCTAAAAGTAGATTTGTTCTATTGAGGAGAACTTTCTCTCTCTTTCTGTGCACCAATATCTTTCTACTTCCTTGTTTGCAGTCCCTGTGGCGAGCAGAAAGCTAACGTTGGACTGAACCTGAAGTTCAACAAGAAGAACGAGGAGGTTCCTGGGTACACCAAGAAGACGGAGAAGGAGTGGCTCTACTCTAATGCTGTGGAGGAACTGCTGGCCGAATACCTGGACAGGTAAAAAAACTTTCAAACAAACCCTGTGTGATAAAAATAATACTGTTCCATCTAGTGCTGCGTACCTGGACTCACATTCAGGTTCAGGTCCGGACTCAAGTCCAGAGGTTCAGGTTCAGGTCCGGACTTATAAGTCCGGACCTGAACCCATGGCTTGTGTCAAGTTGTGTGAGTAACTAAAGTGAACTTATTGTGAGCTAATTATCAATTGAAAATTAACTCATAATCAACTCAAATTCAAACTCGTGAGGTTTATTGTGGTCCGTTACAACTTGTGTCTACATTTCTCTACAAAGTACAAATGTAAAAAAAAAATGACTTATGACAGCAACTACAGTGAACTACTACAAAGTTCAAACATTTATTTCATTTACCAAACTAAAGTAACCAAACAGTCCCTGAGCTGACTGAGCCTAAATCCCTAAAACGTTGCTGAAAGGTAGAGTGGAGAGTAGACTATACGCATTACACTGTTACACACCTGCTGTACAGTATACACACTGTAGTGACTGTACAGTCAGAGTGTACTGTACTGTCTGTACACCATGTCTTTTCTACAACTCTACATGTGTACATTATACAGTACATACTACATACATAGTGATGTACATACATACTGTTAGAAATTCAAATCAATGTTGATATAGCGTAATTTTGAATTAATACACTATTTAATTTAAATCAGTTTTATTCTGAAAAAACCGGAAGTTCGCACTATTAATTTAATACTTTTATTCTGAAAATTCTTCACTTCCGGTTAGCATTAGCATGTGGCGAAATGCTACGTTTTCAAACCGTGAATCGAAGGTGAAATGACATGTGATGTTGTACACTGGGATTAGCACTGATTTATTGACGTTGAATAAAGTTTATCAGGGAATGTTTAAATAACCACAGACACCAGAATATACGTAAATGCTAGTTTTTTTGCGAGTCCAAGTACCGGTTCCCGACGTTCCGGTTTTAACCGGACTTGAACCAAAACTGTTTACAAGTCCAGTACCGGTTCGGCGTAGTTCCATCCCTATTCATCTATCACCATGCTGCCGTTACATGAATCCTCCATTCTTCGGTTGTGTTAGAACCTCTGAAAAACTCAAATCGATTGGAAATGTGTTTAAAAAGTACATCTTAAAACATGCAGGCAGATTTTAAAGGGATTTCGGTACAGATCTAGATTAAAGGTCACCTATGCTTTTTGGGGTTTTCCCTTTCCTGTAGTGTGTTATGCTCTTATGGTGTTATGGTGTGCAAACAATCCCAAAGGTCCCTCCAGAGGGAGTGTTAAAAATAGCATATGTTTAAAATAAAAGGAAATTGTAGTGTGACTCAAACTGTTACATTCTTTTACTATTTCATACTTTTTATTATTGTTTTTTGTGTCTTTCTAGATTTTCTGAGGTATTCAACTTGGTGTCCAGGAACAGTCATGATGACGTTTTCTATGAAGACGACATCTGGTCTGGAGAGGACCACAATGGGTAAATGCACATGCACACATGCACATACATTGTCTGCCCTGTCAGCTGGAAAACTAAGAAATGGCCGCCTGTATCAGCTGAGGAGCATTTCCTCTTGCATTACTTCTGCTAAACTGTTCACCCACAGTTTGACCACATCTCGTGAATGAATTGGATTGATGGAGTATTTACTGATAATCTCCTATATCTATGGACACAGGGCAGAGAAGGTCTCTGAAATCACCTCATGGCTGAAAAGTCACCCAGTGAGCTCCATCAGCAGGTCGTCATGTGACCTGCAGGTGCTGGACTCGGCCATCGTGGAGAGGATCGAGGAGGCGGCGGAGAAAGCCAAGGTCACACACACACACACACACATACACATACATACATACATACATACATACATACACACACACACACTTCCTACAGTTACTGTATCAGAAGCTCTCTTTGTGAACTCACACACTCTTCCTCTCTCTCACCATCCCGCTCTCAGGTGAAGAAGAGCACCAAGAAAGTCAGAGTGACAGTCAAGCCTCATCTGCTCTTCAGGGTGAGTGTATTTTGTCTGAATGTGTCATTATTCATGTCTGCTTATTGAAAAAATGCACATATAGCTTTTAGCTTTATTTAGCATCTGGAAATGGCAAAGGCAATTTTATGACTTATTATTGACTAAATAATATAAAGAAAGTTGTGAATATAAATGCCAGTTGGTATTGTATTGAACATATGAATGTGTGTGTTTGTGTGTAGCCCATGGAGCAACACCAGGGTGTGGTGCCGGACCCTGACTCAGAGTACCGCCTGTTTGACCGCATCATCAACACCAGGGAGGGCTTCTCCGTCCCCCTGGGATGCAGAGGGACCATCATCGGCATTCAAGGAGGTGAGGACACACTGTCATTTCTTTCATGCTACTCATGTTATTGTTTCTTTCACCTGCTATCAACAAAAGGCGGGCAATGCTCGATTTAATCCTGTAAACAAACCACTAGGGCTGTCCCGAATACCTTTTTTCGGGCTCCGGATATTCTTTAGTAATCAGCAGCGAATATTAGAATATTCGTTCCGCGCGGGGGGGGCCTAGTAATCAGCAGCGAACCGCTTCGACACGTGTATTTTGGTTTATTCACGGCATTCTTTTTGTTATTCTACAGTATTGTTGTTTTATAGTTATTTGTTAATGTATACAACCCAATTGTGTGTTACTTTTGTTGCAGTTGTATATATGTCTTAAGTGTAATTTGGCTTGGCTTCCTATTTTTTATGGACATGCTTTTATTTTGAAGGAGAGTTAGCACCGTTGACAGGAAGTTGTTGTTGCTATGGAAACAACGCGACGGAGATTAACGGAGAAAAAGTAATATCTACATATAAAGACGGAGAAAGTAAACGATAACGTTTATGGTTAAGTGTTAGCACCCCCGAAGAGGCACAAGCTCTTACGTTGATATTGGAGATTTCAATAAATAAATAAATGAATTGTAGTGTGACTGATATATGAGGTTTTGCTTCAATTACTGCAGTATTCATCAACCTTATAAGGCCAAGTCTATTGTTGGCTGTGATAAATATTGAGATCTTGACTTGTGTTGGGGTACAGATACTTAGTAGTAGCATTTGTAGTTTGACTTTAAAAACATGCTTATTATAAATGGATAAACAGGATTTACTTTTTTAACTCATCTCTGCAACACAATACATTGAAGTCTTTGACATGACGTCAACATCTTCATATTCTGTAAATAATGTTGGTTCATTTATTTAAGCTAAAACTCTGGCCATATGTTACACATCTCACCTTTTTAAGGGCATCCTGCATGTCTAGAATATAAAGCAGAGAATATACATATAAACTATAATACTCAAAGTTTATATTGTGACTGTCTTCCAGCGGAGCGTGAGGCCGAGGTTCTCTACGAAGTGCTTTTTGACGATGAGTTTGCTGGAGGTCTCAACATCAGGTAATCACAGAATCTAATAGTAAAATATATAGTAGGGAAAAGCCTCCCACTCCTCACCAGAATGATTTAAGAGCAGACATGTGAGTGCTGACGGTTTAATGGTCCTGTGTCCTCAGGACTAAGTCTCCCCGTGGTTACCGCCTCCCCCCCTGCGCCCTCATCAACCTCACCCACGGAGTGAGGGTGGATCAAAGCTGCCACAAGCTCACTGCCATCGTCAAACCTCAGCCCGCCGCCAACTTCAACTCCCAACGCCAGGGGTCCAGCCTCAACCACTCCCCCCGATCCCCCTTCACCCCCACACAGGTAAAGATAAGATCGGATCGATTTTATTGATCCTAAAATGTTTGATTTGTTTTCATTACAGCAGCATAAAGAAAAACAAGGCAATGCACATAATTAGAAATTAAAAAGTGTAGAAAATAAACAATTGTAAAATATAAACATTTCTAAATAAAACGGAACTAAAGAGTAGAAAATATACAGGTTGACCGTGAAGATAAACATCTGTAAACTCTCTGACAAACAGAACACTATTGAAGGGCCCATTTACAGCTAACACAGTATAAAAGTAGGGTACTATTTACATTAAGTTATGGTGGAGTCCAACACAAAGTCCCAAAGTGAAAGATTTTGACAGGAAATAAAAGCTGTTATTGTAAAACTTCCACATCCGTCTTCTTCCCTTTCACTCAAACTCTTCTCTGTATTCCATGTCTCCTCCCCTGCAGCATAACAGTAAACACGGCGTGGTGAAAGCAGCCTCCCAAGGTCTCGGGCAGAAACAACAGGCCAAGGTAAGCAGAGTGTACCTGGACATGTGTTAGAGAAGCCCTCTCAACTTATCAGGCGCTTTAACCACGTATTCTTACTAGGGATGTAACGATACCAAAAACTCACGGTACAATATTTATCGCGAAATTGAATTTTTTTTACTTGAATTCTTTTTCTTTATTAAATAATACATCTGATTTGTACAGCATTTTAGTAGGATAGTGCTATTTTAAAGTGTCAACAAAATAATAATCAGACCCTGCAATAGAATAAATCAAGTTTCACTTTAGTTTTTCAAGTAACTCAACTCTAACTCACTCACTCACTCACTCACTCACTCACTCACTCACTCACTCACTCACTCACTCACTCACTCACTAACTCACTCACTAACTCACTCACTCACTCACTCGCTCACTCACTCGCTCAGCATCATCAAGGTTATCTTTTAGGAATATGAGCATGTCCACATTTCCAGGTAGAAGCTGGGATGTTTGGCCGTTTACAAAATCCTCTGCTGTGGAAACAACTCTCTTGCTTGGTACTGATGTTGCTGGGACAGAGAGATATGCTTTGGCCATGGGTGACAGCAGTGGGTAAAACTGTGCATTGTCTCTCCACTTCAAAAACAATACAGTTTTTGCCAAGAAGGTGAGGCTTATTGACAGAGATATAAATATACTGTTGGTACTTGTCAATGTCTCTAGGTATGTACATGTAGCCCTGTAAATACGATGTCCTTTTGTGTTATCTGTTGTTTTATGTTCATGTTGTACTTGCTGCCATGTTGGACAAGACTCCCTTGAAAAAGAGATTGATGATCTCAATGGGACCACCTAATTGAATAAAGGTTTAAAAAAAATATATATATATATAGTATATTTTGTCAGTCTCACGACGGTATTGAGACATGTATTTACCGTGATATTCGATATATCGTTACATCCCTAATTCTTACACATTTTGCATCTTTGTCTCTTCTTCTTCTTCTTCTTCAGGAGTACAACAATGTGTGGCAGTCTCTGCAGAACTCTGCTGACCCTCCTCTCCAACCTCCTGCTCACTGGCACAATGTACGTCTGTGTGGGAAAGTGTGTGTTTGGGCGCGTTTTAAAAAGTCTAGTGTGGCACCTTGGGGCTGGCGGCTCTTGAAGTTTTTGTACGTTATTTGACACTAAAGTTTCCATATGAGTTTATAGATTCATAGTGGCATAGGGTAAGGCACAGCTCTCTAATACGACAAAAAGATGTTGATACTTAAGATGCATCGCCACTTTACATTAAACCCTGGAGAGGTTAACTGTTGAAATCACAAAACATATTCTAGAGTTGCAGTTTCACATGCAAAATACAACGGAGCTAATACACGGCAAAGTATGTCTTTGAAACCGACTAATATTGAAGTTACGGTATCTTAAAGCTAGCATTTTGACTAATAAAAAGAACATTGTGTGTTTCCAACTCTAGGAAGGACTTAGCCAACAGGGGAAGAACCAGCACGCTAACAAAGCTGTAAGTACACACGTGCTCAGAACACACATGCATGCTCTCCCAGCATGCAACACTGCAAGATACCGGGTCATCAGCAGGAGAGCAGCATTTTTACAAATGATCCTAAAAGCAGTTTATTTATCTGAGCGGGGACATGTGGAAGAATGTATCAGTAATAACAACATATAAAGGAAGCTTTGGGTCAAGGGAAAGATCAACAGATGGTTGTTTATTTATGTGTAAACTGTTCTTCTCATTGCTTTTTTGTTGCTATATTTCTACTTTTGTGAACATGTGGTTTAAATATGATGTGTACTTTACAGGCCCCAGTTGGTGGCATCAGACTGTTGAAGAAAAATGAAGACGTCAACTCCCTTTTCCCCCCCCAGAACACAGCCAATAAGGTACATGCACGAACACACACACTTTTGATCTCCTTTTCCCATTTTCTATCCATTATATTTTCTTCTGTGTCCTTACATATTCCTCTCGCTTAGTCTACCACTGAGTTTGAGGACCTGATAGCCAGCCTGCAGATCTCCAAGGGCAACCAGCAAACTCTACCGCCTCCTGCTCCCCAACAAGTAACCACCAGCCAATCAGATGGCCCGCTGTCCCCTCAGTCCTTTGCAATGGTGAGTGTTGCTGAAAAAGGTTTGGTTCAAATATTTAGTATGTTGGTTAGAGACTTGATGAGATCTTTCTTTGATACCCCTTTAAAACGTATGTGGCCATAAGTTGTTTTCCTTTTCCATCAGTATTTTTAGATTGGAATAGTCTTAATCATTTTTGATATCAATTGTGTTCCTTACTTTTATTTCAATCCAGCCATTCTTTACTAGGACAGCTCGGGATAACTAAACTGGGTCTGTGTGTTCTCTCTCGTTGCAGAAGGGAACCCTGATGCTGAAGGAGATGCTGAAGATTGACGGCGCTGGAACAGGAAGTCCCCCCCCTCAGGAGGCCGCCGGGGGCCAGCAGCAGAACAGGAGACGGTCCAACAAGAAACTGGGTACAAAACCGTCGCGACACCACAAGCAAATGTTCTGCGAGCACATTTATAGACCCAGATCTTTTTTGGTTTTTGTTACAATAATGAACAGACAAACAATATGAGAGCAGACGGGTCATCCTGGGTAAAGAGACATGCTTACTATGTTGTAGAAAACATTATACATAATATACGTACTTGCACACACATCTATACAATCGTATATACATTTCTCTCCTTAGACGCTCCCAACAGTTATACATATGTAGGCATGTAGCAGGGTCACATCACACTATCAGGGTCTTTGTGCCACTTTGTCCTTTATTGACCTTTTTAAATGTGTTTTCTCCTTCTCATCCAATGTTCACTCCCTCCAGCAGCCAATATGACCTCCCCCCGCGGTGACGGCCCTGTTTTACCCCCTCCAAATCTCTCCAACGCCGTTCTGAACAGTAAGGTGTCGGAGCTGGCGTGCATCTGTGTGGGGTTAGGGATGGCCCCGCCCGACTTCAGCTTCATAAGCAACAGACAGGTAACTCGGCGCTTTGAAACACACATGGAACGTTTCTGTATTCTCATTTGGTCTGTTGTTTTGCTAAATATCAAAGCGTAATACCTGCAGATATATGGCCCCCAGTCTACAGGAGTGTGTCTGTTTGTGTTGCACTAACGTTGTCCTCTCTCCCCAGACTGTAGTGTGTCAGGTGAAGCTGTCCAATGGGCTCATGGTTCACGGTCCCCAGTGCCAATCAGAAAATGATGCCAAGGAAAAAGCTGCCTTCTTTGCCCTCCAGAGACTGGTACACCAAACACATGCACGCAAGGGTTTAAATGTGCTTGCAGTAGTTAGTTGGATGCAGTAGCCATTTTATTTCCGCAGGATCTGGGAAGTCCAGTTATTCCAGTGGCAATTATTTTCCTCATATATTGTTTAACACATTGCAATGGGAACGTGCATTTGATTTGATCACTGCAGCATGTAGCCAGATGATGTATTAAGTTGAGCTGTGTTCAACATCTTTGGTGGTTAACCCTGTGTTTTATTGGTATTTACCATACAAGAGAAAAACAAGTCATTTATGTCTACTTAGAGCATCACTTGCTATCCAAACTGTAAAGGAGTGTAAATGTGAATACGTTGGTGTTGTTCAGATTTCCAGTTAGAGCTTCTCTCTGTCCTCTCCTGTAGAACTCTTTGGGGTCGGGCTTCCCCCTCCCACCTGCTCTCTTCCCAGGAGTGGGTCAGATACGACCCCCACCCTTAGGCATGAACCCCGTCTTCAGCCAACAAGGTCTGTCTTCTCTCCTTACATCTTACATGACGAGTCTGTGAGGAAAGAAGGATATCAACAACATTTTCTTTCATTCAAATTCAACTAAAAATGTATTTCTTGAATATAAACTTTTGAAATATAACCTGTTAATGATTTTATTCCCATCAACCGATTGATTATTCAACTTATCATTTTCCATTGTTTTTATGAATGCCTAGTAATAACCATATGTCACAGCTTTTACAAATATACATTTCTGCCTTATTTTGGTATGTCTTTGTCAATTCAAATCTTTATCGTAAATATGAATACATTAATTTGACCCTTTCTCTGGCTGTTATCTCATGTGCGTCCTCGTGTCCTCCAGGCGGTATGCTACTGCCTCCCCAGGGCTTCGGCCCCGGCCCCCTCTGGGGGATGCCGCTGCCCCCCCACCACCACCCGAACCAGCAGTTCTTCGGAGCACCAGGACCCTTCCCTGGGGCCCCCCGCCCCCAGAACCCTGCATCAATGCCCATCGGCTCACACAACCAGTTTGTCCCGCTGCAGGTACGAAAACGATCGAGATATATTGAAATAATGTTGCTGTATTTCGACTTCCTGTGCCGATTCTGTGTGAATGAGCTTTACTGTGTCTGTAATAATCCGTTTATGTAGGTTAACCTTTGTACCATGATGTTGTTTTTATGCTATGGTTTTGTTTCCTGTTGAGTCTGCTAAATCCTATTGATATCTGTTAAGGGTCGCTCGCATAACATAAACATGTAGTCAACATTTAACGTCCGTTGCTACGTTGTCTAATACATTTTTACTGTGGGTGATATACAAAGCTGTAATACTCTCGGAGTCTTCACACACATGCTCCAGAAAGACTCGTATTGTGACTATTTTACTGCTGTGCAACAGGAAGGATCATTAACTTTAATTACCAGTGTCCCTGTGTTTCCAAAGAGTGGGGCAGTGAGGATGTCTTTTTGTAAGTGAGCCTGGGCGTTAGCATTGTTAGTGTTCCCTCCATAAAAATAGTATTTTTCCCTTTTTTAATTTTGGTATATTGCAGAAAATAAGATAATTTCCCACCCCCACGTTTATTCTCCACATATTAACACCACCCTGCAGAACTCAAAAACCTAAATCAGGCTATCAACGACACCGTGGTTGCATGGCTACGCGTCGCCACCGCTAAGTTAAAGGTGGCTAATGCTCGGCATGATGTCGCCATGATGAGTAGTTTATTCAGGTGCTTGTTAGCAGCCTGTGTTTAATGATACATAGAAGCTACTGTCATGTATTAGTGAGGTATCTACTATTATTTGTTGTCGTAGAACAACATGTAAAGACTCTTAAGCCTCTGCCAACCACAGACCTTATTTCAGGCATCTTACCACATTTATTTGACTTAGAGACAAGGGAACCAAAGTTTTAAAATGCCGACTAATTCCCAGGTTTCAGGACTCATTCCGTTATATCCTAGTGTTAGAAAACGGATCAACCACAATTCCTTCTGTTCTCGTTTAGACAAAGTCGAGTCTTTTTAACCCAGCTTTTCCACCGTCCTCTGACACTTCAGGTGACCAAGAAACGAGTCTCCGCCAACAAGAAGAACCAGGACACTCGGGAGTTTTACAGCGCCGCCCACACTGTGACCAGGAACCAATCACAGAAACCCCAGAACCAGCCCTTCGGCAATCAGCTCGCTCAATGCGAACCCCAGGGCGTTAACGTCGGCCAAGTAGCAGACCCCGTCTCCACGACAACAGCACTCCCACACACCCCTCCTCGACAAAACGTCCCGGCGACAGGCCACACCCCCAGCTCCTCCTCCAAGAAGAAGCACAGGAAACTGGCAGTCAACTTTGAGGCGGCGAAAGTGTCCGAGTGATGAGCTGGTGTGTGTGTGTGAGTGTGTGTAAGTGTGTGAGGAGAGAGAAGTGTGCCTGGTGTTTTTAAGCTGCTGTTTTAAAGCCTGACTCGGCATCTCTGATCGAAACCTCATCAATGTGAAAGATTTTTCCCACTTGCTATGTCTATGAACTTTTACTTTATAATGTTTCAGTATGGGGATTGAATCTGTTTATAGCACTATATCATAGTAACAAGCACTTATGAATATCCATAATACCAAAAAACACTGATCCTTCGAATGAGCAGTTATGACCTTTAAGTCATTATAAAATCATTTATAATGTGTTTTGATTATCATTAGAAAAATTATGGATATTTATAATTCCTTATGACTCTACAGTGCTATATAATGATAAGTATGGTTATATAACATTATAGACCTGGTGTAAAAGAAAGTGTTACTTTATAGTCGTATGTAGTTCACAAACAACATTATTCCCACTTCAATCTAACATAACCCCCTGAGATCCTTACATGAGTGTAACCCTGGTTCTTGCTCTGAACAGCTGAGAGGCGGGGGGGATTCACAGACTTGAGTTGCTTTTGCCTTAGTTTTGGATTCTCAGGGACATTTACTCTGCACACTGAAGCTTCGGACTTGCACTCAAGTGTCAACTACTTCCTGCTTCCTAATACTTAGTTATCCACATGTAAGTCTTGAGAAAACTACTTGCATACGGGGTATTTATGCTGTTTGAGGTTTGGATCAGCGGTGTGTTTTAATGTTGTTTTGTAATCCTCTCCCATCAAGTCTTTTATTTCCTTCATACTCCTGAAGCTTTGCTGCATTTTTATACTTTTTTATTTATGGTTTGTGACGCGCCAAAGTAAAAAGTTAAAGTGCAAAATTATGACATGATAAACTATTGGAATAAAAAAAAAAAAGAAAAGTTCCGAATATACGGCCACTGCAGCACATAGTCAGATTCCAACTGTTGAAAATGTCAGGCTTTTTCTTTTTTGTCAATTACATTTTTTATAAATGGAGTCCTTTTTTATTTGAATGTTGCCGTCTGTCAGATGTCTCGAGCTCTGTTGGCCCTCCATTTCGTGGCAGATTATTGTGGCAGATTTTACACAGGTGCAAAAAAGATGAAAAATATATTTTTAGCTTCCACTAGTGTATTTTTTAAAGAGATCCGACAACTTTTCTTGTGAATTTGGGAGCTTCCGTAGTTTATAATTACATGTACTTTTCACATCTTAAATGGTAATAAAAGACAACGGTTAGAATTTGATTGATTGTGGAAGATTTGAGTATTTGTCCAAAAATGAAGATACTTGAGTTATTACAGTTATTCTTTTTGTATCTGTGTAAATGCAGCCTTGTTATCTGATTGATATATTAAAAACATTACGTCCCTACTAAATTCTCTTTGAGATTAATGTTAGAAACGTTGCTTGGTTGTTTTTTTTTAAAGCTGTTTGGATATTTAAAATTCTGGGACGTACACATTAATTTTTTTTTTCTTCAGATTTTATGGATACTCTTTTTCAAGACAGTCTTGGGGTCTTTTCTAAGCAAGTTATTGTTTCAATAATGTTTGAGTTGGAAATGCAGTGCTGGAAGCAGCTGTAGCTACTTAAATTAAGTGTCTTTACGTTGTCCTTGTATGGAGGCACACAGGCGTGAATGTGGTGAGAATGCCATTCTAAATCAGATATCCTTACGCCGACCCTAGGTCTCTACAAGGTTTGTAGGGCTCTGATGAAATAGGGGGTGTTTCAAAAACATTTGGAAATGAAGGCACACCTGTTGTATAGTAATTTCTCTTGAAAAAGTGAAACAAAGTACGTACATTTCAACATGAAGAGCTCATGATTTGCTTTTTTTGATCCAGGAATGTGCTGTACATATCCATTTAATAAATTACTTCTTTTTGTTACATTTTGACTGCTTCTTTTTTTCATAGAAAAAGAAAAATGACCATTACTAAAACTCCAAATGTGAATGTTAAGCTCACTTGTGTGTGTTTCAAAATGTGATATCTCTCTAAACCTTGGACCAGTCTACCTAACGTTTGGTGTTTGATTGTCAGGGGTTATGCATTTCATTTAAACATTTTTTTAAATGTGTTAAGATTTAAGAATATGTCCTTTAATCCTCAAAAATAACAACTGTTTTTGTCCTCAGATATTATAGTTGTAATACAAGAAAAGCTTCACAGCGGGCGGAACTTGTCATAAAGTCAGAGATAATAAAACCCACCCATTTAGAGGGATGATATGATTGGTCAAATGTACTGTCATTTGACATTACTCTGTCGTTCAGTTACTATAAAGAGACGAAGTCCCGCCCATCTACTTCCGACCCATGGGACCTTATTTCAGAAAAATTATGTATTGAAGTCAATGGGGAGAGAAAGATTATCTTTCGATCTTGTTTGAATTGTGCCACGAATTATACATATGATGTTTGTCAATCTTACAAAATAATTTCCATGTAAAAAAAGTCACAGTTTGTCGTAAAACCATTGAAATATAAGACATAAAACATATGAAAAATACGCAACTAGAAAGACTACAAATCCCAGAATCCCGGTCCCACATGCTGGCTCTTACGGAACCGACTAACTCCCCTTTTGTGTATGTACAGCTCTCAACATGCCCAGACTTGTAGTGATTTTCACCTCTTTTAATACTTTTCGCCTCATTCTGAAAGAAAGAAGTGAAAGGTGCCAACGTGACGGCCGTCTTGGTGTGGTGCGAGATGGGAGATGTAGTTCATTGAGCGGTTTCACACAAAAAAAAGCCGTCATGAACACAGACAGAGGGCTGTCTCCTGTCATCATTAATGGACGTCTCTTTAAAATGACCGCTCAGAGGAGAGGATTTCTCATTTCTCTAAACGCCTGCTGCTTTCCCTCCTCTCTCCTCGGTTCCCCTCCTCGACTCCTCCGCTCGCATCTCTTGTGGGCGGGACTAAGACACGAGGATAGGAGGGTAGGGGAATCGAGGAGGGGAATTAGTGAAATGAGAAAGCTTCATGCACTTCAGCCTCGTGGCCAATAAATTACGGCACTTAACACAAATGTGAAGGAGTCACAACATAAAAAAGAAACATTTATTCAGTGAGCACCAGGCAGTACAAATGTTCGCTTTCCTCAGAAACTCAAGTTTTGTTTGCACTGTAATCATAAATCAGACATCAGTAAAACGACTTTTCATTTCATATCAAACACTTTACAGGCAAAACTCTTGAACTACATCTAAAGCTTGGTGGGAGAAATATTTCATTTAGTGTGCGTCATACAAAACCTACCTCCAGAGTAAAAAACAAAGACATTAAGACAACAATAACAAACACACACACATATATATATAATATACACATGTTCCAACTTCATAAAAATCTAAAAGTGAACTCGCAAGATTTTCCTACTGTGTCCTGCTACTGTTTGTATGAATACAAAAATCACACATTGATGATTTTGACTCTAATACTAACGCTAAAGCTCTGATAGTGTTGACACTAGTTTTGAATGAATTATTGCAAGCAGCAGGACGAAAGAAAACAGAAAAAAAATAGCTGCTTTGGACTTGAATTTGTAAAAGACAATCAAGCTTTAATACTTGCATTACGAGATGCTAAATGGTAATGCATTAACTAATCAATTCAAAGTAAGTCAACAAGTTTTTCCTGGGGGGGGGTTGATTAGGTCTCTGATATTATTTGTGTACTCGCCTATATTTTAGTCTTAGCAGGCTTCTGTTTTAACATGCCTGGATAACAAATTTCAATGCATGACTTATTCTACGGAAGCCATGAGAGGATTTAAAAATGGGTAAAAAAAGGATGATCTTTCGAAATCCTAAATAAACTGTTATGGGACTCACATTTTTAGAATACATTTGGCCTCAGAATATAACTGTTTAAATAGTGTCAGCAAGTGATGTAACATTACCTTCATGTCTTTCATTCGGCTAGAAATGTATTTTAATGTATGCTAGTCTGACGCTTTTAGACTTGTTTAGAACATTAGGTAGTGATGCGCTTCTGCCTTTAGTGGGCTTAATTAAGTATTACAACTACGCTGTCAACCACAATGCGGACAAAACAAAAAACCCTCACTTAATTAAACATCCTGATGAAACGTTTTTTTAAAACAATTTTGTTTTTTCTTCAGAATATTTGTTCTCAACTTCCTATTAGGCTTTTACGGAAGAGGATAAGGGCCAGATGGAAGAAAACAAATGTGGGGATGTGAAAAAAATAAAAACATTTTTCTTTTACTGAGAAAAAAGTCAGAATTCTGACTCTTTTTCTCAGAATTCTGACTTTTTTCTCAGAACAAAAAATCCCTACATTTTCTAATCCTCTTCCGTAGGCTGTTTTATAATCTCTTGAATGTTGTTTTAATAAATAGAGATGATCCTAGTGGTAAAATGTTTTTGGTCAAATCCAGCCAGTGTTTTTTGGCCTGAAAATAAAATGGATGAATAAGAAGTGATGCTGTGATTGGTTGACTTTGCTAGCAGGAAGTCATTTTCATACAGTGAATTAACATTTAAAATACGACAGGAAGACATGGTCACTGACATTAGAGGTTCACACACAAAGAAATATGTCATTACATGTGTGCAGTATGTTTCTCAAACGGTTCACATTGTGCTCATCATATTTATACTGTAAATCTGGTGAAAATCTATATTTTTCTCTGTGTTACTACATCCTATTTAAAGACCAACACTAACAATTGATTATGAACTTGCACTGGGTTCCTATATTACCATGAACACACACACTGTAGTTTATTTCAACTCAATCCCATTTACGCTGTCCTGCTGCCAAAAACAGACAGTAGATAGCCAAATGTGTGTAAATCCACCACTGAAAATAGTCCCAAACAAATGCACTATTTTGTTCGCATGAAGTTTGCTAAAAAACTAAAGGGACCAGCTGTTGTTGATATTTTTCATTCATGGGGTTTGTTGACTGTATTGAACTGTAGGGAAAATACAAAAAAAGATCTACAATTCTGAAAATGATAAGCAACTATTATAATGTTTTAGTTAAAGGAGTACCTCAGCCACAACATGGCCATTTCTTCATCTGTAACTCACCCTGTTACCTTGAATATTTTTTGTTAAATGCCGCCCACATTTAATTCCATTTATCAAGACTTTTTTTTGTTTTCTTATTCTTTGTTCACCATGTAGGCATGTAAGATTTATTTTCTTCAAGAATTTTAATTAACAGGGTGAGTAACTGATATGCAAGCGGACAGTTTGTGGGTGAAGTATTCCTTAAAACAGAACCTGCACAGTAATGGTTCAGTTATTCAGCTGTGCTCAGATCAGTCTGTGTCAGTGCCTGATATCCCGAGTCATTCCTCACAACACATACTGTTAATATCAATGTCCTGTGTGATGCTGTCATTAAAAAAAGTTTAGTTAATTAAAATCTAACTTGGGACGGACGCATGTTGGGTTAAACATTGGCACTAAAGACAAACCTAAACATAGTGAAAGAAACTCATGTGTATTTTCATTAGGCGCCTACTGCGTGTCAACGTGGGTGTATATTTTCTGAACGCATTCACAAAAAGTGCCTTCTGTCTGTCATTTATATGCAGTGATATGTCATCATGTATGTGCCTGCATGTGTTTTCCATTTAAATTCAAATGCATGTGAACTTAGTCACATGTTCTACTCTTCACTTTCAGCACGCCTGCATGTGTGTTTGTGTGAGAGTGTGTGTTCTTCAGGTCCTCTTTTGATGCGTGTTCCCCACGTATGTGTTCTCTATGCACAGCACGATGTAGTGGTTGGAGCAGGAGCGCGTGTGCTGCCCCAGCAGGCGTCCCGTCTGCAGCAGAGCAGCCTGGCCCGTCACCGCCATGTCTCCCGTCCTCCACGCCTCGCAGTAGTTGGAGGTGAGGCGGATGCCCACCGTGTTGGAGCCGTGCCAAACCTGCTTCTCTGGCCTGGGGGGAGATGGGGTGGGTTAGTGAGGGGAGTACTCGAGTCCTGGATTCGGATTTGTGACTTGGACTCGTGCATTAATGGGCTCGAACTCGTACTTGGGAATTCTAGCGCACGAAGACTCAGACTCCGATTCGGACTACTCGGGTGCGCGCACTGATGGACTAGGACTCGAACATGATAATGATTGCCTTAGCCTCCACACACTTACTTTTCCTTACTTACTCACACCAGACTTGCAGTACTCGAGTCCTGGAATTGGTCTAGGGTCGGACTTGAGTGCCAATTTTCGGGACTCGTGACTTGACTCGGACTTGCGCAGTTATCAGCTCGAACACGTACTTGGGAATTCTAGCGCACGAAGACTCCGACTCTGACTCGGACGCGCGCACAGATGGACTCGGACTCCAACTCGCACACTGATGACTACTCAATGTTCTAAACAGACTCGAGCATAGGTAATGATGACTCAGACTCGTACTCGACTTGGACTCCTCCTAGGTGACCCGGACTTGGAATCGGATTCTAAGAGTGGGGACTCGAGAGTGACTCGGACTCGAAAATTGGTGACTTTACTACAAGAGACAGAATCACACTCACCATGCTGAGTCAGTCATCACATTGCGTCCATCGAAGGAGTAGATGGGTGTGGACGGGGTAAAAGTGCCTCCATTCCCAGAGAAGATGGACATCCAACTACTGAACAACACCTCACCCTGAGAAGAAAGGAGAGATGAGAGATTGTATATAAAAGAAGATGTTGATGGTAAAAAACAATATCTATTATAGTTGCTAAAATGTAATTGTATATATAAAAGTGTCCTCACCCTGAGGTTAACCACGGGCATGTCAGTGCGGTCGGCCTTCCTCACGATGGTCGCCAGGTCCTGCAGGTGTGAGGACAGGAAGGCCCGGTAGGTGGTGGTCAGCCCCATGGAGCGGGCCTGCTGGTAGCACTGGAAGTCGGCCCCCCGGATGCCACGCATGTCCCCCTTCAGCGGGGCGTTCAGGGCCACCAGATGGAGCTGGGAAAGAGTCAAAACACAGATATGAGGAGAAGTTATACTTGGTACACACCTGAGTGGGGCTGGTGATGGGCAAAATATTTTAACTAACTGATTTTACATATATGCATGTGGAGCTCAGCGGCGGTTCAAGCAGGTAGACTGTCAGTTGGTGTGTGTAAGTGCATACATATATTGTTACACTCACCCCCGGTACAGCGTTGAAGGTCTGAGGTAATACATTATAGCTGGGCTGATATCCTCTACTGCTCTCTTGAAGCTCCTGTTAAAGAAAAACATAATCAAATAAATATGTATTTAAAGGTGGGGTAGGTAATTTTGGAGAAACCAGCTTGAGTGCGCTAGAATTTGAAAATACACAACCGGAACAATTCTGCCACTTCCTTACAGAGCCCCTCCTCCAACACACACGAACGCGCACATGACCAATGAGGGCACGAGATAAGTTTGTGCACAGATGGAAGGCTGACAGGCAGGTAGGCCATCCAGTTATTTTAGCCGGGCCGGCTCAAATGATTGGTCGTGCTTTTTACAGTACCACGGCTTCCAGAGATGAAATGTTTGTATGGATTTGTTGTCAAAGCACTTAAAGGTATTCATTGCTATCGGGATGTTAAGAGCATTCCATGGAATATAACAAAAAGTGTATCTCGAGCCGGTTTCTCAAACTTACCTACCCCAGTCACTTTAAATTAAATCTGGATATGAACATTTTTGATAGTTACATTATTTTCTTCAGGGAAATTATAATACAGGTTGTTGTTGTTGTTGTGATAACCTTTTTAGCTAAAAGAGGCTAAAATGCACCACTGCATCATGTTCTCAATATACGAAGGGAAGTATTACAACATTACAAAAACTAATAATATAGAAATATGATCCAGGGTTTTCTTGACATAAGAGAAAACAATTAAGATGTGAATACAAAAATGGATCACCAGATTTTGTATTGCTTTTTTTGTAGTTGTGTTTCAGTACTTGTAGAATCATAATAAATAATGCATTTCCACACATTTGTAGCTGGTCTTATCAGATTGTTTTTTGTTGTGTGGATCTTAGTTTCCTGCTGTGGGTCTTCTGTTATGCGTTGCTGTGTGTTTGTGTGTTTACCTGGCTGTGGATTCTGTGTGGGCGGCTCCTCTCTGCAGTTCTGCTGAGGGACTGAGACGTCACTGATGAGGAGGGTCCAGATTGGATCAACTCTCCGAGCTGAAAGACAGACACACATGAACAATGCCGTTAGGTGCAATTCTGCCATGTTGATTTCCTAGTGGAGTGCGAAACCAAACAATTTGAAGAAAAAAAGTATGTCGTAAAATAGGAAAAAAGTCAAATTATAGTTCTTTATTTATTCGTCTAATCTGATGTTACGAACCACGACAAACACTCATCCTGCTTACGTCCATTTAGCTTCTCAACACTCAAATGCAATGTGGATGTAAATGTTGGTCATGAGGCTCACCATTATCAGTAGCTGTGTCTATATATGTATGTTCCAACTGTGTATATGTTTATGCCATGTGTACAGTAAGTACTATGTCAAATACTATGTCGTTTTCTCTGATATTTTCGACATAGGCGTACTATTTTTTCGGATATGTTCGATAAACTATATAATGTTTTTTTTTAAAAACATATTTTCGACATATTATTCTTAGGGCTGTCAAGTTAACGCGTTAATAATGCGTTAACGCAACAAAAAAAATTAACGCCACTAATTATTTGAACGCGATTAACGCATGTGTATTTTTTGTCCTCGGCCGCCCCGTAGTTTCAGAGCGCATCGAGTTTAAAATACCATCTACAAGCTGATGCTGACAGCCCCGCTCCTGCCGTCCGCTTGTGGCCGACCACACTTCCACGCTCACCGGCAGGCACCGACTGGCCATCGGGAGGACCGGGAGGGTGTGTGTATGTGTGGCGCGAGAGAGACCTTACGTGTATTGTTGTTGTTGTTAGCATCTGGTGCTAGCTAGCTGCGCTAACGGATATAAGGAGCTGTTTAAATGAAAACAGAGGAGCAACATTTCGCCGACAACTGCGCCGAGCACTTGACTTTATGCAGGAAGCCAGACAGTGGGACATTGTACGACAAGTCAGTACACTCAGCACGGATAGTGCGCGTAACATGATTGCAGCGTCCAGGCAGCTCCCGTTCGAGCATACCTTGAGTTGCACATAGCTCCAACGATCCATCACACACACACACACACACACACACACACACACACACACACACACACACACACACACACACACACACACACACACACACACACACACACACACACACACACACACACACACACACACACACACACACACACACACACACACACACACACACACACACACACACACACACACACACACACACACACACACACACACACACACACACACACACACACACACACACACACACACACACACACACACACACACACACACACACACACACACACACACACACACACACACACACACACACACACACACACACACACACACACACACACACACACACACACACACACACAGTATTGTATGAGAGAGGTTCCAGATTGAATTGAGGCGAATATTTGTAATGTTCAGAGGTTGTTGTGTTTAATATTCATGAGAATATTTGTCATTGTTCAAATGATAAACATTTGCATAAAGCATATGTGTCCACTCATATGTTGATAACAGTATTAAAAACTTGAAAAATATTCCTCTAAGGTACATTTAGAACAGATAAAAAATGAGATTAATTTGCGATTAATCGCGATTAACTATTTTAATCGACTGACAGCCCTTTTTCTATATCGTCTTAAATATTTTCAAAATACTATACTTTGTCGTAATTTATTTTATTGTGGCCAGCCTAAGGCACACCTGTGCAATAATCATGCTGTCTAATCAGCATCTTGATATGCCACACCTGTGAGGTGGGATGGATTATCTCGGCAAAGGAGAAGTGCTCACTATCACAGATTTTTGCAGATTTGTGAACAATATTTGAGAGAAATGGTTATTTTGTGTATATAGAAAATGTTTTAGATCTTTGAGTTCATCTCATGAAAAATGGGAGCAAAAACAAAAGTGTTGCATTTATATTTTTGTTCAGTGTACTTTATAGTTTTTCTGATATGTTCAACATACTATACTGTCCTATGTCGCTTTTTTTAATACTTCATATGCCTTATGAGCAGGTGATATTTTTGACATATTTTATCTTCTAATTATGGCGTTCATGGTAGATGTCTGGATTTCTATAAATAACACACCTGGATCTTGCGCCAGCCGTTGCGTGCTCTGATGAACAGCTCTCCTCCTTTCTCAGACACATAGGCCAATGTTCCCTCTGCAACGCGATGAGTCTCTCTGCCTAGAGCGTTGCTTGTCTTATAAACAGTCATCTGAAAATTCACAAATTCACAGCATAAACCTGGCAATATTATTTTCTTTTTTTACAACACAGATACCTTTTTCTGGACATTTATCATATCCTGCCATATTTAGACATTTCATTATAGATAAGGCACAATGGCTTGTTTAGGTGTCGTACCGCGTTGGCATTTCCTGGAGATCCTGTCGGGCCTTGGGGACCGGGGGGGCCAGGGACACTGGCACCTGATCGTGACATGTCAGAAATGCATTAACAGATACAACAACAACAGTCAGCCTCCTGTAATAACTGACAATGATTAATTTGATGGAAACAAGCCGAGGTCACCATCTTTCTCTCGCCTTTACATACACATACCTGAACCATATCCAGATGCAGGTCCTGGGGGTCCAGCAGGGCCAGGGGGCCCTCGGGGGCCAGGTCGTCCAAACCCAGGAGCTCCAGGCTCGCCCACAGGACCAACAGGTCCATGAGGTCCCACGATAGACTCACCTTTGGGACCCTACAGAAACATTTGAAACAAGATTTTAATTAAAATATATTCAACGGGAGTAAACTCTCAACATTAGCAAAGTTCATCTGCGTCGATTATAACCAATTATCCCAATACTTAAATAATAACTTATTGGAACATTATTTTCAGGATGTAGTTTAATGCAAATAGAACTCACCACAAGTCCTGACCTGCCAGGCAGTCCAGGAGGACCAGGCAGACCCTCACCCTTGTCTCCCTTCTGACCTTGGTATCCCTTATCACCTCTAGCACCCTGAGAGACAAACGTACATTACATCTAAATCCAGGGTTCACCCAGGTTAGCAAGATATAAAAAGCCAGTTCCTTTAACCTACATTATTTCTAATAGCCTGTATATCTGTTGGATATAATTCTATAAGAAAACACATTTTAGTGTATTAAATTAGTTATGAGGATGGCCATAAATAAAAATACAAGCTCAAATAGTCAGAAATGCTGAGAATGATTGTAGAGTCAGGTTATAATTATCTGTGGTTTGGCAGTGCTAGGATTCCAATTCCCATTTATTAGATTCATTGTTAATATGAACATATTCATGACATGACATGATAATTTAGTCTTCTAACATAGCTCCAGATTGTATAATGAATCAGCACTCACCACAACTCCATCTGGAAACTCAGGTGCTGAGAAGAGAAATTATGAAACATAAGTGATACACGTTCAGGTAGTCATTTACCATTAAAATATATTTTTTTAATGAGATTTCTGTTGCGAAGGTCTTACCAGGTGTCCCTGGCTCTCCAGGTATTCCTATATCTCCTTTGTTTCCTTTAGCTCCGACTGAGTCTCTCGCTGTACCTGACTGCTACACACACAAACATACACCCTTAACATAACAAGGATACCAGTGACGACATTTGAACTTTTTTCAACATCTGTAAAGAATGTTTAGGGAGGTAAAATATAGGCCTTAATCAAAGCAAAAAAAGACAAAACACTGATGTCAATAGTTAAAACTTTGCTGTCAACACGGCAACAACACAAGGGATCAGGGGATGCATGCTTGAGACAGCAGCACAAACAACCCTCTGCAGTGGCAGTTAAGATACAACAAAGTTAGGGAACAGGGTTAAATCAGGTTTATTTATGACAAAGTTCTACATTTATAAATGATGGTGAACTCTTCATGTTTTATCACGGGAGACTGTTTTTAACTATGTCGTTTTCATAATTAATTTACAGATAACCTTTTGTAATTCTCTTTGTTTTGATAGGAAGAGTGGCAATGATAGGAAGTGAGAGATTGTATTTGTTCATGACTGTTGCTTTTTAAATTCAAATAATCAGTCAATAAAATGTTATTGAGATTCTAAATGTATCTAGACCTAGAATACATTTAATATTTTTAGCAGCATGATTCTGTTATAACATAAACTCATCAGTCAGGTCAACATTTTGAAATGAATGTTCATACAGTTATGAAGGAAACCGTCACCACACCAAAAACCTCAAAAAGGACGCCATTCACCAAGTTCCCTCTTTGTTTGCCTTGTCTTTCCGGAAAGGACAGACAAGGCAAGAAGGATTTAGAGTCAGACCCACTTTGAAACCCGGCAATAACATTTTTCATTTTGGATTTCACCAAAAATCTTAATGAACCCAAGATGCACCAAAGATTGTGGACTTTAATCTAACATTTGTTGCATGCAACATTAAATATTAGCATCCAACAACAAATGTGTAAGACAGTGAAATACATGTCAAACTTCCTATGAGAGGAATGTTAACGCCTGATGAAATGAGGCCAGAACCACAGACATTTATCCCTTTTAAGGACCATTAGGACAGAGAAAGGAGAGGAGCACATGAAGGGAGGTAAAGTAAGGGGGGAGGGATGGGGTGCTGTTTGTAGCCCAGACCAGAGAGCTGCCATGCTGCTCCACCCACACAACAACAGAACCACCTCATTTTGAAATGAAACAGACCAATCAGATGGTCCGATTCAGACTTACTCGTCCCATTTTGCAGTGCGGTCTGGGGCGCACCGGAAACACTGTCTTTAAAATTCAAAGAAGAGCAGCGTCAACAGACTAAATTAGTCAGGTCCAATACTGTGCTAAAGATTAGCTTTAACGAAAGGATTACAAACAAATAAACACATATACAAACACTCAAATGATACCCATTGCTTTTAGAGAAATTCCAGTGAACCAAGGTCCTAATTTCTTTAATTCTAGTACACATTCACGGTACGGTGATGCTCTTTGGAAGCCAAACCTGGTGTTGGAGCATCAATAACAAAAAGTGTAGTGGATTTCTACCAATCAAACACATTTTTTGTACTTGTTTTTAAGGACCAGTGGGAAGGATTTAGTTGCATCTAGTGGTCAGGTTGCAGATTGTAACCTACAAAATAATCCTCTGCTCCCCCCTCCCTTAACGTATTATAGAATTGACAGTGTATTTCCATGTATCGCAGAAATGCTAAAGGTGATTATTCACTAATGTAAACATAGTAAAGGCTTGAATATAAAGCCATTGCGGGGCTGCATAGCTTAATAATTCAAGTGTTGCCATAGCACGTCTTAGTCGTGTTTTGTGAGTTCACTTCTGCTTCTTTGCGTGAGATTGAATTTGATTGCTGTTATTACTGTTAATGGTCTTCAATGTGCAACATGCAAACCTTTATAACAATTGTAACAATATAATGACTGACCCAAAGCAAAAAGGTTCCAACGTATTGACTTTTTTGTTATCTTTTTTTTTTTTTATAAATATTTGATCCATTTCATAAATCCCCATATATCCTACACACAGGTCATTTGGAATATGCCTAACATGTATCTGTGAAACAAGCCTTTTAAAAATAAATTGCAATGTAAATTGTTGACTGCATCTTTATTGTCCCAATCAACCAACTCAAAATGGCAAATTAGAGAAATAAAAAGCCCAAATTGGAAACTTACTCCTTTCAGCCCAACTACTCTTCCTGGAAGTCCAGGCTGGCCCGGAGGACCCGGAGGTCCCTGAGAGAGAGAGAGAGAATATGATCACATTTGTGATACTGACCTATCTCAGTAATACATAGGTATCTGTGTATAAAATGTTCAAATGTTCAAATGCTTTATGGATTCAACAACAAGACAAATCTGATATTTTCTATCCTTTCCTCTTACCGATAGACCCACAGCATCTCCTTTGTCACCTTTCCTCCCAGGCATACCAGATCGTCCCTACGTGAACAGAAAATAAAACTTGTCAGTATTTATGAAACATACACACACAAAAAAGATTGTGCACAGTGTGAGCTGCAAAGCATGAGTTGATGACATCCTCCAGGTAAGAACTCTTTACAGACTATATATGTATAGAAGACTATGGGAACATCACTCTTCTGGTTGGATGGTCATTTTCCTTTATTCAAGTATTAAAAGGTACTTACTGGGCGACCAGGAAAGCCATATTCTCCTTTTTGTCCATTTGGTCCTATCGGGCCCTGAAACAAACAGACAAAGTGATGTAAACAAAAATTAAATATATCACTAAGCACAGAAGTTTATAACAACAGAAATACATGGACGTGTGTATACTGTAGCTTGTCCTTAATTAAAATGTGTCACCTGATACATTGTCAACTCACCATTAGTCCAGCAGGTCCAGAGAAACCACGGTCACCCTATGAATTCACAAAGCAGAACACAGCAAAATGTGAAATGAGGAATTGGCATTGTGTTTACATCATTGGTTTCGCTGACTGTAGGTCTCTAGAATAAGTGAAAGGATTACTCCCATCAACCCAAACCCCCATAAGGTCCCTAAAAAAGCAGAGATGCATTGTAGTTATTTGGTCTTAAGATCTAAAAGGAGTTAAGTTGCAGTGTCTTTAAAAAGCAAGAAAATTGGAGGCAATCGGTGTGGATTACCAGGCCAAATAAAACGGAACATTTTTGTTTAAGGACTTACGACAACCACACAAACGCTACCATGTCTTGTTAATTGACTGTGCTGCTGATGCATCAATCAGTATAAAATTGACATCAAATCACCAGTGTGCCTCTTTCAATGTGTGTGTTGGCTGGCTGACGGACTGCTGTTGATATAGTGCTGTTTAGTTAGACTTTGACCAAATATATGTATTGTAGGGATAAGTGTGTAGGGCTAGCATGAGCAACTACAGCATAAAACAACTTCATCATCCTATGTCTTTGACCACTGTTAGTTACTGAGTAAGGTATGGTTTTAACAGATAGGGGTCAGGGGTCTCCTGTATGGTACCTTGAGGCCTTTCGGCCCCTGGGGACCTCTTGGTGCTGATATGAGGGATCCATCAGCAGCAATGGTCACCCCTGGCTCCCCTTTCTCCCCCTGTTAGAGCAAAGAAACAAACACAAAATGTTTTCCAGTCCATTATGTTTCTGCATAAAATGTTCACACCTTTTCGACATTTTGAGATATTTACTCATATATTTTAATCCACATTCTGTATAGTTCTCACCTTGAGCCCTAATGGCCCCTGGACACCTGCAGGGCCTACGTCTCCCTTTGGTCCCCTGGGGCCCTGGAGAGGGAAGAAAGAGTGGCGAGTGAGTTAGGAGGTTGAGTGATGATGATAGCGTTTTAAAGTAAGGCCCTTGGTGTGAAGCTTTATGAATTGTACAGTTGTTAAAATAAGTGTCAAGTTTTTTTTTTTTATTACCGAAGGGCTAAAACCTTCTGATATGTATTCTAAATTATGTGTCTTTGTGTCCTCAAAGGAAAACCCACCCTCTGAGGCAATAACATTTGCAACACTTTGGGTACCTACGCTGTTTAGCCCAAAGACAGTAAAAACCAAATTGGTAGAAAAAAATAATTACATTACTATCATATCATTTTAACATATTTGTTTATGAATTGCAAAATACCCATGAAGACATTCATTTTAGACATTCAGAAGTCAGTTGCAAAATGGTCTTACAGGAAATCCTGCTCTGCCAGGCAAGCCTTCAGGGCCCTGCAACACGCAGATGAAACACAAACAAACAAACAAACAAGCAACATGCACAAACATTAACACAGAGCCAAGCAAAATAAGTAAGGCTGGGTTAACAACATGCTCATTCAGTACAAAGCATCATCAAACAGAAGAGCAGCCAAAGCACTTCAGACTGCATCAATTATGTTACGGTTAAGTTATATCTCCTTGTCTTTAATAATGTAGTTTGTTCATGTTGCAAATGTGTGTTTGTTATCTATTAATGTATCAGCTGTTTTCTGTTGGCATTTAAACATTTGTGCAGAAGGTAACATCTTAAAGATAGAAATAGCTCAGTTCTACGCACCACGGCCCCTGGTGGTCCTCTGATATCTGTGAAGTTGAAGATCCCATCTGTCATGTTGAGCAGCAGCTGTAGACAAAACATACATATTAAGAAAAAGTGGGCATGTTGAAAACATTTAGAGATTTGTAAATGTTATTCAATAGGTTCTTTATGAAGGACCACACCAACAACTTTTCACCAGTATAGTTTCAAAACGGAGCCTAAGGGTCAAGTGGGTACAATAAATGTTTTGTTCAATAGCATTAAGTTAACAATTAACAGTTTAGAAAAACACCCTGCAGATAGAAAATAAAGATGATGACACTACATAGTACATATAACTATACAGTGGTAGAAATTATATTTACTCCTAAAAAGACTGTACTTAAATACAATTTCGAAGTAGTTGATTTTATTTCTTCATTTTATACTACTTTACACTTTTATTTTGCTACATCTCAAAATAAATATTGTACTTTTTACTCCAATATATGTATCTGACAGCTCTATATTATACATACAAAATATAATTAAATTAATACATTTTGTTACTTAATTTTAGATTCAACTCGCAAGCAAAAGTTAAGTAATTAGCTCAACCTTTATCATCTTAATCCAATGATAAAATATAAATTATTCAGAAATGGTATGGCAAAATCTACTTTTGGTACTTTCAGTACAGTAGGCGCTTTCACAACGCAGTACTTTTCCCACAAAGGTTCATCAGAACTTAGTTCATGAGAACTCTTTAGTTCTCATGAACTAAGTACAGATCGCGTTCAGGAAGGCCCTTAGGATTAGGCAAATGAAGCCGCTGATGTCACTTCTTCTGCTTTGGGTTTACTGGCAGGCCGCAAACAACTTCATGGCGTATACTGCCACCCAAAGTCCCCGGCCGGAAGTCCCCGGAGTTGGGTACTGGCTCCAGTCCTACCTCTCCGACAGATCCCACTTCATCTCCCTCAACAACCACTCCTCTGCCACAGCGTCAGTCACCCAAGGTGTTCCCCAAGGTTCAGTACTCGGCCCCCTCCTCTTCATCATCTACATCCTCCCCCTTGGTCAGATTCTCCGCCAATACAACCTGGACTTTCACTGTTACGCTGACGACACACAGATTTACCTCAGCACCAAATCCCCCCACAACCGCCCCCCTCACCCACATCCAATCCTGTCTGACTGCAATAAAATCCTGGATGCAACACAACTTCCTCAAACTCCACAGCAATAAAACTGAACTCCTCCTCATCGGCTCCAAATCCACCCTCAGCAAAACCCCCAACCTGACAGTCACTATTGATGGCACCCCTGTTTCTCCCTCCACCCAGGCACGCAACCGTGGCGTTATATTTGACCCCACCCTCTCCCTCGAGCCCCACATCCGTAAAGTTGTAAAAACCTCATTTTTCCACCTCCGCAATATTGCCAAACTCCGTCCCTCTCTCACCCGCCCTGCAGCTGAGCGACTCATTCACGCCTTCATCTCCTCCCGCCTTGACTATTGCAACTCACTCCTCTACGGCATCAGCACTACATCCCTCAATAGACTCCAGCGTGTCCAGAACGCAGCCGCCAGACTCCTCACCCACACCAAATCATGGCATCACATCACCCCGGTCCTCTAAGAACTCCACTGGCTCCCCGTTTCACACCGCATCTATTACAAACTCCTGGTCCTCACTTACAAAGCCCTCCACCATCTGGCCCCCCTCCTACCTCACTGACCTCCTCATCCTCTACCAACCACCCCGGTCCCTTAGATCCACCTCAGCCGGTTTGCTTTCCATCCCCAAGGCCAAACTCTGGAGCTTCGGGGATAGAGCCTTCCCTGTGGCAGCCCCGAAGTTCTGGAACTCCCTCCCCCAAGACCTCCGTGAGTCTGAGTCCCTCATCCTGTTCCAGTCCCGCCTCAAAACCCACCTCTTCAACTCTGTATCCATAAGCCCCCCCCCCCTCCCCTCTCAACCAACTTCCTCCTGACTGCTTTTCTGTTTTGTTTTGTTTCTTTTTTGTTTTGTTTTTGTTTTGTTTGTCTACCCTCCCTCCCAAATGTCTTTGGGTTCAAGAAAAGCGCTATAGAAATATAATTTATTATTATTATTATTATTACTGAAGCCTTCCGAGTAAATCGCCAGAACGCCGACACCTCCTCATCTCCACCGCTCCCATGTTTTCTTTTGTGTTGCCATAAATTAGTCTCTCTCCGTTTGTGCGCTGGGCTAATGCTAATGCTAATAATGCTAATGCCAGCAAATACAATGGCAGCTTCACAAAACTTTTCAGAGTTTTACGGGGCGTGGTTTGCAATCCGCCCAGCCAATCAGACATAGGAACCTTTTTCTCCCACGAAAGTACCTGCTCTCTAGCACGGACGGAAAAGGGGGTAAAAAGGTTCTCATGAACACATTTTAGTTCCGGATTTTTTTGGTGTGAACGCAACATTTCGGAACTATATAGGAACTAAAGTGGAAAAAGTACTGCGGTGTGAACGCGTCTTTTGTGGGTGTTTGTGTGTGTGTATGTGCGTACATCCGGCAGATTAATGGTTGGTCCAGGAGGTCCAGGAGGCCCAGGGGCTCCTGGGATACTGAGTCCATCAACGCCTCGATCACCCTTCATAAGACAAAACAGACGGTTATCAGTCTGTTATTGAAATGTAATTGTGAAATAAAACTAGACCAGTTTGACATTTTGTTTTTTCAGCAACTCTACCTTGGATCCTAGATTTCCTTTTTCTCCTTTAGCCCCCTGTTTGTAGAATAAAGATAAATAAAGAAAACAAATGTATAAATGGGTTATCAACAAACTGCAGTGCATCATCATGCTTAAGGATGATAGTTTAAATGTATTTAAATCATTTTGACTCTTCAGTCCTTGAATGGTGGGGGCTAGCTGTTTACCTTTACTTTGCGTTTGTATGCTAAGCTAACGCTAAACACGGCCTGGACATCTTTTATGAATCAGAAACAATTGTATTGCCAAGTGGGTTAACACAGACTAGGAATTTGTCTTGGAGTTTTTGGTGCATACATAAAAATAAAACAGTGATAAAAAACGATTTCAAGAAAACTATAATAACATTACAATATAGCAATATTTACAATGAATATGGATGAAATATAGGACTGACAGTATTAGGATGAACAAGATATTGTTATTGTCGAATTAGGCTTCAGAAAATTAACTGATGACTAGAAGTCCAAAACACACAAAATTACAAAAGTTCAAAAAAGCAAAACAGTATTTGGATTTGTAATGATTATGTCTTATTATAACTTTAAAAAACAAATTTTAAAAACATCCGCTACTTACTCTGGCTCCTGGTAGTCCAGCAGGACCCTGGCGGCCCTCTGGTCCTTTGCCCCCGGGTTCACCCTGAAATCACAGCATGGCAACACTTCTTCTTAGTGACGCTTACAACTAGATACTATACTTGTTTCTCTCATAGAATAGATCAAATGCTTTCCAATGGCATTTCTCACTGTATCATCATACTCAAACAATAAAAAGACTAAGAACAAAGGTAAATATTTCTGCAGCAGAGCCATTTCAGAATCAAATTACCTTGACGGAGAGCCCTGGTGCTCCTGTGGCTCCATCCTCACCCTGCAGCAAAAACAAGAGGTACTGTTCAACTCCAGCGCAAGAGAAAACATTGCAGAGTGTACGCAAGGGCAAAACTACTCACAGAGGAATCAGGCGTTAAATATTATTGGCTATTCAAAATCAAAATTCCCTTAGCATGCATAAAGCGAGCAGACAATCAATTTTAAGGAATATATTACCTTAGGTCCTGTTGGACCATGTATACCAGGTGGACCCTGAAAAAAGAAAATTACTAATGCAACAAAATAAACAAATATTCATACTTCCCATGTCTTCCCATTTTTAAGACTTTTTGAAGATTGAATCAAGACATTTTAATACCGAACAATGCCTCTTTTTTTTTACAATAATGAATTTAATTTAGGATTTCTTTTAGCATCTGTAAGGAATCTCTTACCTGTGTGCCTCTGACTCCGGTTCCAATGAGCATGTCACTCTTCCCAGATCCTTCCATATCCTGAAACAGAAACACAGTCCGATGTTAAACATCGATTTAACTGAAATCTTTATCGACCCATGTGGCTCTTCTCTGACCTACATGAGGCGTTGTCTCTTCATTGGCTTATTAGTGAAAGTCTGTTGTGGCTCGACAGTTATGTTATGTTAAGTTATGTTTTCTAGTCTAGTCTTGTGTTTTTGATCTTGTCACTTCCTGTTTTTATTTTGAAAGTAATCCTTCCCTCTCATTCCAGATCCCACACTTCCTGCCTTTGTGTGTTTCCCGCCCTTGAGATTGCTTGGCCTTGCCCTGATAGTTTTCACCTGTGCCCACCCCCCTCACCTATAAATAGCCCTTGTGTTTCTTTGTCCCTTGTCAATTCGTTATGTTCCATGCTGTGAGAACCTGGCCCTTTGACTCCTGAACTTTATATTTAGAAAATACCTTTTGTCAAGTGAGTTTTGGAAAACCTTTTTCCCACTGGATGAGTGATTTTGATTTAGTAGAAAATATATTTTGTTCCACGTGTAGTGAGACTTAATATCCGTTATTAAACTACTTTCTGTTTTTGGACAACTGTCTCCGAGTCCTGCATTTGGGTCCTGTGTCCTGTGCCTCAATTCACGACAAAGTCGATCTATATGAATTGTATGCTTAGATCTTTGATTTGAAATAGGGTCACCTCTACAAAGAATTTGGTTGGCCAGGGAGGGCCAGGGGGTCCTGGGGGACCGGATGGGCCCCTCTTCCCCGGTGGTCCACTAGGCCCTGGAGCCCCTGAGGATCCATTTGTCCCCAGAGACCCGCATTCACCCTGCAGAGAAAAAAATATATGTTGTGAATTAAATAAAATAGAAACAACACCAGCAAAGGATTTATTTTGTCTCTATGTATAGTCGTGTATTACCTTTGGTCCAGGTTGACCAGCTAACCCTTGTTCACCCTGAGGAAGTAAAAAAGAAATAAATAAAGTATCACTAGCTCATTAGTAGAGGCTGTCCATTTATCATAAAATATAGACGTAAACAAAACTATTAGGTGTGTGTTGTAGAGCCAGTATATTACATTATAAGAACAATTCTTGTATTCAGAATTGTATGTCAAATATTGGACTATCCACCTAATAAAAACAGTCTCAAACCATGGTCATTTGGCTGAGTCCAGCAGTGCCTTAATTTGGTAAAATAGTTTCTGAAGCAATAAAGACAACATGGTTGGAGATCATGTACAATCATTAGCCTGAGCATTGAGGCAGTGGGCTAAAGTTGCCGTTAAACATGGCATCATTGTTTTTGAGAGGCACAATTGAAAAAGAGCCTCATAATTCCCTTGGCCTTTATTGTAGTTTACATTCATTTCGTATATCCTTCATCAATTCTCAGGCTTTTTACTGTGTGTGTACAGTATAGTACATTATAAGAAAAATGCTTGTAATCAGAATTGTACGTCTTCCAAATATCTGACTATCCACCTAATTATATCATCTCAAAGTCATGGTGATTTTGGTCCAGCAGTGTCTTAATTTGGTAAAAATAGTTTCTGACTTTGATATGATATGGCGCACTGAGCTCCTATAAAACATACCTTCTCTCCCAAAGCTCCTGATAGGCCTGGACTGCCATTTCTTCCTGCTAAACCCTGGACATAGAAATACAGACAGACACGAGAAGAGGTCAAAAGCAGTGATGAGTCAGAGAAAGTATGGCAGTATATGAAAGAGTGATATGATGCCAAGCTGATTGTTGACCCTTTAGCCATTCCAACAGGGACCAACGCCAAATCCAAAGAATACAGCCTGTCACTGTAAAGGAGTACTGGGTAACTTTCCTTTAGTGATGAGATCACCCATGCCAACATCTGTCTGACTCAGCTGAATCAGCCTTGTCTCCTTAAACTGTGTTTCTCGTACAGAGAACTGTAATTTTAATTCGATAGGAACTAATTTTGTTCTGGATAACATTTGTTTTTATGGAACAAATACAGTTTTAATCGAAGTGCATACAAGTCTTTTGAGAGGAGGCTTTGGTGGAAGGATGGGTGAAACAAACAGGAATTTGACACAAAATGCCACTTATGAGTCCTGTGTTAAACCAATAGTCAAGTTAAATTATTAAAATGTATGTCCGTGAGTTAAATGTAACAAACACTTATTTTAACCCATACCATGATCTTTGCCTAGACCCAACCAATAACTTTATTGGGATTTTTTAAGGTTTCGTTTTGATTTACAACTTTAATCACATTTAAAACTGCTACTGCAGTCTGTGAGAAAATATGTTATGACATTGTTTACATTTTAATTATTGAGAAAATCGCTTCAGGAGACATTGTTGACTTCAATATACCTCGCTCACACTTTAGTATAGAGTATTAAGAGATTGTTGACTTACTCGAGTCACAGTCAAGTTAGACCAACTGTATCATTTATCCAATTGTTCTTACCATATTAAAAATAATAGAGAAGGTATTAATCAGTAGAGTCAGCAACTTTAGAGGCAAGGATGATGTCTGTATTTCTCATCACTTAAGGAAAGTTGATAATGATAAAAATGCAATGTATTCCTTTAAGTAAGCAGCATCAGACCAAAGTACAGCAATGTTTTGCTCATTAAAAACGTGCATATAGTGGGGCACACGATTTGAGCCATATACAATTAGGTTATTAGTTAATTTTACCAACTCAGTTTTAGATATTTTTGCAAAACCTGAGCACATCAGTGTACCTTGGTACTTGACTGAGAATAGCTAATATACGTACAGCAATATACAAAAAGGGGAAATAACACATATCAGTGAAAAGGCAGATTTGCTCCAACACCATGCTGTCAGAAAAAAATGGCAGCTCAAGTTATACAGCACATTTGAGATCAGTTCCTTTCAGTTCAGAATGATATAACGCCGAAATGTTCCATGTGATAATGACAACATTTGAACTGAAAGGAAATGAATAGGAGGTAATTGACCAATTTCCAAAGCAGGTCACACAGGCTTTTCAGCAGTGGCTGCCAGTGGGAATTTCAAGGGGCAAAGGAAGCAGTGATACCCAAACACACACACACACACACACACACACACACACACACACACACACACACCACACACACACACACACACACACACACACACACACACACACACACACACACACCACACACACACACACACACACACACACACACACACACGTTCTCACTCCCATCCCGTCACATATTGACGGACGGTCAGGGTACCCCTTGCCCGTCAGGCTTCTACGGGCAGGGCGTCCATAGACCTTAATTGCGGACAGCGGACCCCTTGACCGTCAGGCTTCTACGGGCAGGGCGTCCCATAGACCTTCATTGCGGACAGCGGACCCCTTGACCGTCAGGCTTCTACGGGCAGGGCGTCCCATAGACCTTCATAGACCACGTGATCAACAACAATGGCCGACCTTCGTGTTATTCTCGGTGGAAAATGCCTATTTTAAGGTTCATTTGGCCAATAAAATGCGTTTTGATGTCATTTTATGCGATTAATATGAGTTGTTATTTCTGATTATTTGTGCAGTACATGTACATGATGTTTAGTTTGCTAGTTATAACGAAGATTACTTCATGAATGTGTACACATTCATGGTTGCTAACGTTTTTTTGGTGGAAATGTGTTTTTTCACAGCAAAGTCACCCTCTGTACTTGGACTTATTGGGAAAATCTAAAGGCAAGAACATCCCAAATATTAATTTAGGTCTTTATTTTAGACCTTTAGTGTTGCAGTCTGTGAGGAAAATAAATGGGGCTCAGAGCCTCGTATTTTTAAAATCTTTTTTTCCTTCTAATTTGTTATTCTTTTCAAAATAGCACACTGTTATTTACTCACCAATAACACACAATTATCCTTGCTTTTATTTATTGGTTTAATTCCATAATCTCGGGCTTTTTTGGCGTTCGTCAGGAACTGAATTTCAAAATAAAAATAACCGGAAACAGACGTAGTCCTATAAGGGACATTTCGAGCATCATTGCGATTGTCAACATTTTTGAATTTAGGATGGCCGAAGACACTACACTACCCATAATCCCCAGCTATCGTTTAGGACTACAGTCCCCGTGATTAATCTTCAAGGTCTGGGATTGGATGTTGGAGTGGCAGTGCGCCAAGGTTACGCCGAGCGTCAAACAGCTGTTTGAAATGGAACGAAACCGCCAGACTATCCAAAACTGGAATCGAACGCCCCCCCAGAACTACACACTAGACCAGGGGTGCCCAACCTTTTTTGAACCGAGAGCTACTTTTAAAGTTGCCAGTCTGCCGAGATCTACCAGTCCAAATAGAGAGGCGTAGCCATTACTGACAGCCTACTACCAGGTAAATACACACTTCTACCTGTATAAAACTGACCTTTGTACGATGAATACTTCATAAAATACTGCAGATCCTTTATCTTACCTCTTTCTAATCTACACACATACAAGTATTTAACTGAAGTTACACAACAGTGTTGTTGATACAGAGTTGGAGTTTATTCACACGTCACATACTACAGTGGGTAATGTTTTCAAGAAACATTGAACAGTGCTGCCACATATGACACAGGGAAAAAAGAAAAGACTCTGAACCCTTTCTTTGCCATTATATAAAAATAGTGTTGCTACAAAAGTATAAATGAGGCTTACTAATAAGACAACTCAGATCTGAAGCTACTCAGGAATCTGCTGCCAAAGTGCAATAAAAAAGACAAAATTAATAGAATCAAACCCTTTTTTTGTTGCATTTTAGTAGAGTATACAAAGAAACGCCTTTTAAAATAGGATGCAAGCAACACTAGTTTCTTAACCTGAATTGATAATAGACTATAATCAATGTAAACAGAACAGATCTTAATGTTTGCATTCTTATACCATGTTGTACAATAATTATAATGAATAAGTTCAAACAAACTAAAACTTACAGCTGATTAATAACGGTATCTAACTTGAGTTTTTATTATATCAAAAGCCTGTTGAAATGCTACTGTTATTTTTACTGTCCCCCAAAAGCGCATCGGCAGCCTCCAGGAAAGCTTCTTTCACAACTTCGCCGTCTTTGAAAGACTTCATGTGTTTCGCAAGAACGTGACTGACACGATAAGAGGCTCTGGTAGCAGCCTTGCTCTTGTTGTTGGGCCTGGTGGAAATGGACTGCTGTGCATTTAGCTGTAAATTACCTTTCTTCGATAAAGCCACGCTCGCATTGCAGATGAGACAGATGGACTTTGAATTGGAATAGATACAAAAATAATCATCCTCCCACTCGGAGTGAAAATTATATATTTTGGGCTTTTTTGCTTCTGCCGTAATTGCGGTCTTGTGTGTGTGCGGACTGTCACTCCTGTTGACACGGACAACGTCAGCAAAATAGTGCCAACTGCCCACCAGCCACGCCCCGACACATGGGGTCACGCCGGCCAATCACAAAGCTTTGATGCGTTCAAGTGCATTATTCTGGCACAGGAAGATTATGTTACAGGACATTAACGATAAAACAGAATGTTGTTGTTCTATTTTTAGAGACATCTCGCGATCGACTGGGAATCTCCCCGCGATCGACCGGTCGATCGCGATCGACTGGTTGGGCACCCCTGCACTAGACTATTGTGTTTCGCAAAATGTTCTATGGGACGTCTCTACTGAACGTTTTCGTTTTTCCCACAATTAGAAGTTGCCAGTATTAAACACATTGGTGTTATCAAATGTAAAACATATAATTAATAAATCGGTGAAAATCGCTGTCCATAATGCGCAGCATTAATATATAGCATTAATATATACCCACATGACAGCTCATTGTTACTTTGTAATTCTACTCCACTACAATTCAGAGGTTAACCTGGTATTTTACTCCACTACACTTATTTGAGTTACTTTGCAGATTCTGATTAATGATGTGAAATATAAACAACCCTTAAATCAGACTTTAGTTACACCTGAGTAAAATTCAGGTAAGGTGATTGTCAAGTGCCAACAATCAGGAGAGATATTTGATAGTTGGTGCTTGAGAAGACTAAACATGTATCTGCAATTGACATGAATGGAAACGAGTATTAAAGTATATTAATTACTCGTTATTCTCTACTAATAGTTAATTAAAGACTGTATATTATGGCTATTTTGCACATCCCTTTCAAGATTTCAAGATTTTCAAAGGTTTATTGACATATTACATTACATTACATTGCATTTAGCTGACGCTTTTTTCCAATGCGTTCGACCAACAAAATACAAACTTGAAGAAAACAGAATCATATAAGTACATCAGGTTTCATAGAGCAAAAACATTTCAAGTGCTACTCAACTGGCTGTAGGTAAGCCAGCCCTTTATTAAGTGCTTTGTTAATAGTTATATCGCTCGAAGTGGAGTCGAAAGAGATGAGTTTTCAGTCTGCGCCGGAAGGTGTGTAAGCTTTCTGCTGTCCTGATTTCAATGGGGAGCTCATTCCACCAATTTGGAGCCAGGATAGCAAACCCACGTGTTTTTGCTGATGGGAACTTGGGTCCCCTTCGCAGCGAGGGTGCATATCATATACACAACTACGGTGTAGTTATGCAATGAATGAAAAATGTGGGTCACAGGTTCCTCAACAGTGCATTACAAGACATCTATCAATATGTGTGTCCCTCCACCATTAAACTGTCATATTCTGCACATTTCTTATTCTATCTATCTACATAAGAGTATAATCCATAGGTATAATGTCAGTTAAAATAAGTGCTTCAACATAGTTAACATTGCAGGAAAGCAATATATTAGACGTTAAGTACTTTGTCAGGCTTAATATTTATCTGTAGATAGATACCCCCAAAGTGTTTTTCTTATTTAAAAGAAGACCTTAATCTGTTATTTAATGTTTAAATAAAGGTTAATTTGTTTTTCAGTTTTGCACCTCCTCCTATTAATATCTTTGTACATCCTGCACTAAACTGTTTTATTGTAGAGATTACTTATAGTATCTTCTTGATTTTTTATATTCTATATTTCTATCACAGACCTTCTACTTTCCCCCTATGAAAGTATGTACTCTTAATATTTATATTAATCAAATATAACGCATACAAACAATAATTCAATAACGTGCTTTAACTACTAGGCGGTGCACACAAGGTACACACAGCCATAATAACTTTGTATTATTAGTGTTGGACACTTGTATGTACAACATCTGAAGATGTGTAGTTTTATTCATGCTTTCACATAATTTTACAGCATATTGCTATACTATTTCAGACTCAGTATTTACATTCTTACATTCAAAATTCAATCCAATTCAAATCAGTAATATCTTTAAAAACTACAAGTCCTTTTATATCAGCTGTGCACCGTTATGGTGTAAATATAACCTATCTATGAATTATATCAAATGTAAAAGTCAGCCGAATTAGTGTTGATACTGCAAGGAGACGTATTGTGTGAAGAGAAATTGAAGATGTTGTTTAATTGTTGAAATATTTATGATCCACGTCAAGTATTCAGTTTCGGCGGCATTTCTTCAGTTTTTCCAAAGGTCTTCTCATCAGGGCTCTATAAATAAAGAACTACAGCAGATCTGTAATATTTAATGCAGCCGAACCGTGTATTACAATGCCGTTATGTGATGACTTTCAAAGAGAAAAGCAAGAGCACTCGGAATTAAGTATTATTTTATTATTTTAAATTGTTTTCCGGATTTCATATAATATAAATACCAAATCCCAGCATGCATTGCGGCTAAAACATCCAATCAGCGTAGCTGAGGATCTTGGGTAATCGCTCGAAATGCCTACGTCTGTTTCCGATTATTTTTATTTTGAAATTCAGTTCCTGACGAACGCCAAAAAAGCCCGAGATTATGGAATTAAACCAATAAATAAAAGCAAGGATAATTGTGTGTTATTGGTGAGTAAATAACAGTGTGCTATTTTGAAAATAATAACAAATTAGAAGGAAAAAAAGATTTTAAAAATACGAGGCTCTGAGCCCCATTTATTTTCCTCACAGACGGCAACACTAAAGGTCTAAAATAAAGACCTAAATGAATATTTGGGATGTTTTTGCCTTTAGATTCTCCCAATAAATCCAAGTACAGAGGGTGACTTTGCTGTGAAAAACACATTTCCACCAAAAAACGTTAGCAACACATTCATGAATTAATCTTCGTCATAACTAGCAAACTAAACATCATGTACATGTACTGCACAAATAATCAGAAATAAAAACTCATTACTCGCATAAAATGACATCAAAAAGCATTTTAATGGCCAAATGAACCTTAAAATAGGCATTTTCCACCGAGAATAACACGAAGGTCGGCCATTGTTGTTGATCACGTGGTCTGGGAGCTGTTGCAGCGTCCATAGCAACCACCTTAGCAACCATGAATGTGTACACATTCATGAAGTAATCTTCGTCATAACTAGCAAACTAAACATCATGTACATGTACTGCACAAATAATCAGAAACAACAACTCATATTAATCGCATAAAATGACATCAAAACGCATTTTATTGGCCAAATGAACCTTAAAATAGGCATTTTCCACCGAGAATAACACGAAGGTCGGCCATTGTTGTTGATCACGTGGTCTATGAAGGTCTATGGGACGCCCTGCCAGTAGAAGCCTGACGGCCAAGGGGTCCGCTGTCCGCAATGAAGGTCTATAGGACGCCCTGCCCGTAGAAGCCTGACGGGCAAGGGGTACCCTGTACGTAATATAGCGACGGGGAGGGGCCCTGACCGTCCGTCAATATGTGACGGGATGGGAGTGAGAACGTGTTGCACACACACACACACACACACACCACACACACACACACACACACACACACACACACACACACACACACACACACACACACACACACACACACACACACACACACACACACACACACACACACACACACACACACACACACACACACACACACACACACACACACACACACACACACACACACACAATTCACATAAGCACACAATTACCTCAGCCAGGTGAAAACAACATCCATTTAGCCAGCTGCCAGAAAGCAATAAAGACAACATGGTTGGAGATATTGCACAATCATTAGCCTGAGCATTGAGGCAGTGAGCTAAAGTTGTCATTAAATATGGCGTCATTGTTCTTGAGAGAAACAATTGAAAAAGAGCCCCATAATTGCCCCCCTTTAATGTAGTCTACATTCATATCATACATCCTGCCTCAATTCTCAGGCTTTTGACTGTAGTTCTGCCTTTTATCGTTTGCAAACAAATACCTCGCCTGAACCCCAAGCAGACCCAAAGTCAAGCCCAGAACCGGACGCAAAGCCCGGATCAGAGCTGAACCCGGAGCTGAACCCAGAGCCGAGGTCAGAGGAAAACTCTGAGCTCAGTCCTGAAGCATCAGACCCAGAGCCACTAAACCAATCCTCATACATCTGGAACAAGGGTGGAGAGGAGGAAGAAGAGGAAGAAGGTGGAGAAGAAGATTGAGGAAGAAATATAGGTGAGGAGATATAGGAGGAAGATAGAGGGTGATATCAGGGGGGTGACAGGAACAGAGGCAGAGGGAGGATAAAAGATACTCTCATCACATCATTGGCCAGGACACACATACATATTAAGAATAAAGACAAATCATTGATAATAGAGACAGAGCACAGCAACAACAACAGCAACCTTACAAAGCATGTCAGCATGTGTTATGGATTCAAACTTTTAAATTACGCTATTCCTTTGGCAATCATAAGAAATATACAGTATGAGTGACCTAGTGAGGTCAATTCAGTCTAGTCAAACTTGACAAGTGATAGATGTTAGAAACCAGTCAGTGTAACCTTAAGTTTTAAAAATAAGGGCAATGCAAAATGCAATGCCTTTGGTAAGCAAATACAGATTGGAAGATACAGTATGTAAATGTGATACTGAACTGATATTTAATATAAAAATATATATAATTTGACTATTGCCATATTTACAATGTTAGATGAAGTATTCAGTGCCTGCCCTTCAACATTATTTGAGTGGGGGTTGATTATATTTGAAAATCAACCCCCATGCATTGAGGTCTTACTTTTAACATTTAGCTAAAAGTAGATCGCAGTATATTTTGTATCCATGGGACTTACTGGTAATCCAGGTTTCCCTTGCGGTCCGTCTTTGCCGGGTAGACCAGCATATCCTGAAGAGAAGCCCTCAGCTGAGGATGATGGTAAGGGTCCAGGGGGACCCGGGGGCCCTGGAGGCCCGGGTAGACCAGGATGACCCTAGTTGAAAGAGATGTTTTATTTTGTTTTCATTTCAGTAAATTACACTATTGGATATGTATGTGTGTCTTCTGTCTTACCCTGATGAGCTCAGTGTCACTGTCCAGGTCTTCAAAGCCAGAACCCAGGGCATCTGCTCCATACTAAAGATACAACACAGAGTCTAACACATGAGGCTACAGACATCTTGTCCTTCACTCTGGTTGCTTATAGGCTTGACAGTATCTCAAGTTTGTTTTATGTGTAACAACAATAAGACAGAGGAAAACCATGGACCATGATACTAACCGATACACTGTGTGATCTGGGCGGTCCAGGAGGCCCAGGGAGGCCCGGAGCACCAACTCCTTGGTCTCCCTGTTAGGCAAGAGAGTATGAGGAAAGCTTTATTTCATGATTTTCCATACTTTGAAATATTTGTTTTTGCAAAGTACAGCTCAAATTTTTTTTGGTAGAAAACAAAGTCTATATAAAGAGGAGTAACAAGGTGGTGTAAAATGTGTATTGGATTTACTGAACAACAGCCTTTCCGCTTAATTCATATCATCCAATCGTTTGTAAATAAGTAATAACACTAAGACGTTGTTGTATTGAAAGATGGAATATTGGCTTAATTTTCACCTCTTTTTTCATGTGCTTTCAGCTGTATGGCTGCTACTGTTCAACATTGAATAGGTTTGTCCTGAAAAGATGGTTCATCCAACTGCTATCTATTTTTTATTGAAATCATTATATTTGACATATCTAAGGAATTATAAAAAACTGATTTTCAATTAGTTTACTTTAATTTATTTATATTATTTTTGAGTAAGAATGGAGAAACCAGCTCGAGTGCGCTAGAATTTGAAAATACGCAGCCGAAAAAAATCTGCCCCTTCCTTCAGACTTCCTTAGAGAGCACACATGAACGCGCACATGACCAATGAGGGCACGAGATAACTTTGTGCACAGATGGAAGGCTGACAGGCAGGTCGGCCATCCAGTTATTTTAGCCGGGCCGGCTCAAATGATTGGTCGTGCTTTTTACAGCGCCACGGCTTCCACAGATGATATGTTTTTATGTATTTATTGTCAAAGCATTTAATGTATTCATTGCTATCGGGATGTTAAGAGCATTCCATGGAATATAACAAAGTGTTTCTGAAGTGAATTACATACCCCACCTTTAAGAGTCGCAATAAGTTGTTATTTGCAAGTTGTGTGCTTTTGTCGTACCTTCTCTCCTTTAGATCCAGCTTCTCCGTCAGAACCTGATAATCCCTGAGTTCCTCTTTGACCCTGCACACATTTAAGTAATTACACGTTATATATAGCATAGCAATGATGACATGCGTTAAACAGCAGAGATAAACAACTTACTGCATCTCCCTTATCACCCTTGTGTCCCTGTAAAGAGTAGAGCAAGATTTAGGATCAGTATTACATTTAATGAAAACACACACACACACACACACACACACACTCCCTATCTCGCTGGCACACACACCGCCTGTCCGTCTCTCCCTTGTTGTCCTGGGGACCCGGGGGCTCCGGCTGGTCCTTGTGTCCCTCTCGGCCCGGGTTGAGCTTGCCCAGGTAGAGGGGTGGGGCCTGGGTGTCCAGGTGGGCCTCTGGGTCCAGGACTTCCACGCTCTCCTTTTATCCCATGTCTGACATGACCCTAAACATTCATACAAAATATAACGTCCATGAGTAGAGAGCAGAGAAGTTTTTATAAAAGAGATACTGCTGTGCAAAAATAATTTGGATTTGTCATCATTTTGAACAATATAATATAAAAGTCAAAGTCAACTCACATCTCTGGGTTCCTCCCCTGGCTCCTGTGTCATGTGTGGCCCTGTACACAGTATATCACATCATCAACAGGTGTGACCAATCAGAGTCTAACAAGGTAACACTGTCCAGGCTGTAGCTTGACATAAGGGCCACTTTTTCATTTTCCCAACCCATGCTAGTCCCGTAAGGACAGAATCACAAGCCTGCTTTCCTTACGCTTTGGGCCACCGCTGCCCCTGTTGAGGCAGCTAATGAAAACATTAGATAGTGGTCTTCAGTAGAACAAAATCCTACAAAAATATCTAATATTTTAGTAATGGACACAGCCAATGAACTGTTCAAATGTAAAAGCAATGTAAAAAGATTAGGTTCAATTAACTTTAAAGACTACAGTTCATATATTGGTCTTTCATAGAACTGTCTTATCTAGAACATTATATATTTAGTATTATTTGTGGTTCATGTCATTTCTACTGTAGATATAATAAACGTCCTGTTTATTGTTACATTTTATTTAATAAAAAAAAAAATGTAATTACCCAATTTGGGATAAATAAATTCTCTATCTATCAAAACCTTGAAAGGAAAATAAAAAAAAATCAAGTGATTCAGTTATTCATTATAATCTTAATTATTCTTTTTACTTTTTTGATGTTTCTAAGCCTAAAAAAAAAAAAATCTGTAAATTAGGGGGGAAAAACTGTTCTGCTCTGTGAAATGTTATGTATTTGTTGTTATAATACTGAATAATGGAGAGCTCCACACTAAAATCCCGTAATTATATTATGCTTCTCACTTCAAGCAGTTGGATGTAAAAAAGTAACTTGCAATAAAGTTCCTGGCATCACTTCCTCTTTTGCCTTCTTTAAGCTTCTGTACAATTCCTACAGAAAATAATAATAATATATATTCAGTTTTATTCTGACCTTTTAGCAGCATGTCTTCAGTGGCCTCTGTTGTAGTCTGCTGACCGGAGAACTCCTCCAGCTCCACCTCCGGGGCCTCAGTGGGTGGAGCTCTGACTGGAACACTGCCCTCCTCCTCAGAGGGATGAAGAAGAGGACAAGGTCAAAAGGTCATTCGAATAAAAGAAAAAAGAGACATTTGAGAGAAATACCAAATAATTTGACATGTTGTGCTTTCGGTGCCACTGTTGTTTATGCAAGTCTCTACCATGTCATTAACCATACATAACAATTATTTAGCTTCTGAGGGACTGTTGTCTTTGAAGCTTCAAAGTCAATGTTGATTATGGGATATTTGGAGTCAGACTGACTTCCTGGTTGAGGGGGAATGAAAGGTTGTCCCGGAACAAATAAGAAACACACAAATCAACTTGCACAGTGCTGTTTAGGGTCATGATGATAAGAAGGGGGGGGGGGGGGGACGACGACTCTAACACACACCCTAACTTGATGAGCGTATTTTTCAAACTGCATTTAGAGCCCTTCCTGCTTAAGTGTGGGCTTCTAAAGAAACCAGAACTCTTTCTCGCAGTTGTTCTCATTTACAGGACATGTCTTCCAGTCAAATGAAGATCTAAAGCTTTCGAAATATATGATATCTCCAAAACAAAACAGCATATTTACTCAACAAGACTTTTTTCAGGTTCTCATTATCCAGCAGCCAATCCAGCTAACTTACCTTCTCTGTGCCTTGTTTTCTCTCGTGTGTGTTCTTCATCATTTCCTCCTCTGACTCTCTGTCATCCAATGCATCATCTCCACTGGTGAATCCCGAGGCCTTTATCAAACATCACATGGTGTGTTAGTTTGGGGAAAGAATTATGTAAATGACTAACAAATTTGTCCCACGTTTTGCCAGTTAAAGAAAATGTTAAAGACAAAGTCATTTATTAAAGAAAGAGACACAGAAGGAGAAAAGGACAAAAACTATTTAAGATCTTCTCTTTAAAATCTATTTACATTCGGTGTTTCATTTAAAAAAAATACCTATGTAAATACAAACCTTTTATAATGTATAAAGTGCTTCCGATGGCAATCATGTAGGGCAGGAAAAACCAAATAGTTGTCTGATTACAGCAAAGGTTTACTCATGATCATTAATCCAGCTAATAGGTACTTTGTTGAGGGAAGATCTCTGACCACTAGGGGATAACGTCGATACATTTGTGATTTGTGTACAGAATTTTAAACTATAACTTATGAATAGTACGTTCCTGTGTGTCAAACACCTATATTGTCTTTATGTGTGCATTTCTCACATAAGGATCATCATCTTCACACTGCTCCTCAGCTGCTCTAGGATCATCTTTTATCACCAGCTGCTGAATGGATCCCTGGAGGGAGAGACAGAGAGCGAGAGGATTAGGAAAGACCTTCATCTTGACACCTTAACTACACACTACATGTATATTCACTCAGGTTACATGGAGGAAAAGTAAAACAAAAAAAACAGGACCCAAAATCAACGAGCGAAAATTAAAACTTTTACCTCGCAATATCAATCATATCATTCATTACACATACATATGGAAATGAGAATGAGCAGAAAGTTCAATGATTAACTTTTTTAAACCTATCAACAATATCTTAAACAGTAAATGCTGGCTTTACCTCCAACAGCTGCAACAATTAAATACGACTTACACATCAAAGCAACATAATAGCAATTTAATCATAATATTAAAATATTGAATAGCTAACAAAGGAGTCAATGTTCTGCATATTGACTACTTTACGTATAAAGGAACCATATTAGTAACCATAATTGTATTTTGTGCCTCTACTTTGACATGTTTACATGCCTTAATATTCAAATGTGCTTTATTGTTCTCATACTGCCTGTGCTGCAGCCCCTCTTTTCACCCTGTCTGAAACCAGAGGCCTGGTTCAGAGATGTCCCGCCCCTTAGCCTATCGCGCACAATGGTTGGAGCGCTAGCCAATATAAGCGCAAGTGTTGCATAGTGATGTCACTTTGTTACGGAAATAAACTAAGGAGTCCAACGATGCGTTTCATGCATGGGGGAGTGTTTCTGGGATAAACTCCTTCTTGTGTAAACTTTGGGATGTTAGCCTTTGCAGACTAATTACATGCACAAAAACCTATATAACACACCCAAACCCCAAAAGGCACAATAGGGCCTCTTTAAAGTTAATAAGAATGTACATTTTGCCGATAATACTCACTCTTCTTTCGCAAAAGAATGTTTAATGCACCGAAGTTGCATGAACATTTTAGTGTTAAACAAGTGCTCTCTTTATACAGTTTGAACAGAGGAGCACTGCACACACAATGAAGTACATTTCCGTTAATGCCATCACCTAAGAGACCGGATTTCCAAAAATGTACCTAAACAACATTAACACTCGCAGCATGGTGATAAAAGCGCAAGTTTATAAAGTTGATATGGTAACATGGAGAGAGATGTCGAGTCCTACATTTACAACATTCACACACATGCTGATTAAAAAGGGCCCCATGCCATGACTGCTCCACTTTGAAGTCCATGACAACAAACCAAGGACACACACACACACACACACAGAGTGACCCAGATATTTCCGATTGGATGTTACCAATTCTGAGCATGCACATATTCTGTCGTCATGCTTCAGATAACCCGTTCAATAAGTCAGGCCACACTGAACAAAGCCTTCCCCTCACCATGGCAACAAGTGACTGGCAGCTTGGGTTTATCTTTTGTAAGTGTCGTTAAGTTGACGATGGTCCAAGGGTGATTCCAGTAATAATGTCAGTTTGAAGAGAGTTTACTTTATTGTAGGTGTACATTATGCTGTCACCCCTATTGACTAGCAGAGCTTCATTTAGATGACCTTACTACACAATCCCACTTGGCGGCAGACTCAAAGGCCCGGGAAAAAGCCCTTGATCAACTAAGCTTTGTTGACATCTCAGACTTCCTCATCTGCCATTAACTTACTCCCCCGTCCTCTCCTTCCATCCTCATCTCACTCCCCTCCCTTCCTTCTTTACCACCTCTTTGCTGTCCTCCTCTTCTTGATTCCTCTCTGATCTTTAGAGTTGCATAGAATAAAATATAAAACAGATCCCTCAAGTAAGCATGTTCTTATTATAAAGAAATACCTTGCAGAGACTGGCTACTAAGTTTTGTAAGCACTTGTTGCCTTATAACTGGTTAATAGCCAGGGTTGCCAACTTTGGGTACCTGGCTGGAGTGAGATTTTGATATCATGGGTTTAATTACACATACTGTATGCGCACTAAATGACTGCTATCGTGTCAGTAGCGGGACCTTAGCATATATATATATATACATATACGAATACACAATATTGGACACAGACTATAAAGGGCACAAAGTTTCTTTCACTAATGAAAGTCAAACACATGTTTGTTTCCACTGTTTTAGTGTGTGCCTGTCGCGATAAGCAATTAATTGACTTATCGTACAATAAATAAAAATGAACTCCATAACTTTTCTGACCTCGATACATTTACATTTACATGAGGATGTGACTAGCAGTTTGAAAGGATGTACTTGAATTATTTGTATATATTATCATTATGTCAGTGGTCTAAAATGGTCATACAACGGTGCCGACAATATTATCGTTTATCGCAATAATTTCCGGGAAAATGTATCCAACAAAATTAATTACCGTGATTATAATTATACATGAAACACACACACATCTACAGACTTACTCCAAACTGTCAAATATATTAATTCACTCTCACTCTCATATACTCTTTGACTCTATTTTTGGCCTAGTAGAACAATAAGCAGCAGACTTTTACTTGTTATCATTTCTATTGGATCTTAGATCTGCGCATGCGCAATACGGGTCGGGGCTTGACCAACCGGCTCCCACTGCTCTGCTGTCTATTAACGTTTAGAGTGCTGGGGGCGGGGAGGGAGCGGATCTACAGTTGAGCAGCTGTCAACTCAACATTGTAAATAACCAACCAAAAACGATCGCCGGTTCATCTTGTTTTTGGCGTGAGAATAGTTTGGGCAACGTGAGAGCGAGAGATTGAGAGTGAAAGCGTGTGTCACACGCCAGATGCGTGAGAGTTGGCAACCCTGTTAATAGCACTGTACAATTATAGATATGAGCACTCAAAATATCTCAAATATCTATAATGCTCTGAGACAGCAATATATATTTTTTAAAGTGAACAATAAGGTTAATTATCACAATACATTTAATATAATTTTAAATTAAATATTTTTCAACTTCACATAAAGCCAACCCTGATCACTTATATTGACTTGTAACCATCTTGTAATGTATTTTTTCTAAAAGTTATTTCTTATAATTTATAATCACATAATAGTCCATACTACAGTAACGCCGTTATTGTTGGCAGTAACTAGTACTCTAACCCACTACTTTTTAAATTAAGTAACGCAGTTACCGTTACTATGGTGCGTTACTCCGTTAGTTTTTTATATAGTCAACAGCCAGGCGAACAGAGATGAGAACTGTACTTAAGTACAGTACTTGAGTAAATGTAGGCCTACATTAATTACTAAGACCGGCACAGACCCAGACTCAGCCGACGCCACTCCACCTCCACCTAAGCAACAGCGGCTGGATTTTAACCAAGGGACTGCTAGCCAGGGAAAAGTCGATAAAGCCATTGCACGGTATGTTGTAGAACACATGCAGGCTATTGCTACAGTGGAGTCACCCGCTTTCAGGGAGCTAGTTAGCATGATAGCATGTCCGGGCGGCACACGGCATATGGGACGGAAAACTTTTTCCAACTACCTGGAGAAAGAATATACAAAAATGGAAAGCCAGCTAATATCGATGCAATCCAGATTGCATATAATGCATGTCAAGTTGATCAACAGATTGTATTATTCTCCAATGCAATAACAGTACTGAAATGAAGGCTATAAGGGCATTAATGGGAGCCATTTTGTAAGTAACTAAAACTAAAACTTTTTTTAAGCAATCAGTAAAGTAACTGAGTTACTTTTGAAATGAAGTAACTAGTAATGGTAACTAGTTACTGGTTTTCAGTAACTAGCACAACACTGATTATGACACAGTATAATAGTAGCATTTTCTTTTACAAGGGACAAGGTTTTTAGTTGTTCTGCATGTTGCTTACACAAGATACTTATTGTAAAAGCAAAATAGTATTTTCTTCAAGCATTTAGTTAAACCATAAATTGTTTCTGTTTTTCTTAAATGCTGGACATTTTTCAGAGGACACAGACTGTGGGCAGATGACATTTCAGCTCTCTTATATGGTAATAAGAGGCCAGAACACACAAGCACACACCTACAGGAACACATGTGATCTGAAGCCTACACTGACAAACTGCACACTGATATTGACAAAGGCAGGCATCATTCTTCCTCCTTCTCCTTGCCCTTTATGCATTCTTGTCCTCACTCAGTGACATTTCTACATTTAAAGGATTTTGCAACCTACCACAAACTTGTCGAGCCCCGTGCCTCCTGCATTAGCTACGAAAACTCCTGAATTGTGCGAGAAGTTGAGTCGTTTTGGTCTGCGATGGAATGTCGTCCTCTCTGCCTCGCCACAGTCCATGTAGAGACGCACCTCATCTTGCTCCACCACCACCTGATGGAGGATTATATCAAATACACAAATTGTTTAGTCATTGAAATGTTCATTGTTGTTGATAAAATGTTATTCTAATATTTTGTAAAAAACGGATTGGTGAGGATGTAAGGATTCAATGAATGTGATGCCTTAATTTGTTATCATCTAAAAAAAACAATCCTTAATCAACCAAAACAAAAAAACCATTTCAAAATAAAACAAATCCATTAATTGCACATTTAACTGTTTTGGTGTGAAGGTATACCATAAAAAGTTTGAATGAAAGGTTTGAAGCAACTGAAAACGTCTCCCTGATCTTATAAATGATCATTAACACAGACAGCACATGATGCTCACCGTGAATCGTGTCCACTGCTCGGTCATATCAGGGACACTAAAGGAAGCAGCTTTGTGGCTGTGTGAAGCTTGTTCCTCATCAGTGTAGTACAGTAAGATGCTCTGGAGGCCCCCCCGCACCGGAGTGAGGGCCAAACCCAACTCCACCACCTTCTGACGGGCATCTGTGATGGCGAAGAGGACCCCTCCTCTCTGAGAGGCTGGACGCACCTGGAGTAAGCGCAAGGCAGGATTCAGAGTCATCTTTCCCACATTATAGGAACATTATAGACGTACCATTTAACATATAAATACAGTAATGTACAAGACTGAAATTGACAGACATTCCAGTACACATGTATTTAGAAAATGTTTGGGGAAAATAGACACTTTTTTAGCACTGAAAATATAGGACTCTTGCTTTATCGTCAAACTGCCACAAGGTGGCAACATAACATATTTACCATGAAGATTGTTCAGAAGAAAAGTCATGCAATGTATGTATTTACAATTTTACACAGTAAACAGTTGCTTATAGTATACTTAGTTCAATTTGTGTGTAAATCACTGCATGACCCCTTAAAACAGAATGCAGCATGTAGGGTTTGAAAAGGTTGAAAAGTATGCAGTTCTTTAGTTAGTTTTACCGTGACAATGATGGCAAAGTCTCTGTAGAATGAGCCTGGCACGAACGTCTTGGTGAGCCGACCGATGTTGGCATCAGGCCCGAGGTTGTAGGCTGGAAAACCCTCATGGCCAGGAGTAAAGGAGACGGAGGGAGGGAGGGGCACGCCAATTAACTCCGTCAGGTCCAGATGACCTCCTGAGCCTCGCTCTATCACAGAATGAGAAAATGTGTAAGTGGAAACAAAGGAGTAACATGTAGCATCCTGTTTTTCTTGACATGGGATAATTTCACTTCAACATCCTTCAATAAGTGGACCTTATGACCTAAATGCAGATAAACTTCTCTGGCGGGTGTCTGAACCCCAATTAAAACGGGCCTTCTTTGTCTGCAACCTGTGTGTTGCTGGTTAATACAAGCAACAAAAGAGAGCTATAGCTACCGGAATCATCTTGACATGACTTTAATTTGACTTGATTTGATCCAGACAGTGCCCACGCCTCGCTGCTCTGCCTCACATGGACATCATCCTCCGAAAAAGAAATGGCAGGTAATTAGAGTATTTTGTGTGTATGTGCACATTGTGAAGAGATGGCTTCACATTGTCTTGATTCCCCCCACTAAGAGTATGTCTCCCGTGGCGACTAACTCTCACCTTAGCATTCCGGGTGAGATCACCCCGGCTACCTACACTGTCATGCACACATAAAATATGTACACACACAGATAGAAAGTATTTTACATACATTGTGCACACATCAAATACACACCTCACCCACGTTAACATACACGCATACACATCAGAAAGGCCAAGATCTTGGGGTCTGTAATTCATCAACCTGACCCACTGAAAGCACCTGATGAGGGTTTTAAGGATTGTGTGTGTGTATGTGTGTGTGCAGCACAGAAGAAGCACACACACAAGTAAAGCTCTGCATATTTAAATTAATGTTGCAACAGGTGGGCACTCAATATGTGCAAACTAAACACTCACACACCCACCACACCAAAGTGGTAACACACCTCCAGCCCAGATGTGAAGTCATTAGTTCTCTGTGTAATGACTGAGAGGAACAGACTGCTGTGAGGGAGTTCATGATACAACCAGCAGGCTGTCCGGTGGCCACTGACTGCAAAGTTTAGCTTTTTATCCCCCGACTGTGAGACACATTTGAATGTACTGCTTGATACAACTTAGTGAATCCGGTCTGATAGTGACATGATGGCAGCAACATGTTGGTGATTACCAGTCATGACTTGGAAAGCAGCCATTTCACATTGTTGCTACTGTGAAGAGTTTCTCAGCCACTTTGGCCAGAGAAAGAAGAGGAAAAAAGGGCCAAATATTGGTTTGTGACTGTGAGAAAAAAGGAAAGGAATTTCTATCAGCAAATGTTGGGAACAATATGCTAGTCTTGTTATACCTCAACTGAATAAACAGCTTACATTTAATACAGATTTTATAGTAGCTGGATCAATTTTAAACTTTAAAGTAGCTACACTTCAAGCCAAAGCTGATATAGCAGCTAAGCTACTATTACTCTGCTATATTTTGAACACATATTTTTTTTAACCCAGCTAGGTCGAGGTTAGCACGCTGTGTAACATTATAGCGCTCCTAACGTTAGTCAACTACCGACTGCATTTAATTATTTAACTCTGACGCTGAATGATGTTTGCTCCCTCAAACCAGATGAATATAGAAACATATTTTCAGAGGCAGAAACGGGCTCATCCTGAAGAGGAGCAAACACAGCCTGGAACAGAGGTATTAGCAAGAGTACCTAGAAACACACGTTGGTGGGACACACGCGGGAAAGCTGAACAGTCCGACCAGTGTGATTAGCTATCCAATTAATTTGTTTGAAATATTTCCAGGCTTCAACCAGTGCTAGTGTAGCAGCAATAGAGGGTTAGGGAGCCGTGGCAGAGCCAGCTAGCTCAGAAGCAGCAGGTGAGATTGACAGCAAACACAGAGAGATATAGAAGCAGGTCAGGTTGTCAGAAAACCAGATTTCTGAGGCATCATTTCTATTCTTCTGTGCCTCATTTCTGTAATTGTGAAGCAAGCAGCACTGGATTTGATCCATAGTGGTTGAATATGCCTCCATTTACGCCATGGCTATACCACACACAGCATGGTCAATTTGATGAATGGGCTGGGCTCTACCCCTGCCTGAGCCTCCTTGCGGGCATAGGACTAGTTATCCCCGTTTCTAGTGTCAACTGTGAACGCGATTTCTTGGCGATGAACAGAAAAAGCATCACTTTGAAAAGCACAACAAATTATTATGCATTTTCTTTATAGTTCAGTTTGTGGTATTCCATTTTGCTTCATCCTCAGGTGAAAACAGACCTCCAAGGAGAACACCTGGCTGCCTGCTTGAAGATCTCCATAAATGGACCCTGTCCTGAGGCCTTCCCATAAGATAGGGCATTAGAATATTTGTTCAGGAAGCCCCGTAAAATCGGATGTCAAGACAAAGGGTGCAAACTTTGCAACAAGTAGGCTGCAAAGTTTGCACATTGTCTGAACATCTGAAGCGTTGTGTAGCCGAGCCAAATTTAATTTAATTTTGTTTGTTTGTTAGACATCCTAGTGGTGGTGTTCCAGGCGGGATTTGAACTCGGCACTTAGCCCTCAGTTACTCCAGGGAGAATGTAGTTAAATGTTAATGTATGTAATCTAATGTAAATCACTTTGGAATAAGGCATCTGCTAATTATATTTTTGGGAGAATAAACCCCACAGATCCTCAACTCCGGTGTGGCTCACTCATTTACAACGCGGGAGGGGGGGGGGGGGGGGGGGGGGGGGGGTGCCCGCCGGGGGGGGTGCCCCCACAAATAGAATCAAATTATGTGGGAAACACTGAGCTAGTTACCTTCTCTCAGTAGGCTACGAGTTTGATAAGTTCCAACTGTTTTTATTCTTCATGACCATATTTTGCCACTGCACACTCGTCTAATGTAACAAACTGAATGACCAACACAGTGATCAACATTTATTTAATTAAATTCTAGGAAAAAGCTAGGGGCAGAAAGTCAATAAGTGTAGCCTTAGCCAAGGCTAGCTGCGACTATATTTAACCCAATGTTATTAGCTACAACTGGATTTAGCTGTCTTAATTAAGTTGTGATTGTCTTTTTTAGTTGGCATGAAAACATTTCGATGTTAAAACACATATTAAGCAGCTGATGAACCAAATCTAGGCCTTCACTGCCCATGAACAAACAAAACAGATAAAGATCCACCAAATATCTTGTGAATGATTTGTGGTTGGAAAACTGATGTTAAACCTTTGTAAAAATATTTTTTACACATATTATCTTCAATTAAGTAAACTTTTTCGGGGTTTTATGCAAAGTATTAGGTTTTTATGTAAACCTCTTCAAAGACGTGTATGCTAGCCATGTACTTGCTAGCATTCTTTAGTTATGCTCAATTTTAACTAGAATCGTCACTACCGAAACAGTCACTACCGAAACAGTCACTACCGAAACAGTCACTACCGAAACAGTCACTACCGAAACATTTCGTTTTTTCACGTTTCGGTAGTGACAAAATGGAATGGTAAGCAGGTAAATCCCACCATTTTGAAATAAATGTGTTTTAAAGTTTGAAAATCAGTGTGTTACTTTAAAGGTCTGTTATTATACTATTGTTAGGCATAATATTATAGGTCTCAGATATATAAAAAACATGTCTGAAGTGTTTTGCTCAAAATACCAAACAGATCACCCATTCTAGCCACATCCCCTAATATTTCAGCCTGTTACTAAAGTGCTGATTCTGGGTCAGTAGCTTCAAACCTTCACACTTCAACATAAGGCATGTTATGAGTTAAGATTAAGCAATAAGGTTGAGGGAATATGATACAACCTTGAGAACAAAATACTGTGGTCACTACCGAAACACTGGATGTTTTGTAAAAACAAAAAACATCCATCAACTCTGGAATCAATATGATCAGTATTATGCATTTTACAAAGAAAAATTGCATTGAGATTTTTATGAATTGTATAAATTGAACTTTGATTAAAAATTCACTTTTATTAATTTAATTGTGAAAACCCTCAAGAAATATTTGTTAAAATACTATTTAGAGAAGGGAAGGTAAAACAATCTTAACAGGTTAATATAATACTTTTTTACTACAGTGTATGTAGTACTATGTTTCGGTAGTGACCATTTTTGGTAGAGGAAGAACATTCCAATACAGTCTGACAATACGATATAAAAAGGTACGGTTATTTTACTAGATATGTGTAATTTAGATATGGTACAAAATATATATGGACAAAGTTTTTGGAAAAAAACATACAAAATTTCAAAACATTTCCAACCTGACTTTGGTCCAATTCGGTAGAATGGCCCCTATACCAATGAGTAACAACGAACATGACATCATGTGGTATGGATTTAAAATAATAGACTTTGTAATAATTAAAATTGTAAATATATTTTATACAAATGTTTTAATGTGCAAACACTCAGCCGCACTTATTATTTAAGCAAACTATTAATAAAAGACAAGTTAAGTGGTCAGTCAGGCGTCAAACAATCATTAAGTTAATTGCATACAATTCTTCAGTCACCAAATTAAACACTTTGCCAGTCATCTGATCTCTCCTTCGTTTTGCGTCTCATTTTTCAACTCTAACCCCCTCCTCAAGAACCTAATCCTCATCACGTTGGCCGGCGGCCGCATGGACGCTTGATCAGCTTGAGGAGACTTATAAAGCCAATATTAACAAACCCCCTAGCGTTTCCATGTATAACCTTTTAAACCCTCCTTGACCCTGATGTGGCACAGACAAAAGCTCCCTGCCCCACTCTTTCTCTAGATTTGAAAGATTCCAACAGTTTTAATGCTAAGCACATCAGGGTACACTAACGGCCCATCCAAACGGCGGCGTACGTTGAAGCTTCAATGCTTCTGCCCATTCACTTTGAATGGGCAGAAAGGTCTAATCCAGTAACTGTTCAACCTGGTAGCCGTTGAACAAGACATTTCTCCAACACACATTTTTTTTTCCTGACCACTTTTTATTGAACTATTTATTTTTATTGTTTAAATCAGACATTGACTAAATTGTTGGTAACTCAAAGGAATACGTCACCTTACATACAAGTTGACAGTTCTAATACCAAATATGAAGCCACTCTTAGCTAGAAATCTGCCAATGGGAACTCTTTGGAAAATAAACTATTGTACTCTTAAACTCATCAGTGAAACTCACCACTTTTCCAGTGTTTCAGGAGTTTGCATTGGGCCCTAGCTTTGCTGCCAGCACCTGCATTCTCCTTTGGAGGTAAAGTCCCAGGTACTGCAGTGCTTTGACCAAAGATTTCCACTCCAGGGGTGGGTGTGGGGGGCAGTACAGACCCCTCTGTCAGAGTGCTTATCTCCGGGGCTTTCTCTGTCACCCTGTCCTCCTTTAACATCCATTCTGCTGTCCCTGGGATGTCAGAAGAACCCAGGGAGGTGATGGATGGAGAAGTGATGTAGGAAGGAATGGGAGAAGTCATAGAGATTGTGGTGGTTTTAGGTTTTGCCCAGATGAAACTCCACCATTGGGCTTGTGCGGGAGAGAATGAGAGGAAGAACAGAGCAAAAGAGAGGCGAAGGGCTCCCATCCTCTCACTTTGTCTCACATGAATAATAAGCCGGTCCTGTTAACTGCATCTATAAACTGCAACCCACGTGCCAACAGGGATGAAAGCAATACAGTGCTATGTCTCCAGCTATAGAGGATGCACTTGCAAATACCTGCAGTGTGTTTAAGTAACTCTGAGTAATCCACAAGGTCCAGTGCTGCAAGAAATATTCAAGGAACGGCCTTTCAGCTCCTTCCTTTTCTCCTCTCGTTATGTCCTTTTTGTCTCACTCCGTCTGTGTCTCTTGGTCGTTTGTGACTCCCTGACATCTCTGTCTTTCCCTCTCCCTCCCCTCTTCTCTCCCTCTTTGTAATTACCGACTCCCCCTCCTCTGGCACACACAACACAGCAGACTTCATTTTCTCTCCTTTTTTACTCAGACAGGAAGATTAGAGAGTTAGTTAGTCCATCCTCCTCCTCTTCCTCCTACTTTCCCATCTGTGTGTGTGTGTGTGTGTGTGTGTGTGTGTGTGTGTGTGTGTGTGTGTGTGTGTGTGTGTGTGTGTGTGTGTGTATGTGTGTGTGTGTGTGTGTGTGTGTGTTTGTGTGTATGTGTTTGTGTGTGTGTGTGTGTGTGTGTGTTCTCTGGGTCATACTTGGGGTCTTTTTCAGCCTATCCCTCACACCACATGTACAGTACAGCATGTCAAGTCTAATAAACATATGCACACTAACTTGGGATGAGGTACTTGGGACTGAGGATGTGGTGAGATAACAAAAGCCCATATCAAAACTGAAATGAGTCTAAAATACATTGCAGGAGCATTATCAGGGAGATGTCTTTATAAGGACATTAGGGCAAAGCATTCCTTCCTAGCCAGATGTAACATTTTATAAATAAATACAAAACATTAAAAAAAACTAAGAAAAACTTGTCATAGCCAAATAGCTGTGTAGTAAAGTAGGGTTTGGAGCTTTGCAATGCATTATGCTTACTATATCCTTTCATCAATTAAAAACTCCGTCTTTTACATATTAGACATTTTTTCTTACCCATTGACATTTCATTTATGTATCATGCATGTTTGTGCATTTATATTTCTTACTGTTTCTAAGACAAACAATTAAGCTTCCCTTTATTATTCTGGGTTTTACAATGCAACTTGATTCACTTTCACGTATTCAGTCAATTTCCTTCTTAAGACCTAGTCATATTTCAGATAAAATGCTAATTTTCTATATATTTTCTATATTTATATATTGAGACTGTTCTTAAGTTGCTTATAAATAGAGATTTGTTTTGTTTTATTGAAGACTGAGAACCCTAACCCTCCCCTTTTAAATGGCAGAGCAATAACAAAAAAGCTTTAATAGCATAACATACAAAAGTCACATGACTCAAATTAAAAAATAAACACAAAAGGTTGAATGGAAGCATTTATAAGTGTGGACTTTCTCTCTGCTGCAGCTCACTGATCAAGGAGAGAGGCAGAGAGGCCCCGTGTTGGTGATGACAAAGAGATGCCTGTTCTGTCGCATTGTGCTTCTCTACATGTTTGGTGAGGACCAGGACGAGGGATGGAGTGCTTCTGAGGATCATTGGGTGGAGGTGTTTGTTTAAGCTGAAGAGGGGTGGGGTAACACTATATGTGATGGACTATATTTTAATAACTCACTTTTGAGGAGGAATCAAATTGAAACTTCTACTAAATACAGGAAACAACTGAAATATGCAAGGGTTTACGGGTGCCGGATACAGATGAAGATGGTGACATCAGCATAACATAGGCAATGTATAACATAAGAGAAGGAAGGGTATACTGGCATTTATAGCATTTGGCGTTCCAATAATTTGTATTCATATTTTCAATTAAAAAAAAATACCATCATGTTTATGATGGAAACACCACTGATGAGATTCATAACAATTTGGTATCCATCGATATCAGAGATGCTTTTACTCATTGCATATGGCACATTTAGGCTCTTTAGGGTTGGACACATTGATTAACGCACTTTTATATACTATATATTTGTTGCACTCCCACTTTTTATTCTAACCCATGTGACATCATCCTTGTTCTCTCTCCTAACTGCCTTACTTGGGGGTGGTGGGTTGTAGGTGTTGATACATTTGATCAGACCCTGGGAGCCATGCCGGTCAGAGCACACTGACATAAAGACTGTTGTGGGAGGGAAAGGGTCGGTCTCTAACGGAGCAGATGATAGGTTTAAGATTTAAAGAGAGGGTGAGGGAGGAGACCCCCCAGGGGAAGATGCTTGATTAGTCATGGATTAGCCAGGGATAAGGTGGTGTGGAATGGGAAGGGGTGAGGATGGGTTAGAGGGGATCAGGAGGAAAGGGGGGACCAAGTTCTGGGGTTATGGTTAGGGTTAGTATATTAAGCTGAGGTGTTCCGACTATAATGGTTGGCAATTATACAGGTTTTCTCAAGGGGGAAATACGTTTTTAAAACTGTATTAACGTTTTACCCACTTGGGGGCAGCAATACAAACTGTAATAATTACATTTACATACTAACTATGAACTGTAAGAAATTATTTGTTCAACATGTGATATGAAGACTTGAGTTTGGCCGTCGCCATATAGGTTTTTCGAACCAAGAGGGTGGAGCAAAGTACCCCTGAACTTTGAACAAGAGATTTCCAAACGACCAAAAGGTTAAATTAACTTTCATGAACAGAAAACACTGTGAAATGATTGAAGTTTTAGGATGAAAATAAGAATAACACCAAGACCAGGTCACACTGTGGTAGATACCTGTCAATCAAAAGGTAGCCATTCCATAAAGCATAAGCTGCTTTATTAATGATTTGAGTCAAAATGGGTCCATAATATTTAAAATGATGTACAGGTTAAAGAAGACTTGAAAATAGCAATTGAGACCACAAACAAATTAGGAAAAAGTGTTCTGTGGTTAGACTTCTAGACAATCTGACTTATTTCTGCAACCAGTGGAGTCTCCCCATGCTGAAATAATATACGTGTAGTGCACTTCCACATTGCATTCACTTTTCAGACCTGGATAAAATATGAATTAAAGCAGTATCATGTGTTGTTTTTTTGGGCCACTAGGGGGCAGCAGTTCACACTGTGATTATAAAGTACAACATAATACAACCTTAAAGTAGTTTTGGCAATATTGTTAGTACACAGCTGGCTTTTAAAACATCCAGAAGACATGGAGCAACATTAGCATTCATTAGGAGATGGCAGATTGATGAATGTCAGTCCATTATTTATTCTCCTTTTAGTTTAGTTTTGGTCTCCAACAACTTTTGCTGTTGAAGTCCTCGAGGCTTTTTGAGAGTAATAAGAGTAAACGGCAAAAAAGAAAGTGTAAACTTTCTTGTGCAATAGCTGCTGCCCCATTCTTATGTGTGTTATCCTTTTTTCTCTAAACATGGTGACCCTGTTAAGGGCCTCTGGATTCCTGGAAGAGTCACCCTTATCACCCTTCACCCCTCTCTCTCTCTCAGTTCCCGCTCTACCTAGCAACCTCCACAACAATAAACTCTAATTGGTTTACTGTCATATTCAATCGCATGGAGATTATATGAATTTATTTACATATAAACATTAAGGTGGACACATGGACAAGAACACTTAAAATGCTGGAAACTTTGTGATATGTCACATTATTATCAGAAACATGTCCAATAGTCAGGCTTAATGGTCAATCTTAGCTCAATAAACAATTAACAACTTAACAACAGATAACAATAAAGGGGACTTAAAAAAGGGAACCTCTAACGTAGCCTTGCTCATAAATACTGGCACTCTGGCAGCACCTAGTGCTCATACACAGTAATAAATGCAGACCAGAGTAATTCCAAATGACATACCGGTCATGTTACCTTAATAAAAAGTTAAAAGGAAAAGTAGGTTAAAAACATGATCTTCCCATCACATTTGTTTCTAGGTCCATGTTTAGAAAACTTGCCACACTAAAATTTTTTACATTTTAAACGTTTTTGTTTAATACAATTTGGTTGAATATGCAGCATATTTATTAACTTTAAGCTAAGAGCGCCTAACAACCATGTTTCTAGAGAGCTTAAAAGTCAAAGTATATAGATAAAATAGAAGCATAAATTAAGAGTTGATCCAAATAAATGAAAATACAAAAAAAAAGTGAGATCAAACCTGAAAATAGATGTTTCCATGACCTCACGATTTTCCAAAACTAACCAAGATTGGGTTTATTTATGACCAAGGCAGATGTTTGTTTACTAATTTAACTCATGAAGTCAAAGAATTTTAATAAAACAATATAGTATTTTTAAAACACTTTTAGGGAGAGGACATTGTTGTCCTTTAAGAATACTGTGTGTTTCTTTAATTGACACTGCACAAAAATAAACTGCATACATTTATAATTACCTATTCAAACTCATAAAAGGGCTGTAGAGGCACATCAGATAGAAAAAGCTGGTAACTAATACCTGAAAATATTTAACTTAAAATATTACTGCAACAGTCTAGATGGCTGTCCAATTAAACGAGGCTCACGATGGTCGAAGCTGACACACAAGGATAATTTCCTTCCTGTTTTTGTGTGTTCACAAGTCCTACGTGTGAGTTTGAGTGTACAATCTCTGACAATTAGAGCGAAAGAGGTTCTGGCTCACTGCTCTAGTCTTTTTGTGCCAGAACAACACAAGAACTCATTTATGGAGCACTACAGATGGTATTGAATGTTTAACTCTTCATGACTAATTATGCTCATACATCTTTGCATGACTACTCAAAGGGACTTTGTTTTGTTTTGTCTATGTGTGTGACAGTGTTGTTTATTTAACTATACCCAAGTAGGTCTTGATTGAAACATCCACTAAGCCAACCCTAAAGCGAAATAAATGTGGGTGGGCGGGCTCAACAGGTCAACAGAGAGGACCTGTTTTCAGGTAATGGTATACCACACATGCACATTTTCAGACAGTTACGCACATGCTCACTGTAGCCACTAGGCAAGCAGTCAATGAAGCTAGTGTTGTACCTCCCCCTACCTCCTTTCCTCTCCCCCGTCTTCCGCTCCGCCTACGATGTGTTTTCATTTCATATTTCCAGGCCATGTTCAGCCAGGAAATGTTGGACTACATTTATAAGCTCTGATTGTAAAGGCCTGCCAAGAAAGTCACTAAATCAAACACTATCATCATTTTGAGTGGTGAGTCATTATTATTATTATGAAGTCAAATGTAGGTAATTTATTCAGTGATATGCATTACACAATTAATGAAGCTAAAACATCAGCAAAACCAGAATAAAGTTGTTCCAAATGTTTTTGGAAGTGGTTGCTCTT